GGGGAAATAGTTAATGAAGTACCCTCTGAGTGGGTGGCACTCGAGCTGAGACTTAACAGATAAGAAGAAACCAAGCAAGCATGAAGAGACTGGAGACAGTGTCCCAGACAGAGGGAACAAGTGCAAAGGTCCTGAGGCAAGAAGGTAGCCAGAGAGGCTGGAACAAAATTAACAGAGCGAATGACTGGAAATGTCAGGCACTAGGGGCCGGACTGTGCAGACATAATGCATGTTTATCCCTTCACAGGAGTCCCCAGGCTCTGAGGATCAGAGTGAAAGCTAAACAAAGTATCCCCAGATGCCCCTAGCTGGAAGGAGAGGTGGAGCTGAGGTAACAGGCAGATGAGGCAACACAAGGACAGTGTGGGCTCTCAGAACTAAATGGGGACGTCATCCAGAAGGGACCAAAGAGCAGGGTAACAAAGAAAACTAGGACACTCGCCAACAGCTTAGGCCATGGGAACGGTTGGGATCAGGCAGGCTGAGGAAGGAATACATTCTGCCCCCCAATTATTCCCCTTTCACCCCTTTCCTGACCTTCCTTGGTGTGGAGTCTGTGCAGCAGCTGATCTTGGCCACTGCTTATATGTGACACACCAGTGACACCTGAGGCTCCCTAACCTCTGCAGCAAAGGTCACAGAAGCTAAACTGCCCATGAGTCCACTGATGACTAGACCCTCAATCAAGCACTAAGGAAGGGGACTGAGTCTGCAAGTATTTCTAAGGGGTTCCTCCACTGTCCAGGCTGGGTCAAGTGTAGCAAATAAATTGCTGGGCTTGGAAATGAGACAGATCAGAGTTTAAACGTTGTTTATGCCATTCGCTGTCTGTTAGCTCTGCAAAGACTCAGGATAGCCATCTACATCAGTCTGTTTGAGAATTAAGTGCGATAAGGTACGTTAAAGTCAGTGCCTAACACACAAAAAATACCCAATGAAGACCCCACTCGTTCCATTTATCCCACTAATGAGAGGGTTCAGTTCAGGCAGATGACAGCCCCACTACTTACTGGCTATGTGATTTTGGGGAAGGCACTTTCAACTCTGAGTCTTAGCTTTTTAGTCAGTGAAACAGAGATAACATCAGTTACTTCACATGGCTTTTGAAGGAATGAAGTAAGAAGAGTGTACGAAATGTCAAGCACAGCTCCTTACACATGGTTACTTCAATTGTCATTACCTGTTATTACTGGCGGGTGTGACCAAGATGGGGAAGGGAGCGGAGGAGGGAAGGGCGGCCTTCAAACTAAGCTCAGGTCTAGGCTGCTGACTGCAGTGGCTTACTTAATGCTCTGCCTAGCCTCTTGGGAACCACTCACCAGGTGGTTCCAGATAGAGCCCTCTTTGCTGCGCTCGTCAGGAGTCAGACGCACGTACTGGCTCGTGAGCATTGTGCTGCCTTGGAAGTCCCAGAGGAGCGTGGAGCTGGAACCGACCCCTGTGGGCAGAGACACGGGCACAGACAGGTGCGTAAAAGGCCAGGCCAGGACTCGCTTTGCCAGAGGCAGGGAACCCACAGAACTGCTCTGACCAGAATAAAAGGCACCCCTTCCCCAACCCCATCCAGCCTCGCCCTCACCCTGAACTCATTCCCGCCCCAGGCCTCACCGTGGTAGGGCTTGATGAGCGAATGCTCCCGTTTGAGGTGTTCACTGTTGCCGTCAGTTATATCGGCAGCCACCGGCCCCAGAAACAGGAGAAAAAGTAGAAGTGTAGTAGGGCCAGGGCCGGGGCCGGGAAGCCCAGGCCTCCCCGGGCATCGCCGGCCCCAGCCCCAGCGCCAAACCCAGCCTGCCGCCGCCACCGCCGCCGCCGCCGCCGCCATTCTCCGTTCCTCTCGACCACTTCCGTCTTAGGACTTCCGCCTTCCGGGTGTTCCATCTAATAGCCTCCGGCCGGAAAGCCCTCCAACCCTAGTGTCACCTGGGAACTGCCAGCAAAAGTAAAGCCTCGCTGCCGTGGAGACGGCGGCTGTATTTGCTGAGCAGCCTCCCATCCTGGTCGAGTGCCTTGGCGGCTGCGAGGCACCTGTCAGCCACCCTCAGCAATGGGTTCTTATGAGCGACAAGAGCAGCAACCAATCATAGAACAGCACTTTCGGCTTGTGGGCCAACGGGGAGCAGAGGGATGATTTGTGTCGGCGGGCAGCGCGAGGGTCGTCTGTGAAGTGGGGCATGCTGGAACTTGTAGTTTTCATGGGCCGCTCGCGCGGGCTGGGAAGACGAAGCCTAGAACTCTCTTGGCCTCTGGCCACTGGTGGCGTCCCTGGAGTAACCTTTCCCAGTCCAAGCAGAAGTGAGTTCTAAATTGAAGGCGGAGACTAGAATTCCAACTCCCGCGCCGCCTAGAACTCACTAGGGCGAGACTTTTTAGCCATTTCTGGCTCCACGCCTTTGGAAACAGAATTCCTTTACTTGATGGCGTCCAGCATTCCCAGTTCCTCAGGCCCAGCTGGGTTTCAGCAGGAGGAGCAGACCCGAATCCCGTCCCAGTGATAGCTGGGGCCCATTCGTATCCAAACGATTGTAGTGCCTGCCTGGCGCAGCAGGAAGCGTCCAGGAAAGGTCCGGGAAAGCTGGCCGTGGAGCAAAGGTGGAAAACTGGTGGCCCACAGCCAAATAGAGCTCTTGCTGATGCTATTTCAGTAAATGACTTAACTACCGATATTTTAGATCAGGAGACAAATTCAAATTAAAAATCCAAATTTCCAGCTTCTCAGGAAAAATTGGAAGACCCAACCACACTAGGCTCATGGGGCTGCCCTGCTAAAAATGCCTTACTTTTCTAAGCTAGTCTCCACTCTGGCCACTAATTTACAGCACCTGCCTGGCCCTTCTAGACACTTGAATTAATGACCCCTGTTATAGATCACAGGGTGGGACAGTTGGTTTCCTGCTCCTTTAAGAAGTTGTCCTGTTGAATGAATGAATTTCTTCAGGATTAAGTGCTGAGACATCTTTTTTAAATTAGCGATATATATATGTATGTATATTTCAGAGATTTATCTGTATCTGTGCAAACAAGGACATGTGCATTCCACTAGACCTCCATGAGGGCTTAGATTTTTATCAGCTATAGTCACTACTTAATCCCCAGCATCTAGAAAAGTGCTTGGCACATAAAGTTGATTAATAAATAATTGGTGAAAGAATGAATGTTTGGTCTAGAGGTCATGTTAGGGGGGAGAGCTTGTAAACTTTAAAACCCCCTATGAGGCTAGGCCCTGATCCATGGCACAGCCACCCCCCATCACAGGTATACTGACACCGTCATGCACCTTATTAAGACCACCATTGGCAGTGCTCCAGGCCCAAATGCAACTCCCAATACACACACCAAGTCTGACTTTATTGAATCCCTCTGTCTGTCTGGCCTGGAACAAGGTGTCTGGAAAGAAGTGAGTTATGACTGGGTGAAGAGGTATATTAACTAGGATAATGCTAACTGCTATAACAAATAGACTCTAATGTGTAAAACAGCTAGAAGAAGTTGATTTCTCTCTCCCTTAACAGTCCAAGGCTGGTGTTCCTGGTTGATGGATGGCTTGCCTTCTTACACTAATGTGGAGACCTAGGCTCCTTCCTTTTTGTGGCTCCACAAGCCCTTAGGGTTTCATCATCTTCTGTATCCAGTCAGCTAAAGGGGAAGGAGAGAATGTGGAGGACACAAAGGGCTGAAAAGCCTTGGCACACATCACTCCACTCACATTCAGTTGGTGGGAACTAGTTAGCACATGGCCACACCTGACTGTGAGAGAGCCTGGGAAATTAAAGTTTAGCTGTGTGCCCAGGAGGACTAGGACATGAATTTGTGGTGAAGAATCACTCAGTTTCCACATCTGAAGGTTTCAGGTCATGGCCCTAGAAGGGGGCAGTGGAGTAGAGGGTAGAATATGAAAGAGGGGTGTCATCTTATTCTTGTAGAAAGAGGGGTCCAAACTGGAGTGGTGGGTGACTTGAGGGCTCTAAGTAAGCCCATACTTAGGTAAAATACAAGTCCCATAGTGGGTACAGGCACATGTAAGAAAGAGGCCAACTGAGGACTGGGCCAGGCTGAGGAAGCAGGGTGTCCCTCTTCAGTCGACAGTACTACACCAAGGTGGGACTTTTATGTGAATGACTATAAACGCACACGTGTCTTTGGGCACAGATGCGCCTGATTTGTTCCCTGCCCAGGTGGGCGAGCGTGTGCATACTTGGTTGCACATGTCACTGGGGTGTCTGAGTTCATATGTGCCTGTGTTCATATGTGACAGGCAGATGTGTCTGTCACATGCACATGTCCGAAGGGCTGTGCATACATATGACCGAATGCTCAGGTGTTCCTGATGAGGGAGAACCTGTGTGTTTCTAACCTGTACACCTGAAGGGTCTGTGTGTGCATGACCATGCATGCAATGTATCTGTTTGTCCACACCCAGGAACAGGCCTGCAAAGGACAGCCTGGAGATGTCTCAGGACAGAGGTAGTAACTGCATGTGCACGAGTGCTGGGGGAGGGGTGCTGAGTGTGCACACGCCAAGCACACAGCCGGTGTGGGATAGGTATGTGCTAAGTAAAGTACACAAGTGGACACTCACCTCACAGTACACATGTCCCTGTGTCTATGGTAGCCCCTGCAGGGTGTATGAAGTTGCCTAGGTGTGTGAATGTGTACTTCTGTGTGCCCAGATGTGCCCTTGGAACTCCCCAGGCTTGGCCAGACCAGGCTGGGCTCCTTGTTGGGCACACAGAGGCCTCTGCTGTGTGTTGGTGCCTGCATGGGGCACTGCCAAGGGTGCATTGGCAGCATGTGTATGTGCGTGTGAATGTGTGTGTGCGCGTGCGCACGCGCACGTGTGTGTGTGTGTGTGTGTGTGTGTGTGTGTGTGTGTGTGTAGGAAGAAGCATTAGCTCTCTTAGACCTTGCTTCTTTCTGTGGTTCGGTTTCTATAGAGACACTTCCTGTGGAAGAGAAAAGAGGTAGTGAGCTGGTGTTTCAGGATGTGAGGGCCCGCAGGAGCGGAGCTGGGCTCTCTCTCTGCTGCCTGCCCTTCGCTGTGCAGGCTCTGGCCAGAGCTGCCCACAGTCCCCATGGTGGGCGCCCCCCGCAGTGGGGACCCGTGAACAGCAGCGGCATGCCAGGGAAGCCCAAGCACCTGGGCGTCCCCAACGGACGCATGGTGAGTGCGGGCTCCAGGCCAGGCCCACAGGGAGGGGGTGGGTACACCCAGGGTGGAGCCCAACAGGCACACCCGGCAGGGCTGGGCTAGAGCCTGCATGCTGCCAGCGGGCGGGAGAAGTTGGGGAGAGGCAGCAGCAGGTGGTAGAACCTGGCACCCTCATCCCAGGACCTTCCAGACGGTTCTGATGGGGACCTGGGGCCACTCCGGTGATGAGGCCAGAGGAGAGCAGGCATAGGCTTCTGGCCCAGTCCCCACTGCTCTCTTACCTACTACCTTGGCACCATCTGGGGCTGACTGCATCCTAGGGTAGCAGGGAGTCCTGGCATGCCCTTTGCCCCCTGTACACCCCTACGGGGACCCAAGCCCCCATACCTCACTTAACCTCAGCCCCCTCCCTCACCCAGTGTCCTGATGCCCAAGGTCAGGTAAGGGGCAGCCCTTAATGGGTCACTGACCTCCACCTAGACCTACTCCAAAGGCTTCCTGCCAGAGCTAGCAGCCCTTGGGCAGCCTGGGATGGGTCAGCAGGGTCAGGCCCGGTTGGCACAGCTTCTGTCTGTTCTATTCCTGGGCTACTAGGACGGGTAGGGGGAGCTGAGCACTAGGGTGCCCCTGGCTGCTGCTAAATCCTCTCCCTGGCTGCTTGGCATCCAGGTGAGAGCTGCCCTTGAAGAGACCCGCTTCAGCAGATGGAACTGGCTGTGTCGGTCTTCTCTTCTCTCCCTAGGACACCAGGCCACTTGGCAGAGTCCCAGCCCCTCCTAAAAACTCCAGAAAGTCCAGTGTCCTAGTCGCCTACCCAGCCCCAGCCTAGTACTGTGGGACAAAGCCAATGGGTCCAGAGAGACCTGGGTTCTAATCTCAGCTCTGCTGTCCCTTACTAGAGGGTCCTCTCTGACCCTCAGTTTCTTCATCTATAAAAGGAGGAGTTTGAAATGGATTTCAAAGTCTTGCTGAGACGATTAAGTGGAATAATGAATATGAGCCCCCTGACCCACCATGGGGGTTCCATAAATGTCAGCCCAATGCCCCCCTTCATTCTCAGCCCCTTTTCAAGGATCCCCTGCCTCACCAAGAAGCTGAGCCACTCCCCACCCTTACTCCTCCTCCTAATTCCCAAGACCTGTCTCCATACCTCTTCCTCCAGCATCTCTTTATTGGGCAGGAGAGAGGCAAATCCCTCCAAGCTGGCCATGTCTCCCACCTCACTATCTCTACCATCAAAATGACTTTGGAAGTTCGAGCATCCGTGGGCCTCGCACTCCCTGGAGGCATGATGCTTGGCTCACCCCTCCCAAAGCATCCAGGCCAAGGAGGAACACACCCACTCCCACGCCCACCCCAGAGGGCAACTGGGTTGCTGCTTCTGGGCAGTGTCCAGAACTGCAGGGCAGCTGAGGGGGCCCAGAGAGAGATCCAGCCTCTGCCCATCCCACATCAACTTATAGCTTCTCTACTCAAGAGTCATTCAGAGCAGGGAAGGCCCCCAAGCTCTACCCCCAGCCCTGCAAGCCCATGGACTTGCTTTTCTCAGCGACGTTCACACACAGGTTTATCTTTGCCCTTTCCAGACCCATTCTGAACTCTGTGCCACCTCTTGGAATCCCGAGGGTAACAGATTGGCCACTTGCTGGCCATCGGGCAGCCTTCTGAGGCCACACTCAGCTGAGACAGGGAGGGACAGACCAGCATCGGATATGCATAGATGTAGGCCAGCTGTCAGCCTCCTTCCGTGAGTCACCTCCTAAGGGAGGTTCAAAGGAGTACATGACGTGCTAAGGGCAGCTGGCAAGAGAGGGACCCGCATTTGAACCAGGCCAATCTGACTCGATGCCAGGTCTCCTCCACCTCCCAGAACTGCCTGGCTCCGTCCTCCCCCACCTCCTCCTGCCACCAACCCCACCCACCACCACCATCATTACCTGCTGAGGCAACTTCATTTGTCAGCCTCGTCTTTCTGCCACTCAGCTTGTCAGGGGGTTGCAATGAAACCTGTCACTTACAGATGGCTCCCAGCCTCCCTCCCAGAGATGCCTTCACAGAGTCCCAACTCCCACTTCATTTGTTCACTCATGCATTCATTCAATAATCCCTCCTTAGGGCCTGCTCGGTGCTGGCCCTGTCCCAGGCATCAAGACCAAGGCCCATCGCCCTAGCCCCTGCCCTCAAACAGCTCCTGGTCTGGCAAGGCACAAAAGGCACGAGCGCAAATACCAGAATAAAATTAAGGTTTGGGTAAGAGCAGTAGGTCAGGAATAGAGAAAGCTTGAGGAAGACCGGAAGGGAGAACAAACTTCTCCACTCACTTCGTGCATTGTTGGTGTGGAAGATGTCCTGAAACGATGTGCCAGCTGGAGGAGGGAACAGCATGGGGAAAGGCCTACACGCAGGGAAACAGGATGTGTGTACAGGGACAAGGCCCAAGGGCTGGCGAGCCTGAAGCCTGGAGAGGAGCAGTTATTGCATCCTGTCACTCTCAGGGTGCCCAGTTAGTCTCCCTGCACAGGAAGACCTGCAAAGCAGAGCCCACTGTACCTTGGCCTACATTCCTGGAGTCTAGCTCAGGGCCATAGGCCAGCTCCACAAAGCTGACTCAGGCTGAAGAGCCAGGCAGCCAGGGTTCTCAGTGGGTCTACCCAGAGAGGATCTCTGGGCCTCAGTCACCCCAAGCCGGGATGAAATAAGATGATATAGAGGGCCGAGCCCAGAAGATGCTCAGTAAATCAGCCCTCCCTTTGAAGTCACCCCTCCAGGGGGCAGAATTCATCCAGGAGCCCCTGAGCCCTTTACCCCAATCGACCTTGCCCATCTATGCCACAAGGGCTGAGGCCCTGGGGCTTCCAGGTCCCCGGTACGTCTGCTGTTCACCCAGGAAGGCAGCTCAGTGGAGGGGAGACATTAGGTTTCCAGAGTCAGGCACACTTTGGCCCTAATTTCAGCTCAGGCACTTCCCAGCTGTGTGATTTCTTTGGGCCAAGGTTTCCATATCTGTAAAATGGGCGTAATAATACCTGCCACATAGGATAAGGATGTGAGGTTGGATGTGTGACATGGATGTGTGCCGTCCATGTTCTCTGTCTGTCGGAGAGCTCAGGAAATGTCGGGTCACTCTCATCTTTGTATTCTCAGATACCAGTGGCTCCCCCAGGGCCCATTTCCAAGGAAAAATGTTTGGCAAACTGAGTCCAGAGCATGGGTTGGGGTTGCCGCTTGGCCACCACACCCTTCCTCCTCCTTTCTTCCCCTTTTCTCCCATTCACTCACCACTTCTCCTCAGGCAAGCCAGGGTGGGGCAAGGCCAGCCCTGCTCAGCACAACTTCCCCAGACCCAGGAGCCTGGGCAGATCAGAGCCCCAGGCAGTGGCAGCAGCAGCATGCCACTCTCCCTGCTGCACACCTGCCACATTCACAAATGGGGCCTCGCTGACTCACCCTTCCTGGCAGCTCCAGGAGGTTGGGAATGCTGAGCCCAATGCTACCCAGGGGGAAATTGAGCCCCAGAGAAGGGAAGTTACTTGCCTCAGAATGGTCAATCTGGAATTGGACCCCATCCCCGCTCCCTGCCACCTCTGGATCTGCGTCCTGTCTCAGACCAGGTTATTAATATCTAGTGGGGCAAGAGGGGCCCAGGAAGAACTGCATGGGGCATTCGGAGTCAAAGCATCCCTGGCAAAGGGGGTACCAGCGCCTCCCGTGAGGGCAGGGGAGGGCAACTTGGGCCCTTGTGGCTGCTTGGGAGCACCTGGGCAAAGAGAGTGCTCTTTGAGGAGGGAGTTCAGGCTGATTCTCTCCTATGGTATAGGCCTGCCCTCCAGGAGCTACAGGCTGGTAGGGGAGAGGCCTACAAATAGGTGGGCAGCAGTGTGGTGGGCAGGGGGATTCGGGGCAACTGGTGTTTAGGGAAGACTGATGTCAACAGGCAGAGACTGGAGAGCTGTAAGGTGGGGGAAGCAGGAGCAGATACCAGGCAGAGGAAACAGTAAAGCAGGAAGCAGGAGTGTGAAGGGGTGTGGGGAAAATAGAAGTTTGATGAAGTGTAGGGTGGAGGTGAGGGGGAGGGCAATGGGGGAGGCTGAAGGGGTTTATTAGTCAGGCTCAGGCAGAGCTTCAGCGGCAACCCAGCAACTGCTCTGCCTCCCAGAGTGAGGAGTGGGGCCGGAAGAGGGCCTGGGAGCCAGCCCCACATAAAGACACCATCTATTCAACAGGATGTAAAGAACAAAATGAAATAGGAGTGAAGCCAAGCCCAGGGCCCTCTGCCTTCCCTGGGGTCCTGGGCTGCCCAAGAGCATCCCATGCCCCACCCCCTGACACATGAAAAGTGCCGTGGAGAGCCCTGAGCAAGGGAGAGGCTGAGTCCTGGGTTGGAGGGTGGGCCAGAGAGAGGCCCGGTGTGTGCTTGGTGCGGGGAAGAGGGAGGGCCAGGTGGCCACCGCGGAGTGGGAGGGGAAAGTCAGGATGGTTCCCGGAGACCAGGACGGAGGGCAGTAACCAAGACTGGGAACAGCCACAGAGCAGCCTGGGGAGGAAGAACGTGGGACAGGCAGGTGCAGGCATGAGGGCAGCTGCCATGAAAGGGAAAGAACAGCTGGAAGGGACCTTGGGCTTCAACTTGTCCCCTTCACACACCCCAGGAGTTGAGACTTTGTCCTGCAGCCCCGGGAGAGAATTCCCATGAAGCTGTGAGATGGGCAAGTGCAAAGGCAGGAGGGCGAAGGCTGGGGCAGCCAGGGGAGGGCGTGCAGGGTAGTTCCACGTCCAGCCTCCCTCTGCACAAGCTTTCCCTCCTCCTCCATAACGTCTTAGCCCCGTGCTCCAGCTTGGAGGCAGGCTCAGGGAGGGGCCCAAGGTTGTAAAACTAGAGAAGGACAGGGCTAGGATTTGAATCCGTGTCTGACAGACCCGATCCCTGTGTTCTTCCCTAGACCACAGGGCTTGGCAAAATTGAAAGCTGAAGCAGGGCCAGACACCAATACTAATGCGACAACAATAATAGTAATGTTCCTTGAATATTTTCCACATGCCAGACAGTGTTATGAGCTCTCTTTCTATGTATATTTAACTTATTTAATCACAGCAAGCCTTTGAAGTCCTGACCATTATTTGCCCCATCTGTATAGAGGGAGAAACTAAGGCACAGAGAGGTAAAGTACTCTGCCCAAGGTCACACAGCACAAATGTGAACTCAGGTAGTCTGGGGCCTGCCTCCATAAATAACATAAATGCATCAAACTGGCCCCAGAGACCTCTGAGGAGAGTGTGAACCCCTTCTAGGGAAAGCGGTTGCTGCTCAGGGCCAGCCAAGGTTGCCATGCTGGGAAGAAGCTCAAGGTAGCTGGGGCAGAAAGCTGGGGTTTCATGTAAAACTCCTGACTTTCATATGTGGGAAACCCCTTTAAAGTTAAAAAAAACCAAAAACTTTCTGATATTAATAATGTCCTACTTATTTGCAGGCCAGCTCTGGCCCACAGATGTGTGACCCGGGTGCTCCCAGGTTGGGGAACAGAGAGGGAGATTCCAGCCGGGAGGGCAGGGAGAAGCTTCCTGGGGAGGAGATGTTTGCAGACTTGTTTCCAGTAGGGATGGAACGAAGGGACAGGTGGCAGAAGCTCCTGTGACAGGACCTAGTGAAAATGTAGGAGGTGAGAGGGAGGAAGGAACTGGGGATCAGTCAAGCCCTGGTGTTAGGAGCCCAGGTGATGGGAAGAAAACCAGATTCAGGGAAGTTGGTTCCGTGCCCTGCTTTGGTGGTGGCAGAGGTGGTTTCCAATTGGGACTGGCTGAGTTGGAAGGGCTTGTGGGGCATTTGGGTGGAGATGTCAGCAGGAAGTTGGCTATGTGTGTTTGAAGCTGGGGAGATGTGGGAGGGAAAAAGGGCCCAGAACAGAGTCAGAGAGGGGTAGAGACCACCTTGTGTGTATAGATGATGAGGAAGCTGGAGGATTTGCTAGGAAGGTAGGAAGACCGAGGGAAACCACTGCAAGAGTCATTTTGAAAGGAGGGTTTTTCTGTTTCACTAATGGTTGGGATTCCCAGAGAAGTCAGAGTTGTGCATGTGGGGGAAAGGGGGATGCGCAGAGGAAGGGATTGGCCTCTACAGCTACTCACAGGGTAGTCCATAACCAGCAGCATCAGTGCTTGGGATCTTGTCAGAAATGGAGAGTCTTAGGCTCTCCTGAAACTGAATCTCTGGAGGTTCCCCCCCGCCATCATTCTAATGCACACTAAAGTTTGAGAACCACTGCTCTCTACTATAAAATAGCATCCTATGCCCTGCCCATGGTGGGGTGTTTCCAAGAGGAGGCAGTTGCAATAAGGAGATCATCAGTTTCAGAGACACCTCTCCTTCCTCAAAGACAACAGCAAACATTGCTATAACACCTGCCACATGCTGGCCGCTATTCTAGACGCTGGAAATATATTAAACTGATTTGATCCTCACAGCAGGCCCAGGAAGTAAGTTAACTATTATTATCATCATCCCTCACTTACAGATGGAAACAAACAAGTTACTTGCCCAAAGTCATACAACTAGTAAGTGGCAGAGACAAGATTAAAAGTTTGTGTTCCTACCCACCATGCTCTACACCCAGGCTCACCCAGTGGGTGCTGGGGGTCAACAGGGGTGACTGGGGTGTACCTGGTATAAGTCCCAGTGCACACAGTGGTTGGCACATGATGGAAGGGGAGCCAGGGGCAGCCTGAGCAAAACCCTGAGCAAGCAGTGACCTGGCTGAGAATGCCCAGTGCGGCCCTCCAGGCGGAGAACACAGCTCCAGTCCTGGGGGCTGGGCCTAGAACTATCCCTTGAGAATCCACCCTGGGCTCTACTCTGACTCTCTACCTCGGGTTTCTTGTAGGTTGTGGCTGTCTCAGATGGAGGTAAGTGACAGAGTATGTGGAGGAAGCCTGGCTGGGGTGGGGGTGGGGGCTGAGGGGGGCGTATGTGGAAACAGCGTGGGGATACCCCTGCCATTTGCTGTCTTTCCAGGAAAAGTACCTGAGATGGGATTGGGCCAGGGGCTGGGGAAGGCTGCAAGGCTTAGCTGCACTTGTCCATCCCCCTGCAGAGCTGAGCAGCACGGCGGGGCCCCAGGGCCAGGGAGAGGGCCGAGGCAGCTCCCTCAGCATCCACAGCCTTCCCAGTGGCCCCAGCAGCCCCTTCCCCACCGAGGAGCAGCCTGTGGCCAGCTGGGGCCTGTCCTTCGAGCGGCTGCTGCAGGACCCGCTGGGCCTGGCTTACTTCACTGTAAGCCCTGGGGTGGGATAGGGAGGGCAGATGGCAGTGGCCACCATGGGGGGAAGGGTGGGGGGCATGGGAGAGGGCATGGATGGAGTTTCAGGCTGGCCAGAGTGGGACTCCTCTGTCAGCTGCCTCATCTGGCCTTTCTTTGGCACTCTCTTACTCTTCTCCCAGCTGGGAAGTTTCCTTCTCTCTGCCTCTTATTTTCTTTCTGTGCCTCCGGATCTCATCCCATCTGCCTGTCTGACCCTATCTGTCTGGCTTGACCTCTTGGCCCTCTCTCTATACCAATCTCTTGGACCACATCCCCTGACTGGGTCTCTGTGTCTCGCCTCTGTGTCTGTGCCTCCTTCTCCCCACCCCCAGGAGTTCCTGAAGAAGGAGTTCAGTGCTGAGAACGTGACATTCTGGAAGGCCTGCGAGCGCTTCCAGCAGATCCCCGCCAGCGACACCCAGCAGGTGGGGAGAAGGGGGAACTGAGGTGGCGAGATGAGACCAGGGCCTGAGCCATGCCCCTGACCTTCTCCTGTCCGTCCTGCCCCAGTTAGCTCAGGAGGCCCGGAACATCTACCAGGAGTTTCTGTCCAGCCAGGCACTGAGCCCTGTGAACATCGACAGGCAGGCCTGGCTCGGCGAGGAGGTGCTGGCAGAGCCCCGACCGGACATGTTCCGGGCACAGCAGCTTCAGGTGAGCGGTCCCGGAGGCGCGGCCTGAGATAAGGGGTGGCGCCTTGGAAGGGAGCTCGGTGGAGCAGAGGCAGGGCCAGATCCAGCGGCGGACCCTGAGCGGCAGAGATGGTGGGGATGGGGTGGGGAAGAGTGCAAATCTGGATGCTGGGACCCAGCTAAACGTTGGGCAGGGCGCGGGTCAGAGGTAAGACTAGAGGAGACAGTGAAGGAGGGACTAGGGGCGGGACCTGGAGCAAGGAAGGGCTAGGGCCTTGCTCCCTAGGTTGCGGACGCCGCCAAGCCCCAGGGCCTGGTCTGGGACTCTGGCGGCTCGCAGAGCGCCCACTCCAGCTCACCGCCCCGGCGCCGGTTCCGCAGATCTTCAACTTGATGAAGTTTGACAGCTATACACGCTTCGTCAAATCCCCGCTGTATCGCGAGTGCCTCCTTGCGGAGGCCGAGGGTCGCCCCCTGCGGGAACCTGGCTCTTCGCGCCTTGGCAGCCCTGACGCCACGAGAAAGGTGCGGACGACAGCCTGTGGGGGCAGGCAACCGGGTGCAGATCTGCGAGGGTGTGCCCACGGTCTGCCTGCGGGTGGGGCCCGGCCCAGTGCCAGTGGCTTCCCTGTATCTTGCAGAAGCCGAAGCTGAAGCCCGGAAAGTCGCTGCCGCTGGGCGTGGAGGAGTTGGGGCAGCTGCCTCCTGCGGAGGGCCCTGGGGGCCGCCCACTCCGCTTGTCCTTCCGCAGAGGTGAGGGCAGGAGCGGGCCGCAGAGATGAGCGGGGTCGGGAGTCTGGGCAAGCCTGGAGAACACCCTCTTCCTCCTACTGGTCCCGCAGTCTCTAGGACTGTGAAAATCGAAATGCAGGTCCGTGTGACCCCCATGTTCCCCTGGTGGTTCGGTTCCCACGCTAGACCCCAGAAGTTTGGGAAGCCCCCCTCAGCAGCGAAGCTTCCAGGAACCCAAACCACGTTAGACCCCTGTAAAGGGCTCCAACAGGGTCCGCCTGGCTGGGGAGAGGCCCCGGCAGAGGGGTTGGGGGAGGGGCTGTCCTGCTCATTCTCCCTCTCCCCTAGAACTAGGGGGCGGCGCGTCAAACTCAGCCTTGCGCCGAGAGTCCCAGGGGTCCCTCAACTCCTCTGCCAGTCTGGACCTCGGCTTTCTTGCCTTTGTCAGCAGCAAATCTGAGGTGAGCCCACTGCTGGGGGAGACGTGGTGTGGGCTCGGGCCACTACTCAGGCCCCTTTGTGTGGCCACCCTCATTCCAAGTCACCGGCCCCACTTCATCCTCCACTTGATCCACATGGCCAACCACTCAGCCTCCTCACTTTCTTCCTGTCCTCACCACATTGGGCCCCATGCATGTTATGGGTGCACATCCTCTTCAGCTGATGTGTGTGCACGTGTGGGTGCCCAGGTGTGTACAGCACGTGTGTAGCAGTCAGTGGGTGGACCCGTCTCTGGGTGCCCATACGTTTGGGTGAGCATACATGTATTCCTGTAGGAGGATGTATCCTGCCTGCCTACAAGTGTGCCCTTGGGCATGTGTATGCCTGTGTGTGCCCCAGTGAGCTTACGTCTTCTGTGTACCTGTCTGTGTGTCCTTGCGTGTGTACACATCACCTCCCTTGACACCTGCTCTGAATCAGAGCTACCGGAAGAGCCTTGGGAGCTCAGAAGGCGAGAGTGAAAGCCGACCAGGGAAGTATTGCTGCGTGTACCTGCCTGATGGCACGGCCTCCTTGGCCCTAGCCCGACCTGGCCTCACCATCCGTGACATGCTGGAAGGCATCTGTGAGAAACGAGGCCTCTCTCTACCTGACATCAAGGTCTACCTGGTGGGCAATGAGCAGGTGCGAACCTGGCCTGTTCCCCAACTCTAACTCCCTTTCTGATCCTGAACCCACCCCCATTCCTGTCTCTGCTCAGCCATGACCCCAACACCAATTCCACTCCTAATTCCAGCCCCATCCCCTATCCCCACCCCCTTCCTAACTCCAGCCCCCTGCCCCATGCCCAACTCCAAATCAACCCAGCACCAACTCCTCACTCAAACTCAGATATCCACTCTCATCCCATGAAAATCCTGTCCCCACCCCATTCCCATCCTGGTTTCCAGCTTCAGCCATCATCCTCACTGTGATAGTCTCTGGGAGGAAGAGTAGGGGAAAACCACTGCTGGAGCTGAGTTTTTCCCTGTCACTCCCAGAGTTCAGACTGCCCATCCCTGAAATGGCCATTTGGGGATCCCTTACTTCCTCTGCCACCAGGGGCACCTAACTGCACCCAACCTATGAAAAACTTTCCTTTAGGTACAAACTAGCATAGCTTTAAAGAGGAGGCTAGGGCAAAATTCACTTAAACTAAACCATCCAATAAGGGGGAATCTAAAGGAAGGATGCTGTATCCCAGGGAGACGCGTCAGGATTTCATTCACCCAGTAAACAGTCCTAAGCCCCTGCCAGGTGTGGCCAGAGGGAGCCAGGCTGAGTTCTGTCCTCCAGGTCCAAAGGCTGGAGGTGAGCTAGGCAGGATGTGATCAGGAGGAGGAGTTGAAGTTCCAGAGAGTTTCTGGGTCAAGGAAGGCATTTCTGGTTGGTCCCAGGAGGCTTCATGGGAGAGGTGGCCGTTGATGAGGATGAGGACAAGTTTGCCTGGCAGAGCTGTGGGGGGAGGACATTCCAGGCACAGGTGGGAAGAAGTGCAGGGCAGGTTCAGGGGCCTGGAGCATGGGAGTATGAGGGCCACAGTAAGAGAAGCTCTGCCCACTTTCTTGGGCCACCCAGATAGCCTCTGCAGCCCTGATGGGTTTTCATGTCTGCTAAATATAACTTCACCACCCACACTCCACCTGTCCCTGCAGCACAGCACAGGCCTATTGCCTGGAAGAGGCTGCCTCCCAGCCCCGGGCTGGTGCAGGCAGCAGGGCCTCCAGGGGTGGTAATTACTACAGCTACTTTTATGTACCTACTGTGTGCCAGATACTTCGCATCTTTCTGGCCTCACAGCTGTCTTGCGGGGAAGAGCCCTTTTTGCAGTGAGGAGACAAGAAGTGTCCTTAGTAGGTGGGAATGGAGAGAAGTGGACAAGTGTAAAAAAAAGGGACAAGGCCTGGGTGGCTGACCAAAGGTAGGTGGTGAGGGAGGAAATGCGTCCAGCTGGTCCAGTTGGTTTTCCCATGCCTGAGGGACAAGGGGCAGCTGTCCAGGAGGCAGATCCTGACCTGGCTCAGGAAGAGGTGGCCCCATGATCCAGGACTTAAGCCTGCCCCTTAACCAAGCAGCCCCATTACCATTTCGTGCCCACCCCACCTCCATGTTTCTCATAACTCTGTTCCTTTTCCAAGTCTGTCCAGCATTCTTTTTTTTTTTTTTTTTTTGCGGTATGCGGGCCTCTCACTGTTGTGGCCTCTCCCGTTACGGAGCACGGGCTCCGGACGCGCAGGCTCAGCGGCCATGGCTCACGGGCCTAGCCACTCTGCGGCATGTGGGATCTTCCCGGGCGAGGGCACGAACCAGTGTCCCCTGGATCGGCAGGCGGACTCTCAACCACTGCGCCACCAGAGAAGCCCCATGTCCAGCATTCTTGCCACTAGGCTCTGATCCAGCCCGGTCTTGTATTCTGTCGGCATCTCTATGGCTTACCCGGCCACCGGCCCTTCCCTCTGGCCCTTAGGGAGCCTCAGTGGAGGCCCTGGGAGGAAGTGATGATTATTCCCTCAGACCCCGGGGATGGGGGAGGAGGGAAGGAGAAGGAATTTTGAGATCCTGCCTGGCTCCTGCAGAAGGCCCTGGTCCTGGATCAGGACTGCACCGTGCTGGCGGACCAGGAAGTGCGGCTGGAGAACAGAATCACTTTCGAGTAAGTGTCTGTCGCTCCAGTCTAGGGTCCGGGGGTCCCAGCACTCGTTTGGGTCCCAGTTCTGGCTGCTGTTCTCCCTCCAAGTCCTGCCCCTGGTGCTAACCCCGCCCCTTAGGCTAAGGCCCCACCCCCAAGAGGTCCCACCTCCCCAGTTCAGGCTCCACCCTCTCTCCGGCCAGTCCCAGGTGGGTTGGGGGAGAGGCGCGGCGGGCTCTCCGACCTTCCGCAGCGCCAGGGTCCCGCGCAGGCTCGAGTTGGCGGCGCTGGAGCGCGTGGTGCGGATCTCCGCCAAGCCCACCAAGCGGCTGCAGGAGGCGCTGCAGCCCATCCTGGCGAAGCACGGCCTGAGCCCGCAACAGGTGGCGCTGCGTCGGGTGAGCCGTGTAGCCGAGGGGCAGGGGCGGAGCGGGGCGGGCTGCCTGTCCCGCGGGCTGCTGACCTGTCCCCTCAGCCAGGCGAGAAGCAGCCGCTAGATCTGAGGAAGCTAGTGAGTTCGGTGGCGGCCGAGAGATTGGTTTTGGACACTCTCCCAGGTAAGGGACGTTGGCCCAGGGGCTCGTAAGGGACAGCTCTGGCCCAAGAGGAAGGGGGTCCAGGCGAGAGGCAGACAGGAACGGTGGCCCTCTCTGCCACAGGTGTGAAGATCACTGAAGCTGGCGACATATCCCCCTGCCTCAGCCAGGTGAGCGAGGGACTGGGCACCCTCTTTTGCCCGCCAGCCTCCCCTTCCGGTTGTGGCTCTAACCCCACATTCTCACAGGGTGGCCCGCCTACAATCCAGGACAAGGCCGCCCACCTCCCTCCACTGTCCCTGAACTCGCTGGCCCAGGCACCCAGTAGTAACACTGGGAAGCGGCAGACCTGTGACATTGAAGGTACTTTGGGGATGATGGTGGCTAGGGACCAGAAGGGTTGGGGACCGTTGAGGGTGGGTGGCCTTAGAGAGCCTTGAGCTGAGGCAGAGGCGTGGATGTCACTGGGGCTGGAACAGGGTCCACTGGGGTTGAGGGACCAGAAAGGCTGGGACAGGGGGCGGGATGGGGGCATTGGTGCTGGGGTCAGGGAGGCTGTGGCCATAGTAAGGGCAGCAGGACTGTGGTAGGCTAGCATAGGTGGGTCTGCACCCATGGTCCCCTTGACTCTGCGGCCATCCCCAGGCCTGGTGGAGCTGCTGAACCGGGTGCAGAGCAGTGGAGCCCATGACCAGAGGGGCCTTCTGCGCAAAGAGGACCTGGTGCTTCCAGAATTTCTGCAGCTGCCTGCCCAAGGAGCCAACTCCCAGGAAGCCCCACCACAGACTGAATCAGCGGCCCAGCCCAAGGGGAGCCCCTCAGACTCCACTGCGCACTCGGCCCTCTGACAGCTGCCCAACCGTCCAGGCCGGCTGCATGGCACCTGGCGGGCCAAGCATGCCATGGGCCCGCTCTGCATGCCCTGTCTGTGCCATGAGTGTCCCTGGCCCCTTCCTGCCACGGGCAGGCCCGCAGGAAGAGCTGGGAGGGGATGGAGAGGCGACTCAGAGGAGTGACACTCCACAGCTGCCACCACTTGGTCCCTTACAGGCTTGCTCGTCCATCCCTTGCTGCCAGGCCACCAGGGGGAAGTGGGCCTAGCCCCCAGTGCAGGTGTGCCCAACATGGAGGGGCGGCGTTGGCAGTGCCAGCCTCCCCACCATGTGCCAGGCCTCAGCAACGAGTAGGAAGAGGGGTCGGCTCTTCCTCGGGGAGCTGGTATGAGTAAGGTCTGGGGGTGCAGGCAGGCAGGCAGCCCCTCCCTCTACCCACAGAGATGCTACTGGACTTTTGGATTTTGCAGTTGGCTTGGGGCAGCTGGGTTTGTCCTGGATGTATGATATTGTTATAATAATAATTATTATTCTGCCATAGGGCGTGTTCCTTGTGTGCCAGTCTACCCTGTGTGCCGCCCCCACCCCCAAACTGTGTTGCCTCTGTCACCAGGGTCAACGCCAGGAAGCCCTTGGGGACCTCAGGATGTACCCCCTGACTTCCTGTTGTCAGAACCTGTCTTCCTGACTGCACAGAGTATGGGGTGTGAGTGTGAGAGACAGGCAGAGACAGCCAGAGAGAAGGAGGGAGGGAAGGAGGAAGCAGGGGAGGGAGGGAGGAAGAGGAGGGAGGGGTAGACCCCTCTGGGCAGCTGTGCCTCTGCTGGTGTCATTGTGCTGTTCTCTGAATCTGAGTAGTGTCTGGTCACTGTCCTGTTTCTACTGGGGACTGAAAGTGTCTCTGTAGACATGGCGGTGGGCTACTTTGGATTCATCAAAGGCCTCGAGGAGGACACTGGTTTTTGTGGTGGGGGCAGGTTCTGCCCCCTGCCTGCTTTGGCTGGGTGGTCTTCTCTGTCCCCCAGTGGCCAGAGAAGCCCACAGCCCACACAGGGAGGAGGAACAGGGAGAACCCCAGAAGGAGAGCCCCAGCCTGGGGGCAGAGAAGCTAGACTCAGTCCCGGTGCTGCTGTGACAGAGGAAACAAGGGGACGCAGGAGCCTTGAGAAGGCACTGGGGTAGTGAGGGGCCCTCTTGACCACCTCCAACAGGTTGAGCTCTCTTCCCCACTCTAGCTCTTTGTACTTTCTGTGCCCTCTGCCAGGGGCTCCCCATACCTGCCCCCTATCTTGTAACTGGCTCCTCACCCTTGAAGTTCCTGGGAGAGATCAGTGCGGTTTGCTGGCCTTTCTCTAGAAGTCGAGCACAAGCCTTCCTCAGGGGGCCTTCATGGCTTGTAAACAAGAAAAATTTATTTCTCACAGTTCTAGAGGTCAGAACTCCAATATCAGGTACAAACATGGTGGGGTTCTGGTGAGGACCTTGTTCCAGGTTGTAGACAGCCAACTTCTGTGTCCTCACATGGTGGAAGGGGTCAGGGAGCTCTCTGGGGTCTCTTTGTAAGGGCACTAATCTCACTACATCCTCATTACCTAATCACCTCCCAAAGGCCCACCTCCACATACCATCACCTTGGGCATTGGGATTTCAACATATGAATTCAGAGGGACACAAATATTTAGACCATAGCACAAGGTGACCAGGAAAGCTCTCCTGAGGTGTATAAGCTGAGACCTTCAATGAAGCGGGACTTCTGTGTTTGTAAGTCTTAGAAATCCCACTCAGAGTCACAAGCACACACACACTGAAAGAATGCATTGGCTTATCTAATGAAGAAGTCTAGGAGTGACTGGGCTGGGTAAATTTAGGAGTTTAGATCATTTTAGTCAGGAATCTCCATCCATCTCAGTCCTGCTTTCTTGTGTTGGCTTCATTTGCACGCATGTTCTCTCCCTGCATGTCCTTTCTGCAAATCCCCAAAGGACGGTAGAAAATGACCAGGATTGGGATTCTGACTGGGGTCAGAGGGTCATTCCTGAACCACACTGAGTAGCCAAGCCTGGCTCATGAGATGACCTCAACAGCCAGAGGGCTGGGCCAAGCCAGCCAAACAAAATGGGCTGAGGGGCAGAGGGCTGAAGCCTAGGTAGAAGAGCCTCCATAGAGGTCAGCCCCTACAGGAGGAGGAATTCACATCTCCCGAGGTGTCCAAGTTAGGCATGCTCCATCCTTTATCTCATTTTGTCCTCACAACAAAACAGCCTGGTGGGGATGAAATCAAGGCTGCAGGGCGGTAAGTGACTAGTCCAGCATCATGCAGGGGATTGCCGCTGGGGTGTCACCAGCACTCAGGCTGTCTGACTCAGGGACACACACCAAGGAGGGCCTGGATGCTGTAGAAACCCCCACTGGGGAGCCAGGGCCCTCTCAGAGGAGGGCACATTGATGTGGCTACTCTGGGTTGGGGGGAGTTTGGGAATTTCTGCTAAAAATTAAAAACACACAGCATATGACCCCAGCAGTGCCACTAGAGAATCACTCACTTCTGGGCACGTGGAGGCCCATCGCTGCAGGGTTGTCTATTGCCTGAAAACTGGCAAAAGTGGATAGGGGTGGGGGGTAGGGTAACACACACATGCTCTGCGATACCACACAGCAGATAAAGAATTGGGTACAGCATGTCCTGCCATGGAAGGTTCTCCAAGACAGTTTGGTAAGAGAATGCAGAGCAATGAACATGGCATGATACCTTTATATAAACCACAAACACACAGGCACTTATAAATGTACAGAAAAGAGAGAGAATGTTCTAGAAGGATACATACCAACCTGACAGGGAGATGGGAAGCAGACCAAGAAGGGGTAGTGGTCAAAGGAGACTTTCACCTTTGCTTTAATATTTTTTAAAGGATGCAATTAAAAATAATTATAATATCACAAAGAACTCCCCAAAGCCACTTCTTTGTCACTGCTGGCCTGCCATCTCTTTCTCCAGAAGTGGTACCCAACTCTTCCATTAGGGGCTTCAGCCCACTGCCCCCTCAGCCCATTTTGACTGGCTGGGTGTGTCCCTCTGCCACAATCCCCTCGTGATCTCCTCCCCATCATGCCCCCTGAAGCAGCCCTGAGCCCTCACTGTCCCAGCCTGGCCAGGCCCCAGCTACAAGGAAGGGGGCCAGGAGCACCAGCTGGTTAACCCCTGAGGCCATGTTTCAAAGTCACTGCACAGAGGTGGACTCCTGGGTGGTCGGGAAAGTTAGCAGAGCTGCTTCCCCTCATCCCACCAGGTGGGAAGCCCGGAGAGGAGTCGGCCTGTTCACCCAGCACCCAGTGTGAAGGAAGGGAGAGAACACACATCTGCTGACCACTCTGCAGCCTCCAACACCCCCATCCTACAGAGTTCACAGGCTGAGAGAGGAGGCGTGACTTCCTCAAGGACACCCCTGGGGCCCAACCCCATGTGGCTCCAAGCCTCTAAGAAAGAATCTGTCTCTTGTCCCCACCCCCCACCTTAATAGCCTTGGGGTATGGGATGGGCACAGGGTGAGAACAGGGCACACAGTGACCTTGGCTCTGGGCCAGCGTGGGGGCAGTTACAGGCATTGGCTGCTCACCTGGAGCTGGGCTGCCAGTGCTAATGCACTGTTCTCTGGGGACAGCCACCCCACCCCCAAGGGCGAGCACAGAGTGCACCCGGTAGGGGGCCTGGTCTGGTGATCAGGTGACTCAGACTTCTGGGGGATTAGAGGCTGGAATTCAGCTTCCACAGGGAAATGAAGGCCCAGATGGGGAGGAACACATATGGTTGGTTACAGTGAGTCAAATGTAGCCAGAGCTGGGCACAGGCCCATACCACTGTACAACCACAGGGGCGCCATTCATGTCCACCATGGTCCTGGGGGTGTCCAAGAAGAGCTAGGGACATGAACATGTGCATGTGTCCTGTGACTCCTGCAGGGAGGGACTGAGTGAGTGGTGCTCTGTGACCATCTCAACTCCTGTCTCCAGAGAACTGACTTGGGGGTAAAGCGGAGGCAGAAAGCCAAGGAGGTGAATGAGCGTCCTACCTGCAGGCCAGCCCAGAGTGCCAGCTGCTAGGACAAAGTGGCCAGCTAAGATTGGTGGACCGGGGTAACCCTACAAGCCGAGGAGGCCCCCATCTTCCTGCCCCATTGCCAAAGCACTGAAGGAACCCAGAACCCAGACCAAAAACCTGAAGCTTGGAGTGTGGAACTGGAGCTTGGAATCTGGAGCACAAAGCCTGGATCTGGGGCCTGAAGCACAGACCCAGAACCTGGAGGCAAGAGCCAGAAGCCCAACCTGGTGTCTGGAATCTAAAATTGAAGATTAGGGCTCAGAACCCAGAGCCCAGCGCCAAGAACCAGAGCCCCAAGCTTGACATCTGATGTCTAAAACTGAAGCCCGAGACTGGAACTCAGATACTGGAGCCCACTTGAGGCCGGAACCAGAGTGGGGACCCCAGAAATTGGAGACAAGCTCCAGGCCCAGAGCATGAAAGCCAGGACCTGAAGTCTGAAGCCAACCTCCGAGCTTCAGGTCTGGAACCCAGAAGCCAGAGCCTGGGACCACCAACTGGGAGTCCACAGCCTCCCGTTCAGGCCTGGTGCCTGAGGCCAGCAGGAAGGGCATAGGGCTTGGGGCCATGTAAGGAAGGGAACTGCGGGGGAAGAGGTGATTTCTGAGAAAAGCCCAAAGCAGCCTCAGCTCTTTTGGCCACAGACTTTGGCCTTGTCAGTCAATGAGTGACCGGCACTTGGGCCACCAGGATTAATCATTACATGGGGCACTTATCCCCCAAACAAGGACAGGGCATCCTCAGGTCAGCCGCCCCTGCCCTGGACCCAGAGGATCTAATGTAGCCTTGGGCTACCCCTCTGGAAAGTGGGGCTCAGATGGGACAATGTCTCAGGGCCCTGCTTGATCTGTGCCAGGCAGCTCAGATCAAAATCCAGGCTCTCTAAGAGAGGACAGTCAAGAGGGCCAGGGGAGGGACTGCTCTGTTCCCAGAGGGAGGTGGCAGGTGACCCCTACCGTGTCACTCAGCCTGCTGGTGAGAGTGGATGCTTTGACCACAGACACAGAGAGGATGCACCCATGTGTGCAATGCACACTTATGCTGTGTTGGTGTGCAGTTGTGCTGGCTGCATGCCGGGCAGGAATGTTGATGCCCATATTCCCGATGTACAGCACTGTGCCGCCTCCGTGGGGCTTATATGTTGGTTGAATATTAAATAAACATATTGATGAGAAGAGGCACAAGTTTCTCAAACTGTGCTGATGGGAAACCCTGTTGTCATTAACCAGATCCCCTCAAAAAATCCAGGTCATGAACAGATGGTCTGGAATGTCAATTTTTCCTCCTTTGATTGTCGTTAAACTTTAGGTCCTGCAGAAAACTTACGTGCAGCAAATTGTGTGTATTTAAGGAGCAAATGGATCTTAACAGAGAATTGTAGAAAGGGAGAATAACTGGAGCTGGTTGTGCCAGCTTCCACAGATTGCTCCCTTTCTGGACCACACACTTGCTCTTGGGACCATTCTCTACTCCGTTCAGCAATCATGCCGCTCCTGGAGAAATCCTTGTCGTCGGTGTGACGAAATTCAGTGTCTGTCAGCCTGTCCCATGCACGTTAGCCATGCTATCTCTGCTCCCACCTCCTTTTCCTTCCCCTCCTACAGCACTGCCCCGACTAGGCTCTCGAGGGCCACTAAATCCACTCTGTTCTCACGTTTCCTGACACCTCAGCAGCATTGGATCTTGCTGACCAGGGTATCTCTTTCAAAACGTGGGCAACCCTGGCTTCTGGGGCATCTGCTTTTCTGCTCTTCCTCCCTATCCCTGCTGTGCCTCTTCCTGTGTCCTCCCTCAAATGTGGGTGCTCCTCTGGGCTTGGCTGGGTCTCTCCTGACTGTGCACACTCTCCCTGGGGGCACCTTCACCTGAGGCCACTCAGGCAGGAAGCCAAGTCACGCTACACCCTGAGGCTGTGACAGGATGCTTGTCTTTGGGCTAGCTGGGGTAGGATTTAAAAGGAAGAGGGGTGACATGGTGAGGTTTGCATTTTGGAAGGCTGGCTGGCTGCTTTTTTGGAGACTAGATTGAGGGGAGCCATCAGAGAGAAAGGCTACTACAATAACCCAGCTGAGAGATGGTGGCCAGACCGGGGAGGGGGCAAAAGGATTAGGGAGCTCCCAGAAAAGGAAAATTGGGAGAATTGGGGGATGAATTTGAGACCAAGGGGTAGAGAAGAAGCGTGTGTCAAAGATGCCTCCTCCATGTCTGGCTCCGTGTCTGGACCACATGCTGCTCACTGAGGTTGCAACATGCAAGAGGCCCCATTTGGGGAAAGGAGAACATCGCGTGCTTCAGACCCGCAGCTCCAACTGCTCGCGCCAGAGACACCTCAGACACAGTGGTACAGTTCAGTACAGACGGATCTTTGCATCTTCCCTCCAAAACTGCTCCTCCTCCTGGGTGCCTTTCTCAGTGTGAGACACCACCAGCCACCCAGGCTCCAGGCCCAGAGGTCTGGGGGAAGCCGTGGCCAGAGTGCAGGTGAGCAGACAGGGCAGGACTCACCATTCAGGGGAACACAGGGTCTGTCACAGACAGAGAGGAGGCAGGCCATGAGCAGGAGTGGGCTGAGATGAGCAGAGGGGCTGAAATGCTTGGGGTCTGGGGTGTGGCCACCTTCTCCACTGCTCTCAAGGGTCCCAAAGGCAGCTCTGGTCAGCTCCCAAGTCTCCATGCTTTTGCTAGGGCTGTGGCAGCCCCACTCCCCACAAAATATTTTTGCAAGTGGCGGAGATCCATAGCATTATGTAATTGTTTCTCTTGCGATGCATTTGATTAATAACTGCCTCTCCCGCTAAACCCTGAGCTCCACGAGGGCAGGGAAGGTAGGCTTCAAAGCTGTCAAAGATCCAAACCTTATTAAAAAGGAGACACACCCCCAGCTCATAAGGAGTGCCTTGGATACCTCTGCTCCTGCCTGGGGTCTGACTGGAGCAGGCAGGGGAGAGGACCATGCCTGTGGGCGGGGGTGCACGTACCCAGACAATCTCTGAGCCCATCAGCTCAAGGATGAATCCAACACAAGAACTCAGTAATAATTGCATTTCCCTGGATCAGCAACGCCCCTCCCACCCGTGCATGAATGCCAGCCTTACCCAAATCACTCCCTCCAGGTAGGAGAGGTTCTAGGACACCCAAGGGTTCACCATGTAAGTTAGGGTTCATGACAGAACGTGATGCAACCATTAAAAACAACATCTGTGCTGAGTGTAAAGACACAGGAAAAGGCTTATGTTATAATGTTAGATGAAAAAAAGCAAGATGCAGTCTTCCAGAGACAATAAAATCCAAAGTAGATAGAAAAGGCACAGGGAAAAGGACAAAAGGCGGTGTTTTAAACAACACGGTGATGTTTTTGAGAAGCAGGATTGTCTTTATTTTCCTTTTTGATATAAATGGAACCTTTCTAGCAAGCACTGGGTAGCTGATTCCCTGCCTTATTTCCCCAGAATCTTCCAGAACAAGCCATAAGACTATATGGCTTATTGTCCAAACCAGGGCACTTTGCAGAGTGAAAGGGGACTCTGGGCCAACAGTCATAAACCCGGACTTGGCCAGGCAAACCAGGACTTACAGTCACTCTCCTCAAAACCAGTCCCAGCTGCACCTCCGCTCCCCCAACCCCTCTCTACCCTGTGGGTTCTGTGGCCTAAACTACCACGGCCACAATGTGGTGGCGCTGGGATCCAAACCCAGGCTGGCCTGTTCTCCGCTCTTAGCCACTTCGACAGAGTCTGTTGTCTGTGTCGCCCTAAGATGTGTAAGATGTTGAGTAAGATTTGTAGCTCAGGGGACCCTGAGCAAACAGAGTAGCTGGTGAGCCAAGAGTTGTTGACCTGAAACAGGGCTGAGAATCTAGAGGAGATGGGGCCATTTCTTTGGCGGGGACACTTCAGCCATCCTGGAGACAGTGAAAAGGGCATGAGGGCATGAAGAGAACAAACATGCTGAGGGACTTTGTTCTAGGCACTGAGATGGGTCATTTATCTCATTGAATCCTACAACTCACTGAAAAATTCATGCTCATTGCCATTTTATAAGGGAAGGGACTAGGGCTCAGGGAGGTGAGTACTTAGAATCCCAGGCCGACTCAGGGACTGGACCATTTCTTGGATCAGGAGAGAAGCTGGCCTTGCAATCTTGGCTCAGCTTGGAATAGGAACTCAACTACTGTGCTTAGAAATGGATGGATAGACACAGGGCTGGCTGGCTGGCTGGCTGGCTAGGTGGATGGATGGAAGGATGGATGGATGGATGGATGGATGGATGGATGGATGGATGGATGGGCCGATGGATGTTAGGTCACTCAGACAGTTGCCCAAGCTAGATCTTGAACGGAACTCACCACTCCTGGATCTGAGAAAATCTTAGTCCCTTAGAAGGGAAGCTCCCTTCTCATCTCTCTGTGAATATGGGCCCCAACTCAGGCTCCAAGCTCCTGTAAAGAGCAATAAGCTTCTCAAAGACTCTCTAAGACCCCTGTCTGGGTTTCAGGGACTCTACAACAGACCTCATGTTATCATCAACTTCCTGATCCAGAAGCCCAACTGTGATATATTTCCTCTCCCTCCCACCCTCCCAACACCAATTGTCCTGCCCAAGTATCCCTGGGATGCATCTTCTCCTCTCCATCCCTCTTCTTCCCACTTAGATTCAGACCTCATCCTCTCTCACCTGGACCATCTCATCACCCTTTTAACCAGTCTCTCTGCTTCCAGACTCACTCCCTTTGACACATCCGAACCCCACACACCTGGGACCATTCTAAAATGCAGACCAGGGCCTGCCCCATCTGGCCAGGGGCAGATTCTCTCAGGCTCACATCCTGGATCTGTGGTCTTGGACCCTCCACAATTCAGCGCTACATAGCTTCTCTGGGTTTGTCTTCTGTTGCTTCCTCCATCACACACTCCCTCTCCTCTAAATGCCCCTCAAGACACACAGAGAGACCCACAGACACTCAGATGCAAGGCAAGGCTGAAGAGTGTTTGTGTTACTCCTTGCGGAGTACTGTCAGGCCAAGAAGGAGGGAAAGGGGCCAGAGCCATGGAATCTCTGGGGACCCTGGGAACGAGGTGCCTGAGTGGCATCAGGGTCTCTGCCTGGGGGCATGGGATGCATCTGTGCCCTCCTTGCTGGGTCTGGGTCATGGTTCTAGCTGAGTATCTGTGTGGGGGAGGGGAGAGCCTGTCCACAGACTCCCCCTGCAGAGCTGACGATTAGCAATTAACCGGGAGGAATTTAGGGGGGTGAGGTTAATTGGGGAACAGAGGGAGGGCAGCTAGGGTTCCAGGGACTTTGCCCTTGACCCGAGGGTATAAAGAAGAGGATCCCAGGTTCTCTTCAGGCCCCTAGGGTTTCCCTGAGCATCTGAGCAGGAGCTGAAACACAGAACACCAAGGTGAGTCCAGGGTCCCCACATCCCAACCCCATCCCCAACTCTTAGTAGGAAACAGGCTCCTCACCTCTGTCCTTACTGTGCCTCTTGTTTCCTGTCCCCTATAACATCTCAGTCCCAGCCCAGCCTGGCTCACTGCTCCAGAGTAAAACAGACTCATGCTCTTCCAGGGCTTGGAATTCAGCTCTGCATGCCCCACAACCCCACAGCCAGGGCCCTTGGAATAAGGTTGGGGGTGAAGGGTGGGGTGCTGAAGCAGACTGGGGCACTCCCACCCCAACAGCCGGAAACTCCTGTGGCAATTCAGGGGCAGCTAAAGCAAGTCAAGGGCTTCCCAGACTTGGGGACAGGATGGGGGCCCTCCTTAACTAAACAAGTCCTGGTCTGAGCCTCATTCATGGCAGAAAGGCCCATCAGTGCTTGTTTATTGCTGGGGGGTAAGGGTGGATGGGGAAAGAAGTTCATTTGTGAGGATGAACCCCTGTGCCCCAGGGGCACTCTGGTGACACCTGCATCTGTCATTAGAACACTTGCTCCCATTGCCATGTTCCATCTATTTGAGGGATTATTTCATTGACATCTGATTCTCCACTAGACTTTGAGCTTCCTGGGGGAAGGAGCTGCATCTGTACTTAGCCAGCTGTACCCCAGCATCAAGCTCAGTGCCTTAGATAGAGTAGATGCTCAATAAATACTTGCTGAATGAATGAATGAATGAATCCCCAAATCTGTGCTGAGACCTGAGTGTGCAGCTCTGGGTGTGTGTGTGTGGGGTTGGAGGGTGTGCTTCGCTGGAGGTATGTTTGTGATCACACACCATGGGTGGTTGCACACGTGAGTGTATGGGTGTGGGTGTGGAGGGATGGGTGTGTGAGTGTGTATGAGTTTCCAGGACACAGCAGTTCTCAGTGTTGCTGTGCCCCTGATGTGCAGGGCCCACAGTGTGTACCCAGGATGATGTCCTACGGAGAGAGGCTGGAGGGCCGGGCTGTCTCCCCACTCTCAGTCTGTGGGGGGCACATGACGTGTGGGGCGGCGTTTACCTATGTGCCCAGCCCACAGGGTGAGTGCTGCTCCCACCCCTGGACCCTGCTTGCCCTCAGTTGCCCACGTCCTGCCCCGGTGGGGAGGCCTCCACCCCTCTGCCCACGCCTCCCAACCTCCCCAGGACCTGGGGCCTCAGGGAACTCCTGACCAGCCTCGCTCCCCAGTCCTGCACAGGATTCCAGGGGCCTCAGCCTATGCCTTCCCCAGCCTGGGCCCCGTGGCCCTCGCCGAGCAAGGCTGCCCCTACGGGGAGGTTCTGGAGCACCATGACCCGCTGCCTGCCAAGCTGGCCCAGGAGGATGAGCAGAAGCCAGGTGGGCCTGGGTAGGGGTGGCAGGGGTGTCGGCAGTCACTGGCAGAGCCCTCCAGCCACTGTGCTCATGACTGGCCCCTCTCCAGAGCCTGGGTTGGCCCAGAAGCTGTGCCGGGCTGGCTTGACGCTCCTCAAGGTACCACTGATGCTCGTCTTCCTCTATCTCTTCGTCTGCTCCCTGGACGTGCTCAGCTCAGCCTTCCAGCTGGCCGGAGGTAGGGGAACAGAACCAGAGGAATTATAGAAACAGAACCTGCAGGAGATATATAGAGATCTATGATTTATTGCAAGGAATTGGCTTACGTGATTGTGAAGCACGCTGGGCCTCTTGGGCAGAAGCCAATGCTGCAGTGCACAGGTGGAATTTCTCCTTCCCCAGGGAAGCCTCAGGGGAGAGGTAGGGCGGAGGGGAGGGGACCAGGGAAGGGTTTTGAAGGGTCTCGGACAACGCTGGCTCATGCTCCCCAGGGAAGGTGGCTGGCGACATCTTCAAGGACAATGCCATCCTGTCCAACCCGGTGGCGGCGCTGGTGGTGGGGATCCTCGTGACCGTGCTGGTGCAGAGCTCCAGCACCTCCACGTCCATCGTAGTCAGCATGGTCTCCTCCGGCTGTGAGTAAGCCCACCAGGGCCAGGGAAGGAGTTGGGGGCTGGGTCGCTGGACGCGCGGCTGGGGTGGGAAGAGCAGGAGTGGGGGCAGGGACCGCGGGCAATGGGCAGCTCTGGTGTCTCCCACTCTGTTCTCCAAAGCATGGCCTGGAGTCTCAGCCAGGAGGGGCGCCCCAGGAGCTGGGAAGGGTGGCAACTAGGGAGTACAGCCTCAGGAAGGCTCACCTTCATGTCGCCACACAGTCACTCATTCCATCAATCAAGGGAACAGAACCAGAGGAATTAGAGAAACAGAACCTGCTTGAGATATATAGAGATCTATAATTTATTGCAAAGAATTGGCTTACGTGATTGTGAGGCAGGCTGGGCCTCTTGGGCAGAAGCCAATACTGCAGTGCACAGGTGGAATTTCTTCTTCCCCAGGGAAGCCTCAGTTTTGCTCTTAGGGCCTTTAATCTCATGAGATGAGGCCCACCCAGATTATTGAGGTTAATCTTTTCTCAAGGTCAATTGATGGTTGAGGCAAATCCATCCGCAAAAGACCTTCACAGCAACATCTAGGTTAGTGTTGGACTGAATAACTGGGTACTAGCCAAGCTGACACATGAAAGTGATATCACACTTGTGTACACATGTACACACACAAGCACAGAGACACATTTGAATTTAGGACCCGTGCCCTCGTGGACATGCACCCACACACTCGTTCACATATACACAGGTGCAGTACACATATGTGAACATCAGTTCACATGTACGCACACATGTAAACACACAGCATGTGCCCCCATGTACCTGTGATGCTGAGGCTGAGCAGAGTCAGCAGCATGGCAGGAATGCCTGCTGGGGGCTGGGATGAGGGCAGTGGGTCTGACAGGAGAGGTTGTGGGGCAGGAGCTGGGTGGCCCTTATCCAGTTAGTTAAGAGGCGCCCTCTTCTACCAGTGCTGGAGGTAAGCTCTGCCATCCCCATCATCATGGGCTCCAACATCGGCACCTCCGTCACCAACACCATCGTGGCCCTGATGCAGGCGGGGGACAGGACTGACTTCCGGCGGTGAGGGGGTGGAGCAGTGAGGGGCCTGTCCTTGTCGGGGGAGGGTGGTCCCCGATGCCAGGAGCCCCCAATCTGAGTGCATCCTGGCTCCAGCCTGCCCTGCAACGTGGCCTCCCTGCCCAGGGCCTTCGCGGGGGCCACAGTGCACGACTGCTTTAACTGGCTGTCAGTTCTGGTCCTGCTACCCCTGGAGGCTGCCACCGGGTACCTGCACCACATCACTCGACTTGTGGTGGCCTCCTTCAACATCCGCGGCGGCCGCGATGCCCCTGACCTGCTCAAGATCATCACAGAGCCCTTCACTAAGCTCATCATTCAGGTGGAGGCAGGGCTGTCATGGGGTGGGGGCTGGGGGACTGTAGGACCCCACCCTCACTCCCCCCTCCCACACCTTACCCACAGCTGGACAAGTCCGTGATTACCAGCATTGCCACGGGGGATGAGTCCCTGAGAAATCACAGTCTCATCCGGATCTGGTGCCACCCAAACCCCATGGAGGTGAGTCCCAGGTCTGGCTTCAGTGAGAAGACTCCTTCTTCAGACAGCTGACTGCCAGTGTCGTCTGTTCAAAAGCTCTATGTAGACCTAGGGGATCATTTACCCTGGGAGGACAAATATGGGGCACTTTTGAGGTGATACTGTGCCTATGGCAGATGTTGCTACACCCTGCCAGCCTCACACCAGCTTCAGGCAGCCATTGCCAATCAATTAGAGTTAGCATGTCATCGATCTAGCCCAGAGATTGGTTCTCAAAGTGTGGACCAGTGGCACACATACCACCTGGGAACCCATTAGAGATGCAAACTATCCGGCCCTTTCCTAGACCCACTAAATCAGAAAAAAACAGGTGGAGCCCAGCAGCCTACATTTCAACAAGCCCTCTAGGGCTGTTCCACGCTCAAGTTGAAGAACCGCTGATATGGCTCAACCCTGTGGTTTCATAGGTAGAGAAATTGGCTCCAAGGGGCTAAGAAACTCTCCAGAGCTTGTCCTACCGCTTCAGGGCCCCAAGCGCAGGTCTTGCAATCTAGGGCTCTCTCTTCCCCCGGGGGCCAGGGGGGTTAATGTCTCACTTCTGCCGTGTTTGGGGGCCCAGGTAATGTGCGGAGGTGGGCGGGGAGAGAGTGCTATAAGGATGCCTGGGAAAAATAGGACCAACAGGAAACTGGTCCAGGAGCAGGACAAGTGGGCCATGGACACCTCACTGGAGACACAACAGCCACTTGTACTGATATTGGGCTCCTTCCCCTGGAGACTCCCACAGGCCGGTGTCCCCTTGTCCTGCTGCACTCTTCCTGCTGCTTTCTGGCTTCTAATGCCTGGAATGAGGCTCCGTTTGGATCAGTTGGACACTTGTGGACCAGCCATTACACCAGGCTAACATGGAAGCTAACTATTAGCACACTTTCTCACTCAGCCATAAAAAGGAAAATGCTTCATCAAAACCCTAATCCACAGTATTTGCTCCCCCTTGATTATGACATACAAGAAGTAACACCATTTAGAATGAAAGACAAGGAAACAGGAAGCCCAGCACACCCTCTTCACTTGCTACTTGATGTTCCCATACTTTACCCCAGTGTGAACAGAGAACATTCTTTCAACTGGCCCTGCGAGGTTCCTTTGCATCTGAGTGGCACACAGCTCCAGCTCAGTCCTTCTGAGTGTTCAAGGCAGTTTGACATCAAAAAGCCCATGCAGACAGCTTTCACGCTGGCTTTGTGACCCCTCTAACACATCTCCCCTTCTCATGAGCACTCTGGGCCCTCTCCAAGCTCTCTGAACGGCCAAAATCCCATCTGCTTCACAGCAAAACCTGAAAGAGACCAAAGTCACACACTTTGAACTTCACAGAAAGCAAGCTGTGGAAGGGAGCTCCTCAGCCGTGGCGATCCTCGAGTCCTCTGAAATCCCTGCTGCCTGCCTGCAGCTGCATTCACCTGGTCTCCCCTTGAAGGATGCACCGGCAAATGTAGCTCTCACCCAATGGAATCCTCAGTGACGCTGGTCCTGAGGCCAAGGGACTGGAAGCAACCCACCCAAGTTCACTGGGCCGGGGCTGTCCTCACTGGTTCCTCCGCTGCGCCTGCTACCACTCGCCTGAGCACTGTTTTCTCATCCCAGCTCTCCCGGGAAACCTTCCCTTGAGAGCAGGGTCCAGACTGGATTTCCTTGGCTTGGAGAGTAGCTGGGGGTGGGATGTGAGCTCCCTGTTCTGGCCCTCTCTCTGGGACAGTCCCCTTTGGAAAGTGGCTCACTCAGCCACGTGCACTGGCAGCTCCTGCACTGAAGACTCACGTTTTTCCTCTGGCCACCGAGTCTCCTGTGGCCCCTTCCAACCTGTTCTCATTGCTTCCAGCTTTCACCAAGCTAGGCCCAAGCTCGCCTAAGCCAGCATCCAGGGCACCTATGTGACTGACAGTCTGGGGTTTTCCAGATGGTGAAAGAAAAACCAGAGGCAGTGTTTGTTAGCATCCTAACAATTCTTGATGTTCCAGGGTCCTGACACTGTCCTGGGAATTACCTTCTTGTGTGGTCACAGTGTGGATTGTCAACCCTACATACCTGGTTTAAACCAGCTTCTTTTGAGGACTTGCATCCTGGGAGGCAGGGATTGTCACAACCCCATTTTAAACAGGTTCAGACAGGCTTGTCCAAGTCTATGTGATTGAGGTAGGACAAAAATCCTGGTGGAATCTGGAGCCCACACTCTTGACTCTCCATTTCGCTGTCCCTTCCAGATGTATATCCCACCATATGTGTCCATTTCCCACTCTGCCTATCAGGCGTGAATGCCACCAGGTGACCACAGCCACTTGAGAACCTCCAGGGGTGGTAGGTGTGGCCGTAAAAAAAAAAAAAAAAAAAAAAAAATCAATTCTCCCCTTTGCCACCAGATGGCGCTGCTAGCAGAGCACTCACGCTCTGCTTCCAGAAAAGCAAAGACCCTAAAACACCTCTTCTCCTGGTGGGGAGACTACTGCGCACACCCACATCCTGCACGGTTTTCCCCAGGGGAAGGATTCTTGGAGCCCACATTCCTCTGTGAGCTTAATCATATGCTTCAGTTCCCAGAGGTGCCTCCTGAATTTGGGTTGTCTCTGCAAGCACATAAATCCCAAACTCTTTCTTCCCAGATTCCTCACAACTAGCCCCTGGGGAGAAGTGGGCAGCATTATGGACCTCATGCTTCAGACAGAGAAACTGAGGCTTAGAGAGGTTACCTGTTTTGTCCAGTGTCACACAGCAGGGAGTGCTCAGCTGGGGTTGAGCCCAGGGCTAAGGCACCCCCTCCACATGCCCCTCCCTCTCCTCCACCCCCACCTACCCCAGGCCCAGGAGGGATGGGCATATCCTGGGGCTATGCCCCAGACCCTGGGCCTGGCAGCTCTTTATCTAGGCTGGAGCTCCCACCTTCCCCTCTGCTGGCCAGGGAAACCCCAGGGCCTGCTCCTTCCCCTCCCGTCTCTGCCCACCCAGCCCGGCAATGCAGTTGACCCCCTCTCTGCCACTCTTGCTGCCTCCACACTCCTCTCTTGCACTTTAGGGTCTCTGGACTGGCCCTTTGAGCTCAGCCAGGGCCACATAACCCCAGGCAGGAAGGTCAAGTTTCCAAACCTCAGAAGTCCTAGCCTCCAGCCTTGCCCTGCCCCGACATTGTCAGCACTGAGTGGGACCCCAGTGGAGCTCCTCTCCTCCTCTTCCAGCCTCCCCAGGTCCCAGAGAACCCTCCCCCAAGAGACCCCTAGACCCAGTGCAGTGCAGGATGGTCCACCAAGTTCCTTCCCAGCAGGGCCAGGATATTCAGGCATGTCTGCAGGAGCCATTGATCCTGACCTAGGAAGTCAACCCGTACCCACACACCATGTGATACTAGATAGGCCCAGGAAGGAGGGGGTCTAATCCTTATTTGGAGGCACAATTTATCGAAGGCTTGTCATAATCTAAGCCCTGTCGTGAGTGCTTCACACATATTTCCTCCTGTAACCTTTGCAACAGCTCTTTACTTTTCCTGCTTTAGAGAAAACAGGCTCAGTGAGGTGGCATGACTTGCACAAGGTAGCTGAGATAAAAGCAGGATTTGAACTCAGATCTGCCAGACAGCAAACACCCAGCTGTCTCCCAGTTACCACCACTTTCCCAGCCGGCTTTTCCAATCAAGCCCATCAGAGACTATTTTCTCCTGGTTTCTCGGCCTGCAATTCTGGCCCAGGCTTGAGGATGTCCCAGGGCCCTGGTATGGCCAACTGGGTACACAGAGGAGCACGCTGCCCCCCTCAAGGGAGTACATGCCATTAAAATAAACCCCGATTTAAAGTCAGGTGCCATAAATGGTTCTTATCTCTAACACACATTCTTTTTTAAATGACACAGGTTAGAATAAAACATAAAGGAGCTGTAAATCCAAGTACCAGCACCACACCTGAGCCCTTACCCTCAGCACCCAGGAAGGTCAGAGGGGTGTGAGATGGAGACCCCACAGGGGGAATGGGACCAGGGTCCATATCAGCTCCCAGAGGAGGCAGATGGTGGTGACGGGGAGAAGCTGTGACTCTTTCATTTTGCCTGGGGCCCAAGGAGTAAGGGCCCCTTTCTGCGGCTCAAGTCCTCCTTTGTGACATGGCTTCTTCCTAAGCCCACTCTCTACTTTCACTGATGGGACCCTGGGGGAAAGGTAAGGAGCCCAGGTTGCATTTTTAAAAAGAATTCCTTAGGGAATTCCCTGGCAGTCCAGTGGTTAGGACTCCACGCTTTCACTGCTAGGGGCCTGGGTTTGATCCCTGGTCGGGGAACTGAGATCCCACAAGTTGTGCCAAGGAAAAGGAAAAAACTCCTTAACCCAAGAAGGCTACGAATGAGTGGTTCCAGACTGGCCAGACTGGCCTTCACAGAATTGTAAAGTATGTCTTAAAGCGGTTGCCAACATTTACAGATTGGGAGATTTTATCTAAACCTTCAGAGTTGTGGTTTCTCTTGTAGAATCAGGCCCTTTGGCTAAGCTGGGCTAAATCCCTGGACAGTGACAGTGGCCTGGAGCTGAGTAGCTGCTGCCCCTTTAGGCCCAGGACACTCCCCACCACCCCCACGCAAGGCTGAGCCCCTCACTTAGGCTACCTGCTTGGTCCTGGGCCTTCTGATTTAAGGGCCCTCTCCAGGAACCCCCTCCTCTTCACCGATAGTAGGTGGGGGAGGGAAGAGATGTTGGTCCTGGGCCCTCTGCCCCACCCCCTCCAGATAAGGAATTGAGCAAGAGGAAAACAGAACGTGGGCTACGTGCCTGAGAGGAGAGGACAGGGCAAGGATTCTGGTGAAGAGGAGGCCCTGAGACAGGGATTGATAACAAAAGATGGGGAAGGGAGAGTTTTCAGAAGAAGTGGGCCATGGTCAGCAGCCTCCAATGCCAAGGAGAGGTAGAAGAAAACATGGACAAGACACCATCAGATCAGGAGGCCCCTGCGGGCCGCCTTGAGAGCCAGATCAGTGGGTTGATGGGGCTGAATATTCTGAGGGCCGACTACAGCCAGATTCTCCTGTGGCAGATATTTTCAACTCCATTTCATCATTGGAGGAAACAGACTCAGAGAGGGCAAGCAAAGCATTCAAGGGCATGTAGTCAAGAGGACCATCTGGGGCTTCCCTGGTGGCGCAGTGGTTGAGAGTCCGCCTGCCGATGCGGGGGACACAGGTTCGTGCCCCGGTCCGGGAAGATCCCACATGCCACGGAGCGGCTGGGCCCGTGAGCCATGGCCGCTGAGCCTGTGTGTCCGGAGCCTGTGCTCCGCAACGGGAGAGGCCACAACAGTGAGAGGCCCGCGTACCGCAAAAAAAAAAAAAAAAAAAAAGAGGACCATCTGTATCCCCTCCATCCCCCATCTCTCCCTAACCCCTACCTTAGCCCCCATCCCAGGCTGCATTTTCCTGAATTCTCTAAGTCACTCTCCTCTTAATCTAGGTTCCCTCCCGCAGGCCCAGGGCAGAGGCCAGCACCAGCCGGATGCTTGGAAATGCCACCATGGAGAAATGTGAGTACCTGCAGCGTGGGAGATGTCTGGCATGGCAGGGCAGAGTCTGGCAGAGGCAGGGTCATCTCCCACCTGGCCACTGCTGCTTCCAGCCCCAGAAGGACAGCTGTCAGCCAGCCCAGCTCTTGGGCTTTGGTCTGGAGGTTCAACCTGCTCTAGAGGTTGAAGAGACATGAGGCAAGGCCTTTGGCTCTGAGCCCAAGAGGGTGGCAAAGGTTGGGGGCTAGGAGCTGGATTGAGGGAGTCAGCTCTCAGAAGCTTGATACCACTACCACCACCCTCCCACAGGCAGCCACATTTTCGTGGACACAGGGCTGCCTGACCTGGCTGTGGGGCTCATCCTGCTGGCTGGCTCCCTGGTGCTCCTGTGCACCTGCCTCATCCTCCTCGTCAAGATGCTCAACTCTCTGCTCAAGGGCCAGGTGGCCAAGGTCATTCAGATGGTTATCAACACTGGTGAGCCTCGAGCAGTGGGTGGGCAGGCCCCAGGATGGGCCCTTCTGGATCTTGCTGAGTCCTGCCACTGCCTTGGTGTGTGATCTGGGTAAAGCCCTACCATCTCTGAGCCTCAGTTTCCCCATGTGAACACAGAAGAGATTGGACGAGGTGATTTTTGAGGCCCCTGAGGTGCTGACAGCTGGGGATCTGTGGCTGCTTCCGGCTGTGGTTCCATTCTAGCAGGTGGCTCCAAAGAGATTCTCAGAGGCCATTGTTTGATTCAATTAATAGTCATTAAGCCCCTACTGTATGCCAAGCATGGCGTGGTGCCAGGGATACAGAGGTGAGCCACACAGAGATGGCTCCTGCCCTCAGGGGACTCACAGCCCAGAGGGAGAGACAAGCAATAAATAAGTGATTGAGGGGGGATAAATTCAGACAGAGCAGTAACTGCCAAGGAGAAAGCAAAACACAGCAAATAGAATATGGAAGAGGCTGCTTTTGATGGGTGGTCAGTGGCTTCTGTGCAGAGGTGACATTTGAGCAGGGACCTAAATGTGGAGCAGTCAGATGTGGCTGAAGAGCTTTTCGGGTGGAGGGAACCTACCCGAAAGTGCAAAGGCTCCAAGGCAGGACTCAGCTGGGCAGAACTGTGGCACAAAAAGGTGGCCAGCAGTGTGGTGGGAGCTCAGTGAGGTGGAGAGAGGTAGGGAGACGTCAGCGAGGTAACAGGGACAGAGCAGGTCCCAGGCTGCACTCAGAGCCTAGACTTTATCCAGGGTAATAGGGGTACTTGGGGGTTTGGGCAGGGCAGTGATACCATCTGACTTTCATTTAAGCCTCATTTTGAGCTTTGGGGACACTGCCTGGCACTGGCAAAGGCAGCATGACAAACGCTGGAATAAGGGGCATCCATGGATCTATGGGAGCTCAGAGGAGGGAGAAGCAAAGTCTGCCCAGGGGCTGGGGTCAGGGAGAGCTTTCCAGTGGCAGTGATATCCACGCTGAGTCCCGAGGATGAATATTTAGGAGTGAGAAGGATGTCCCAGGCAGAGGGAACAAGGGAGCAAAAGCATGATAGAAGCAGGCTGAGAAGGGCCTTTAATCCAAGATCAAAGAGGACCAGGAAAAGCCACCGCAGTCGAGCAGGGGACTGACAAGGTCCCACTTGGAAGCTGACATGGATTCCTCCTCCCAAAGGAAAGTCCCTGCCCCCTCCCAATGCCCTCCCACTGACCCTACTGGGACCGTTTGCTCGCAGACTTTCCCACCCCCTTCACCTGGGCCACAGGCTACTTTGCCATGGTGGTGGGCGCTGGCATGACCTTCGTTGTCCAAAGCAGTTCTGTATTCACCTCGGCCATCACCCCACTCATCGGTAAGTCCCCACGCCGAGGCAGGGTCAGGTGGGGCAGGGCTGACAGGAAAAGGGCTGAAGGAAGGAGCTGGGGAGACCATGTCCTCTCCTCTACCCCCAGGCCTGGGTGTGATCAGCCTTGAGCGCGCCTACCCACTCACACTGGGCGCCAACATCGGCACCACCACCACGGCCATCCTGGCTGCACTGGCCAGCCCCCGGGAGAAGCTGTCCAGTGCTTTCCAGGTGCGCTTGGGAGAGTAACCCTGCCAGAGGCAGGACAGGGCTAGGACTGGTGCCTGGAGCCTGACCCAACGTAGGACAACACGTACAAATTAGTTTTTGACTGCCTACTACGGGCCACCTGCTATGCCAGACTCTATGGGAACCATACGGGCAAAGTATACCTGGTGCTGCCCTCAAGACCTTAGTGTCTAACAGGGGAGAGACATTACTGAGAGCCACACCAATCAAACAAGAGTGAGAGGGATTTGTACTCTGAGGAAGGGGTGCTGGCTCAGTTTGGGAGATCAAGGACTGGGGGGGGCAGACAGCAAAGGGGTTGCTGTTCTAGGAGCAAAGGAGTAACTGATAAGCCAGGATGTTGCCCACTCAGAAGGCCAGAGCTCCTGAGCCAGAAACTGATGTGAATCTTTTAGCTACTGGATCTGGGCAGGATCTGCTGGGGAATTCCTGAGAGGGAGATCAGTGGGGGAAATGTGGGGAGTTCAGGGCGGCAGTTATTTACCTACTGGTCCAGAAGTGTTTCAGTGTTTTACTGGGGGAATGTCAGCCCTAAGTGCTGACTTTCCTGCTGCCCAGACCCTGTAGGGCCACTGTTATCTATCCTGACTCAGGAGCTGGCGCCCCTGCCCACCTCCACCCCTCCCCCCTCTCCCCTGCAGATTGCCCTCTGCCACTTCTTCTTCAACATCTCAGGCATCCTGCTGTGGTACCCAGTGCCCTGCACGCGCCTGCCCATCCGCATGGCCAAGGCGCTGGGCAAACGCACTGCCAAGTACCGCTGGTTCGCCGTCCTCTACCTCCTCCTGTGCTTCCTGCTGCTGCCGTCGCTGGTGTTTGGCATCTCCATGGCAGGCTGGCAGGCCATGGTAGGTGTGGGCACACCCTCTGGGGCCCTGCTGGCCTTCGTGGTACTTGTCAGCATGCTGCAGAGTCGCAGCCCCGGGCACCTGCCCAAGTGGCTGCAGACATGGGACTTCCTGCCCCGCTGGATGCACTCCCTGCAGCCCCTGGACCACCTCATCACCCGCGCTACCTTGTGCTGTGCCAGGCCCGAGCCCCGCTCACCCCCGCTGCCTGCCAGGGTCTTCCTGGAGGAGCTGCCCCCTGCCACACCCTCCCCCCGCCTCGCGATGCCCAATCACCACAACGCCACCCGTCTCTAGGCTCCAGCCCAGACTGCTGCCTGGAGTCAGGAAATGCCTGTGCCTGGTGCCCGGGGTAGAAGGGCAGAGGGGTGTGTCTGTGTGCTCTGGGCATGCACCTGTCCTTGCACAGGTCCTCAGAGGTCTGGGCTTTTGTAACTGAGAGACAGTGTTTGTGCACATGTGGGCATGTTGGGGTGAGCCTGTGTGACAGCCTGCATATGCGTACTGATGCACCTGGGGGTGGGGTGAGGGGGCGCATGCCAACTGCATGTTACTTGGGTATGATTTTGAGTCCTTTGCACATGTGTTTGGAGACCTGCACTGTGTCCTTGTGCACACACAACTCTGACTGGGCTGGGTGGGAGTAAGGGTGAGTCTGAGTTCATGACCTACAGCTGTTTGCTCGCGCACAGATGTGGGAGCCTGAGTTGCTGGCTGAATTCTCGCCCCCTCCCTGCCACCTTCCTTCCTCCATGAAACCATTCTCCTCATCCTCACCCAGGTTTTCTGTATCATTGTTACAACCCTCTTCCCCAACACTGTTTGATTTAAAAAAAAAAAAAAAAAGAAATGAAACTCTCATTGTGCACTTGGAAGTCTGCTTGCTCTCCATCTAGGGGGGAGGAGAGACCATGGTTTGGGGTTCAGCAGTACTATCTCCCCTCCCAAAGACAGCCTGTTGTGCCCTGCAGGAGCCAGCCTACAAGCCCTCCCCAGCAATCCTCCTGGCCCTGCCTAATGAGTCCAATCCACAGTTCAAACTTCCTGGAGCCCCGGCTAGGGCCACCTTAAGGCAAGTGTAAGGAAGGCTCTTTGCTAACCCCATTAGGCTGACCTCCTCTGGTCTCTATCTGCCTCTTGCTCACCCACCTCATTGCCTCCCTCCCTCCCTCTCTCTGGGATAAAAATCAGTTCTCCAGAAAACAAGTGATAGGTGGGGGCCTGTCAGGGCCACTCGGGGAAGGAGAGGCAGGGTGGAGATGGGCAAGAGAGGTCATGCCCTGGACCCCAGTGCACAGGGCGTAGAAACTAGCCACTCTCCCTCCCACCTTTATCCTCTACTTTTGGGCAATAAACCAGCCTTCATTTAAACCCACCCAAGTTTTTCAATTCCTCCTCCTCCATAGGGCCCCCTGAGCTGAGGCCTGCAGAGGGAGGGTCAAGGGGTGGGGGGGTGCCAAAGTTCCTCCCTCTAGTCCAGGGACATATCCAGGGCCTTTGGACCCCAAGGAGGCAGGAACGCTGTAGGGCCCCAGACCTAGTTGTGATGGTCTGCAACATGTGCCTCCCCACCCCCACCTCTGTCCCCTATGAAGTATGTGCAGGGAGATGCAAGGGCCTGCAAGCCCTAGAGCTGCTCTCCAGGCTACCAGCCCCACCATCACCCACTCACAACCCTCACTAGTGCTTCCTCTTGCCATGTGGAGGGGGTGAGAAGTACCCTGGCCTCCAACTTAGTGAGTGTTGTGGGAGGGTGGGGACGGGACTTCCTTTGCAGTATGTCCCACACAGATCTGTGGAAAGTTTTGTGGGAAAGGATGCTCAGGCCTCAGTTAGAGGGTTTGAGAACTCCCTCCTCGGGTTGGCCATCCTTAGGACCCTGAGAAGGCACCAAGGCCCTTGGACTCTGGCCTAGGGAGTTAGGCCACAGGCAGGGCACCCATGGGAGGGCCTGATGTAGGGCTCAGGAGGCTGGGAAGCCTCTGGACTCATAATACCAACCTCACCAGATACCCTTTCTGCAAGGATCTTCTAGTAAAGTACTTTCCGCATCTGCAACCCTCCCCGTCGCCCTCACGACCGGAGGGTGAGTCTGCCATGCCCAGGTCAGACTTTATTTTGGCGCTGTCTGGCTGTCCTGCTAGGTGCCCTGCGAGCGCAGCCCATGGATCAGCTCGTGCATCGTCTTGTTGAGAATGCCCCCATGCACGCCCCGCCGGCCCATGAGCACGAGGAGTGCACGCGGCGTGTGGCCCACGCAGATGGCGCGCCCGTCCTTCCCCTTAGTGCGCGCGTCCAGCACTCCATCGCCCTCGGCCAGCAGGTGGTCTCGGATGACGCAGCAGCGGCGGCCCGCCACACTCAGGCCCGCCTGCAGGAAGGTGCGCCGGTCCGGCCCCGTGAGTACACCCACCTCCTGCGGTGAGATGGCCGCCAGCAGGCCACCGGGCCGCGATGCCCACACGCAGCGATTGTCCGAGTGGCCCACGATGGCCACGTCGTCGATGCGCTGGTCCCGCAGCACCGCACTGATGTAGCCTTTCCAGTCGCCCATTCCGGCTCAGAGTGCGTCCCTCGCCTCTCACTTTCGAGGGTTGTCCTGCTGCGCCGCGCACCTGGAACGCCCGGGTCACTGTGACGTATTCGGGGGGGCGGGGTTGTGACGTAGGGATGGCTGCAAGGTCACAGAACGGATACCTACGCTGGAGAATGGGGTGCGGGTGGGGCGGCGTTCATATCTTACACCTGATGAAGTTCTAACGTTAGTAGATAATGGCAGTTATTTCTAGATGGTAAGATAAAGGTGATTTTCATTTCTTCGTACTTTTATCCTATATTTTTCAAATTTTCTACAATAAAAGTGTGATAAGCAGAAAAAAAAATAAAGTTAGCCTGAAGGAGGGAATCGCACGAGTCAAAATAACTCTCAAAACAAACAAGCGAACACTTAAATGGCCCATCAAGCACAGCACACGAGTTTAAGAATAAAAAGAAAGGTGCCATGTCTAAACTGCCTGACCTCTCAGCCTGATAACCATTCAACTCCCAGAATGTGTTTCTCAAACATTAGGAGTATCAGAATCTCCTGGAAAGCTGATAAACAGATTGCTGGGCCCCAAGTCAGCGTTCCTCATTCTGCAGTATGGGATGCAGCCAGAGAATACGCATTTCTAACAAGTTCCCTGGCAATGCTGCTGCTGGTCCAGGAACCACACTTTGAGACTCGCTGCCCTAGTGACAGTTGGGGCAGGGGTGAGGGTCTTCCACGCCATCAGCCTTAAGGGTCCACACCACTGATTTAATGTTAAGTACTTCTAACCATGGTTCTCAACCTCCGCTGCAGATAGAATCACCTGGGGAGGTTTTAAAACAAATGGCTAGGCCATTTTAGAAATGGCGGCTCCGCTGGGAGGCATGTTCTCCGGGCAGCCACCCCCACCGGGGTTCTTGGGCTAGGCTTCGCTTCTTCAGGCCATACCAGGCATTCTGAGAACTTCTAACAGTACCTTGGTGGACGAATAGGAGTCATTGTTCGAGGCCTGCTTTGCTTCTCTGGTGAGTCAGGATTATGTCAATGGTACAGATCAGGAAGAAATTCGAACTGGTGTTGATCAGTGTATCCAGAAATTTCTAGATATTGTGAGACAGACAGAATGTTTTTTCCTCCAAAAAAGATTGCAGTTATCTGTCCAGAAACCAGAGCAAGTTATCAAAGAGGATGTCTCGGAACTGAGGAACGAATTACAGCGGAAGTGTGCTCTGGTCCAGAAGCACTTAACAAAACTGAGACATTGGCAGCAGGTGCTGGAGGACATCAACAGGCAGCACAAAAAGCCAGCCAACATCCCTCAGGGTTCCCTGGCCTACCTCAAGCAGGCATCTGCAAATACCCCTTCACCGATGAAGCAAACCTGAGGAAAAGCCACCTGAACATGAGCTGGTGGCTGAGTCAGCCAACACAGTTTTGTCAAACATCACTTCTTGTAGACATGCCATTTTGGGAGAACTCTTTGCCAGAGGATATGATTTTAGTTTTGTGCTGTCATCTAAAATTTTCCCCCTATTTTTATAAGTGTTATTTCTGGAGTACTTTATAAAATGCTTATTGCTTTGGTAAACCAAGTATATTGTCTTTAGCAAAGTTTAAGACTGTTAGTGTGATGCCATTTACAGATTCCTTTTTATGTTTTTGTTTTTTGCTGCTTGTTATTATTTTTATTTTTGAATGAGTGTTAATCTCTCTGTTTCCAGTTTTCCATGACTCTGTATGATCTGAGGGGAAAAGCTTGTATGATCTGATCTGCATATCAAAGGATGAGGATTTCGGTTGTAGGCCTTTTATGATAATTTACCCATCAGTGGCAGTATATAAAAATATGTAAATTTGCTGTTTTTCAAGACTTTGAACTGCCTCAAGAAGAGGAGTCTAATGCAACAATGTAACCCTTCCAGAACCTCAGAATGAGGATATTTTGTAAATAGGTTGGAAGAGGATTATAATATCGTAGGTTAGCGTAGTAACTGTTATTGTACTGCAGTAACCTAGTGCTATAGGAATCCAGTAGTATCCTTAAGTTAATGTTGACTTTTATTTGGGGTAAGTTTATATTCTGTGTAGTGTTATTTACTTTTGGGGGTGGTAGGAGCAGTGATATGCTAGTGATATTCATCTCCACAATAATCAGTTTAAGTAACAGAGCGGACCCTGCTCTCAATAGGGGCATAGGTGAAGTATGAGGGTTAAAGTTTGCTGTGATCATCTCTGAGTTTTGAGTTTTGTTTGTTTGTTCTGCTATTTGGAGCAGATTTTTCCATTAATGAATTTCTTGCTAATGGGTGGTGTTGATTCCAGGGGACTGGGGCCTCGAGGTGGGAGGTTGGCTGCAGGGTGCATGGGAGACTCGGTGTTTGGGAAGATATTTTACCCTCTGCCAGCCACACAGGCCACCTCAGATTCTCTGTTGAACCGATGTTGAGAAATACAAACCAGCATTGTGCCTGGTCTGCTGTTGAGAAATACAGACCGGCATTGTGCCTGGTCTCCTTGGATGAGGCTTTCCTTTCTCTGTTGTTCACATTCCCTCATTAGATTACACCCCTTCTCTCTCACCAAGTGCTGCACTGTCTCTTGAACAGGCAGTAATTCTGTGACTCGGTGTCTTGGCTCGCTTTTTCTCCAGCCTTGAAGGCCCTGCCCCACCCGCCTTGACATCCACTCAAGTTCCCCTCTGGCCTAGACGCCACCTGGTCTCTGCAGCCTCCAAAGGCCCTCTCCATCGTATCCACAGGACACAGGACTTCTTGTCTCTTCTGCCAGCCTTGCTTGGTTCTCCCTCTGGAGTTAGTAATCTGTCTCCTTGTTCCTCATGAGAAGTAGGCATTATTCCCCTCTGAATATGCAGGGACCATTTATTATCTTTTATATGTAATAACTTAGTACTTATTTTTGTTTGTGTATGTGTGTGTATGGTACACAGCCGGAGGCAACGAATTCCCTCATTCGGAGTATATAGTTAAACAAAGCTTTTTTTTTTTTTTTGCGGTATGCGGGCCTCTAGCTGTTGTGGCCTCTCCCAGTGCGGAGCACAGGCTCCAGACGTGCAGGCTCAGCGGCCATGGCTCACGGGCCCAGCTGCTCCGCGGCATGTGGGATCTTCCCGGACCAGGGCATGAACCCGTGTCCCCTGCAGCGGCAGGTGGACTCTCAACCACTGCGCCACCAGGGAAGCCCTAAACAAAGCTTTTAAAAGTTGTTTTTAATCACATTATCTGATTTCAAGGTTGTTAACCTGGTCATCTCATGCCAATTAGAAGCTCTGATTGGCAGCTTTAGATTTCTTGATTAAAAACCTAACTAAATTGATTACATTTTAGGCATTCTTTCAGTAATGAAAGAGGTTCTTAGTGAAAAGTTCAGGAACTATTCTATTTGGTGCTTAGTAAAAATATTTTGAATTAATGTGTGTACCAGTTATTGTCATTTCTTTATTAACTTCAAAAGTTTTCTGCCAAATAAACATTTCACTTTTTTCTGTTTGTAAAAAAACAAAACAAAACAAATGGCTACCCACCCACCCCCCTTCCCTAGAAATATTGATTTAATTGGCCTGAGGTGGATGTCGGGCATAGGTTCAAAAAGCTCCCCATGGTGATTCTGATGTACAGTCGAGGTTGAGAACTCCTGTTCTATAAACTTAAAATATGAGTTTCATACATGTGGAGTCACCTTGCACAGGTTTGGTACACAGTGTGGCTTAGTAAATGTCAGCTGGACATGAATCTAAACCTCGCATCAGATCTCAATAGATTCTGTTCTCTGAAGGGGTGTGGAGAAGTTGAGCACCGATATACTATCTTGGCATTTCCCGACGGGACACCTGAAGAGCTGTGCCTTTCAAGCATCTTCAAAAGCACTTTACTGATTTCTATGCCATGCCTGGCGCCGGGCTGGCAGCGCTGGGGGGAATGGAACACATTCCTTGCTATCCATGATCACGCCTCAGCCACACTTCCATTCCAGAATTGCCCAGGAGGGAAAGACGAGTCCCGGGGCGGTCAGGAAGCGGTGTGCTCCCGGATCCAGGCTAGGTAGTTGGCCACGTCGGTGTATACACCTGGCATGGGGTGGTCGCCGCAACCTGAACCCCAGCTGACGATGCCTCGCAGGATGAGCTGGCGCTCTGCGGTCTCATCCTCACACACCAGAGGGCCCCTGGAGTTACCCTGGGTCGGGGGACACGCGGCTCAGCGCCCTTGGCTTGGGGTCTGCACTTGACCGGGTTGGAGGAGGGCACCAAGTGGGTCCAAGGGCTCACCTGGCACGCGTCAGTGCCACCCTCGAGGAAGCCAGCGCAGAGCATGCCGGGGGATGAAGGCGGCTCCGTGCACGTCGGGGGCGGAGCAGCGCTCCGGGCGGATGAGCGGCACCTGAGTCTACTGCAGGAAGCTGGAATATTACCCTGACCCTGCGAACCGAGAGCGCCTTCCTCACACCCCTCCCAACTCCTCTCCGCCCAGGCCATGGACCTGGCTGCGCCAGGCTCTTCCAAACCCGCTAATCTCCTGCCTCCCTCGCAACAAGCCCAAGAGAGAGTGAGTTGCCTTTAACACTATTTCATAGACGAGAAAACTGAGGCCAGAGAGGAGCGGTTATGTGAATGAACCAGGAGGAAGCAGGACTGCTTCGGAACCCCACCCCCACTTCCCATCCAGTGTCTCAAAACCTTGGTCCCCATCCAGCCCACCTACTGCTCCAGCGCGGGCCAGCGTCCTAGTAGCCCTTGCAGCTCTGTGCCCAGAGGGAATCAAGAGAAAGTGCGATTCTCCCGATACGCCTCAGATTTGGGGACGCCCCCCAGCAGTGAATACCAAGCTCTTGGAGAAGCAGACTGCAGAGACAAGGGCCCTGCACGTCCTCACAACCCACCAGGTCGGCCCCACCTGTCCCTGGCGGTACCAAACCTGCGGCCTTCTCTTGCCTACCCCGGTGGCCAGAGGTTTCCCTCCCGCCCCTAGCGGTTCTGCCTACCTTCTAACTGGTGACCCCAGCCGGCCACTTCGCAGAGCGCGGCTTCGGATTCGGCCGGGAGGGCGGCGCTACTCGGCAGGCACACTGGCTGAACGAAAGGCGACGGGTGCGCGCAGCAGCCTTCAGCGCTCTCCTGCAGGCGCACCAGAGCTAACCCAAGCGGGGAGGAGCATGAGACCGGGACGCTAGGACTTCGAGCCCCGCCCACCCTTTCCCCTGATCCCCGCTGGGGCGCCCCCACGCACCCAGGTCGTGCTGGTAGGTGATAACGCGAGAAGGCTTCGTGCAGGGGGTAGGCGCGCACGGCCAGCGTCTGGCACTGCTCATAGCTCTGGTTATGGCGGTCCTGGCCGAGCACCACTGTCAGCTCCTCTGGCGCAGGTCTGGGGGCAGGGTCGGGAAAAGGAAGCGTGCTCAGAGCCGGCCACAGGCATCCTGCGGGACCCCCCTCTTTCCGAGCCCCTTCTTGGGTTTCAGCTTCCTCCTGGGGAGCTCTGAAAGGGAGAAAGGGGAAAGGTGGGCGGGGACGCGTAGAGGTAGGGGACGCGTAGAGGTAGGGCACGTGTTCAGGTGTCGCGCAGAAGCTGGGCACAGGAGAGAGGAGCTAGGGATCCAGGGCCGGGAGCTGAGCGCTCAGGCACTTGCCGGTTCTGCAGGCAGTGAGCCGCGGTCAGCACCCAACAGGGGGCGATGAGGCTGCCGGTGCAGAAATTTTGGCCCTGCTACAGCGCGGCGATGTAGGGGTGCGCCCCGGGGAGCGCCACCAGTCCCCCGAAGACGCGGCTCAGCGAGGACAGCCGTTTGTGGAGCCACCGTCCACAGCCCGCCGGGCCCGCGCTGGGCAGAGGAGTCCGCTGCTCGGGCGGCGAGCACCACCAGCCTGTGGGAGAAGCCCAGGCTGAGGGCCGGGAGACCCACGATCTTGGAATGTAGCTCGTCCCGTGCTTTCTCTGCTCGGATTCTTAACTTTTCCCAACAACCTGAGGTCAGGGGTCGAAGCGGGGTCTGGGTCGTGGACTGAGGTTTCTGCAAAGCCAAAAGCGAGGGCAAAGGGAAGTACTGGTGCCCAGATGAGATCCGGACCGGAGGAGGGATTTGGGGCGCCGCCGGGGCTGGGGCCTGGCACCGTGCCAGGCGGCAATAATTCCAGCTTAGTCGGTCGCCCCTCCAAACAAAGTACCATGGGCGGGTGTCTTTGTCCTGGTTCCTGCAACCACAGGGTGGGGGTGGTTGAGAAGCCCTAGAGGGCCCTGGGGCGGAAAGAGACGCCCAGCCCTGCCCCACCCGCGCACCGGCAGAAGGCGTGGTCGCCCAGTCTCCCGTTCAGCGCTTGCTCTGCGGTCACATTCCAGTAGGTGGCCTCGGAGGCCCACGGCTGACAGGGTGCACCCCAGAGCTTAGTCCGGGCCACGCCGTAGCAGTTCGCCTTGTGGTCTGGGGAGAGAGAAGGCTCCCTACAGCTAGGGTATGGAACGGTGTCCTGCCGCTCTCTCACCCACTTCTCCACTCTCCCTCCTCCCTCTCTGCAAGCCCTTCCCACGTGGGGGCGGGGCTTCTGCTTCCCAGACACCCTAACTCACCCACTTCGCACAAGCGTCCAGCGTAGCCCGTGGGGCAACTGCACAGGCGGTGGCCCTCCGCCTGTAGGCAGCTGCCCCCATTGAGACATGGGTTGGTACGGCAGACTGGGAGAAGGAGCATGTTGAGTCACCCCTAGGCTCAAAGACCCCCGCCCCCCCCCCCACCCAGAGAGCTCCCTCTTACGCTGGCACACCACCTGACCTCCTGCCAGCCTTTCTTTCCCACCTTCTGCCCTCCTCCCTGGCCAGCTCCCCACCGATCTACTCACCCTGGCTGGCCAGTGGCTTGCACTGGGCATTCGGACCATTGCACTGGCACTTGGCTACACCTGCCAGCTCAAGCCTGTGCCATATTTCATTCTCCTGGAAGAACCAAAGAAGCTGGGGCTCAAAGCACTTCTCTGGGGACAAAGGGGTAGGGTAGTCTCAGGAGAGTGTGGGACCATGCCAAATCTCTGGGAATCCACAGGACCTCTTCAGTAGGCCCGTGGCTGCCCCTGTTCCCCAGCAGCCCCTCCCCTGGCCTCAGCATCTCCTTACCTCTCTGGCAGTGCTTCCCAGTGAAGTGATCTGGACAGATGCAGTGTGGGCCATTTGGCATGTTCACACAGGTCCCTCCTTTCTGGCAGGGTTTGTGTTTGCTGCAGTGATCTGAGAGATGAACACAGGGGGAGAAAGAGTGGGGAGCCTGAATCAAACAGATGGGGCCAAGTCCCTACCCAAACCTGCTTGTCTTTTGACCTTGGCCCTCCAAATTTCCAAGCCTTAGTTTACCCACCTGAAAAATGGGGCTACCCCCTCTTAGAACTTCTCCCTCTGGGAGGGAAGGAGATAGGTGGGCCCAGAGTCCCATATGTTTTAGATCTGATGATACCCAGGAGAGTAGCTAGGGTCGGGGAGAGGGCCCTGTGCCACGCCAAAGGTTGTGTGGCACCTTTCACTTTCTTTGGCTCCAGGCAGTATGCCCACATCGCTGATCCTTCTTGAAGTTGGGGGTGGTAGCACACCTGTAGACAGAGATAAGGCTTAAGACATGGAAGTGACCCAAGTGCCCATCAGTGGATGATTGGTTTAAGAAGATGTGGTATATACACAATGGAATATTATTCAGCCATTAAAAAAGAATGAAATATTGCCATTTTCAGTAACATGGGTGGACCTAGGGAATACCATACTAAGTGAAGTAAGTCAGATGGAGAAAGACAAATATTATGTGATAGCATTTATATGTGGAATCTAAACAATAACACAAATGAATCTATATACAAAATAGAAACAGACTTACAGACATAGAAAACAAATTTACAATTACCAAAGGGCAAAACGGGGGTGGGGGTGATAAATTAGGAATATGAGATTAACAGATACACACTACTATACATAAAATAGATAAGCAACAAGGATTTACTGTATAATACAGGGAACTATATCCAATATCTTCTAATAACTTATAATGGAAAATAATCTGAAAAAATATATATATATATAACTGAATCATTTTGCTGTACACCTGAAACCAACACAATATTGTAAATCAACTATACTTCAATAAATAAAAAAAGAAAGAAAGAAAGAGATGAAGCTTCCTAGCTCTGCCCAAGAGGCTGGGCTGCCGTTCCCTATCACAGCCCCTTCTCTCCAAGCAGGGTTCCTTGGACAGAAGGATGGGCAGAGTCCACCTCCCCCAGACCCCTGCTCCAACCCTTCCAGGGTAGTCTTACCAGGGTCGGGGCCAGACCAGCCTCTGTGGATAAATTTGTGATACAGCTGCCAGTGGTACTGGAAGGGGAAGTGGCAGGGCTCCCCGGTGACTGTGAGAACTGCAGGGGTAACACACTCCTTAATGACTTTCCCCGTGCCCCATTGCCCAGGTACCACCGCTCAGAGTCTGGTTGGAAAAAGGATAGACCTTTGAAAAGATCATTGTGCCTTCAAGACCACATCCTGCTTAAGAGTTGGGTTTCTGGAGTCAGTTGGTGGACTCCTGACTCCACCAACTACTAACTGCGTGACTTTAGACAAATCTGCAGCCTCCAGGCCTAGAAGAGTGCTTGCTACAAAGTAGGCACTTAATAAATACTTGTTGAATGTTGAAGTCACTTGACCACTCTGAGCCTTAGTTTTCTCATCTGTTAAAAATGGCAAAAATCATACATAGTACAGATGAAGGGTTTCAGTTTTGCAAGATGCAAAGAATTCTGGAGATAGATGGTGGTAATGATTGCACAACAATACGAGTGTACTTAATATCACTGAACTGTACACTTAAAAATGGTTGAGACGGGGATTCCCTGGTGGCGCAGTGGATAGGAATCCACCTGCCAATGCCCGGGACACGGGTTCAAGCCCTGGTCCGGGAAGATCCCACATGCCGCAGAGAAGCTAAGCCTGTGCGCCACAACTACTGAGCCTGCGCTCTACAGCCCGTGAGCCACAACTACTGAAGCACGCATGCCTAGAGCCCGTGCTCTGCAACAAGAGAAGCCACCGCAATGAGAAGCCTGCGCACCACAAGGAAGAGTAGCCTCCACTCGCGGCAACTAGTGATAAACCCCACGCACAGCAACAAAGACCCAACTCCGACAAAAATAAATAAATAAATAAATTTATTTATTTATTTTTTTAAAAACCCAGCATGTCAGTATGGTCCTATTTTTGTAAAAATATATTTACATATGCATAAAAAATAAATCTAGAAAGAAATCTCCAAAATTTGTAACAGTGGTTTTTGGAAGATAGTGGATTATGGGTGACTTTTCCTTCTTTTCTATTTCCGTAATTTATAAAGTTTTTACAATAAAAATATTGCTATTGTAATTTTTAAAAATAGTACAATTGAGCCTCATTCAGATTCTATATTTGCTTACCTGCACTTCTTGCTAAAATTTATCTGTAACCCCAAACCAATACTCAAGGGGCTTTCACTGTTATTTGTGGACATGCACAGAGCGGTGAAAAATTTGAGTCACCTGAAGTGCACATTCCCAGCTGAGGTCAAACAAGGTGATGCTCTGCATCTTGTTTCAACTCCTACTGTAAACAAGTGTCTTTTTTTTTTAATTTTTAAATTTTATTTATTTTTTTATACAGCAGGTTCTCATAACTCATCCATTTTATACATATTAGTGTATATATGTCAATCCCAATCTCCCAATGCATCACACCACACCACCCCTGCCACTTTCCCCCCTTGTTGTCCATACGTTTGTTCTCTACATCTGTGTCTCAATTTCTGCCCTGCAAACTGGTTCATCTGTACCATTTTTCTAGGTTCCATATATGCGTTAATATATGATATTTGTTTTTCTCTTTCTGACTTACTTCACTCTGTATGACAGACTCTAGATCCATCCACGTCTCAACAAATGACCCAATTTCATTCCTTTTTTATGGCTGAGTAATATTCCATTGTTTATATGTATCACATCATTATCCATTCGTCTGTCGATGGGCATTTACATTGCTTCCATGTCCTGGCTGTTGTAAATAGTGCTGCAATGAACATTGGGGTGCATATGTCTTTTTGAATTATGGTTTCCTCTGGGTATATGCCCAGTAGTGGGATTGCTGGGTCATATGGTAATTCTATTTTTAGTTTGTTAAGGAAACTCCATACTGTTCTCCATAGTGGCTGTATCAATTTACATTCCCATCAACAGTGCAAGAGGGTTCCCTTTTCTCCACACCCTCTCCAGCATTTGTTGTTTGTAGATTTTCTGATGATGCCCATTCTAACTGGTGTGAGGTGATACCTCACTGTAGTTTTGATTTGCATTTCTCTAATAATTAATGATGTTGAGCAGCTTTTCATGTGCTTCTTGGCCATCTGTATGTCTTCTTTGGAGAGATGTCTATTTAGGTCTTCTGCCCATTTTTGGATTGGGTTGTTTGTTTTTTTAATATTGAGCTCCATGAGCTGTCTATATATTTTGGAGATTAATCCTTTGTCCATTGATTCATTTGCAAATATTTTCTCCCATTCTGAGGGTTGTCTTTTCATCTTGTTTGTAGTTTCCTTTGCTGTGCAAAAGCTTTTAAGTTTCATTACGTCCCATTTGTTTATTTTTGTTTTTATCTCCATTACCCTAGGAGGTGGATCAAAAAGGATATTGCTGTGATTTATGTCAAAGAGTGTTCTTCCTATGTTTTCCTCTAAGAGTTTTATAGTGTCCAGTCTTACATTTAGGTCTCTAATCCATTTTGAGTTTATTTTTGTGATGGTGTTAGGTAATGTTCTAATTTCATTCTTTTACATGTAGCTGTCCAGTTTTCCCAGCACCACTTACTGAAGAGACTGTCTTTTCTCCATTGTATATCCTTGCCTCCATTGTCAAATATACGGTGACCATATGTGCGTGGGTTTATCTCTGGGCTTTCTATCCTGTTCCATTGATCTATATTTCTGTTTTTGTGCCAGTACCATATTGTCTTGATTACTGTAGCTTTGTAGTATAGTCTGAAGTCAGGGAGGCTGATTCCTCCAGCTCCGTTTTTTTTCCCTCAAGACTGCTTTGGCTATTCGGGGTCTTTTTTGTCTCCAAACAAATTTCAATATTTTTTGTTCTAGTTCTGTAAAAAATGCCATTGGTAATTTGATAGGGATTGCATCGAAACTGTAGATTGCTTTGGGTAGTATAGTCATTTTCACAATATTGATTCTTCCAATGCAAGAACATTGTATATCTCTCCATCTGTTTGTATCATCTTTAATTTCTTTCATCAGTTTCTTATAGTTTTCTGCATACAGGTCTTTTGTCTCCCTAGGTAGGTTTATTCCTAGGTATTTTATTCTTTTTGTTGCAATGGTAAATGGAAGTGTTTCCTTAATTTCTCTTTCAGATTTTTCATCATTAGTGTATAGGAATGCAAGAGATTTCTGTGCCTTAATTTTATATCCTGCAACTTTATCAAATTCATTGATTAGCTCTAGTAGTTTTCTGGTGGCATCTTTAGGATTCTCTATGTATATAGTATCATGTCATCTGCATGACAGTTTTACTTCTTCTTTTCCAATTTGTATTCCTTTTATTTCTTTTTCTTCTCTGACTGACGTGGCTAGGACTTCCAAAACTATGTTGTAATAGTGGTGAGAGTAGACATCCTTGCCCTTGCTTGTTCCTGATCTTTCAGTTTTTCACCATTGAGAATGATGTTTGCTGTGGGTTTGTCATATATGGCCTTATTATGTTGAGGTAGGTTCCCTCTATGTGCACTTTCTGGAGAGTTTTTATCATAAATGGGTGTTGAATTTTGTCAAAAGCTTTTTCTGCATCTATTGAGATGATCATATGGTTTTTCTTCTTCAGTTTGTTAATATGGTGTATCACACTGATTGACTTGTGTATATTGAAGAATCCTTGCATCCCTGGGATAAATCCCACTTGATCATTGTGTATGATCCTTTTAATGTGTTGTTGGGTTCTGTTTGCTAGTATTTTGTTGAGGATTTTTGCATCTATATTCATGAGTGATATTGGTCTGTAATTTTCTTTTTTTGTAGTGTCTTTGTCTGGTTTTGGTATGAGGGTGATGGTGGCCTCATAGAATTAGTTTGGGAGTGTTCCTTTCTCTGCAATTGTTTGGAAGAGTTTGAGAAGGATGGGTGTTAGCTCTTCTCTAAATGTTTGATAGAATTCACCTGTGAAGCCATCTGGTCCTGGACTTTTGTTTGCTGGAAGATTTTTAATCACAGTTTCAATTTCATTATTTGTGATTAGTCTGTTCATATTTTCTATTTCTTCCTGGTTCAGTCTTGAAAGGCTATACCTTTCTAAGAATTTGTCCATTTCTTCCAGGTTGTCCATTTTATTGGCATAGAGTTGCATAGAGTTGCTTTCATTGGCATAGTAGTCTCTTAGGATGCTTTGTATTTCTGCGGTGTCTGTTGTAACTTCTTTTTCATTTCTAATTTTATTGATTTCAGTCCTCTGCTTCTTTTTCTTGATGACTCTGGCTAATGGTTTATCAATTTTGTTTATCTTCTCAAAAAAACCAGCTTTTAGTTTTATTGATCTTTGCTATTGTTTTCTTTGTTTCTATTTCATTTATTTCTGCTCTGATCTTTATGATTTCTTTCCTTCTACTAACTTTGGGTTTTGTTTGTTCTTCTTTCTCTAGTTCCTTTAGGTGTAAGGTTAGATTGTTTATTTGAGATGTCTGTTGTTTCTTGAGGTAGGATTGTATTGCTATAAACTTCCCTCTTAGAACTGCTTTTGCTACATCCCATAGGTTTTGGATCATCGTGTTTTCATTGTCATTTGTCTCTAGGTATTTTTTGATTTCCTCTTAGATTTCTTCAGTGATCTCTTGGTTATTTAGTAACGTACTGTTTAGACTCCATGTGTTTGTGTTTTTTACATTTTTTTCCCTGTAATTGATTTCTAATTTCATAACGTTGTGGTCAGAAAAGATGCTTGATATGATTTCAATTTTCTGAAATTTACTGAGGCTTGATTTGTGACCCAAGATGTGATCTATCCTGGAGAATGTTCTGTGCACACTTGAGAAGAAAGTGTAATCTGCTGTTTTTGGATGGAATGTCCTATAAATATCAATTAAATTTCTCTGGTCTATTGTGTCATTTAAAGCTTGTGTTTCCTTATTAATTTGCCGTTTGGATGATCTGTCCACTGGTATAAGTGAGGTGTTAAAAGTCCCCCACTATTGTTGTGTTACTGTCGATTTCCTCTTTTATAGCTGTTAGCAGTTGCCTTATGTATTGAGGTGCTCCTATGTTGGGTGCATATATATTTATAATTGTTATATCTTCTTCTTAGATTGATCCCTTGATCATTATGTAGTGTCCTTCCTTGTCTCTTGTAACATTCTTCATTTTAAAGTCTATTTTATCTGATATGAGTATTGCTACTCCAGCTTTCTTTTGATTTCCATTTGCATGGAATATCTTTTTCCATCCCCTCACTTTCAGTCTGTATGTGTCCCTAGGTCTGACGTGGGTCTCTTGTAGACAGCATATATATGGGTCTTGTTTTTGTATCCGTTCAGCAATCCTGTGTCTTTTGGTTGGAGCATTTAATCCATTCACATTTAAGGTAATTATTGATATGTATGTTCCTATTACCACTTTCTTAATTGTTTGGGGTTTGTTTTTGTAGGTCCTTTTCTTCTCTTGTGTTTCCCACTTACAGAAGTTCCTTTAGCATTTGTTGTACAGCTGGTTTGGTGGTGCTGAATTCTCTTAGCTTTTGCTTGTCTGTAAAGCTTTTGATTTCTCCAACGAATCTGAATGAGATCCTTGCCAGGTAGAGTAATCATGGTTGTAGGTTCTTCCCTTTCATCACTTTAAATATGTCATGCCACTCCCTTCTGGCTTGTAGAGTTTCTGCTGAGAAATCAGCTGTTAACTTTATGGGAGTTCCCTTGTATGTTATTTGTCGTTTTTCCCTTGCTGCTTTCAATAATTTTTCTTTGTCTTTAATTTTTGCCAATTTGATTACTATGTGTATTGGTGTGTTTCTCCTTGGGTTTATCCCGTATGGGACTCTCTGCCCTCCCTGGACTTGGGTGGCTATTTACTTTCCCATGTTAGGGAATTTTTTGACTATAATCTCTTCAAATATTTTCTTGGGTCCTTTCTCTCTCTCTTCTCCTTCTGGGACCCCTATAAAGTGAATGTTGTTGCGTTTAATGTTGTCCCAGAGGTCTCTTAGGCTGTCTTCATTTCTTGTCATTCTTTTTCTTTATTCTGTTCCGCAGCAGTGAATTCCACCATTCTGTCTTCCAGGTAACTTATTTGTTCTTTTGCCTCACTTATTCTGGTATTGATTCCTTCTAGTGTATTTTTCATTTCAGTTATTGTATTGTTCATCTCTGTTTGTTCTTTAATTCTTCTAGATCTTTATTAAACATTTCTTGCATCTTCTCAATTTTTGCCTCTATTCTTTTTCCGAGGTCCTTGATCATCTTCACTATCATTATCCTGAATTCTTTTTCTGGAAGGTTGCCTATCTCCACTTCACTTAGTTGTTCTTCTGGGGGTTTGTCTTGTTCCTTCATCTGGTGCATAGCCCTCTGCCTTTTCATCTTATCTATCTTTCTCTGAATGTGGTTTTTGTTCCACAGGCTGCAGGACTGTAGTTCTTCTTACTTCTCAACAAGTGTACTTTTCATGCTCTATTTAGTGCCATGCTTTTCAAATTTTGTGCTTTTTTTTTTTTTTTTTTGCGGTATGCGGGCCTCTCACTGTTGTGGCTTCTCCCATTGTGGAGCACAGGCCGCAGACGCGCAGGCTCAGCAGCCATGGCTCACGGGCCCAGCCGCTCCACAGCATGTGGGATCTTCCTGGACCGGGGCACGAACCCGTGTCCCCTGCATCGGCAGGCGGACTCCCAACCACTGCGCCACCAGGGAAGCCCTCAAATTTTGTGCTTTTGATACATGATTTTGCTGTTGAAAATGGCCCCCAAATAGAGTGCTGAAGTGCTGTCCAGTGTTCCGAAGTGCAAAAGGGCTGTGATGTACATTATGTAGAACACTTGTGGGTTAGATAAGCTTTGTCCAGGCATGAGCTATAGTGCTGCTGGCCATGAATTCAATATCAATGAATCAACAATATATATTAAGTAAGGTGTCTTTAAACAGAATCACACATAAAACAAGGTTATATGTTGATGAAAATGTTGTGACCAGAGCTAACAGAAACCTAACCCTATATTTCCTCTAGGAGCAATGGTTCAGTTTTTGCTAATTCAGTGTTCATGGTGACTTTATAGAACATGACTACCACGAATAATGAGAATTGACTCTATTTCAGAGGAGTGTTGTGAAACTTAAACGAGATTGTGTCTATAAAACACTTACACAGAGTCTGGCACATAGTACATTAGCTGCTATTTTGTTATTAGAGGCCCAATGACGCTTGTGCTGAGGGCCAAATCAGGGACAGGACATTAAGGGAAGAGAGAGGGGTCTGAGACGGACCTTTAAGATGCAAATGGAATGGACACGGAAGAGTAGGACCCTAAGTAGGTGATTAGGCAAGGGCAGAGCAGCTAGGTTGAGTCAGGCTAGAGGGAGGAGAGCAGTTTGGCTAGGTGTGGAGTGCTGAGGAGAGGAGGTGAGGTACTCAGGATTGCCTCAGTGTCATGCTAAGGGGCTGGGCCTGATCCCATCAGGGCAGGCTTGCCAGGGCAGGCTCAATCTAGTTTACAATTCTAGGTAAATATTTAGTGCCTGGAAGAATACAGGCAATGGGGAGCTATGGCAGGGGGAAGATGGCAGATATCTACCATCTAAAAGGGAGCTTGATAATAAAAGCCAATATATTTTAAGCATTTACCATGTACCAAACTGTGGGCTGAGCGCCTCACTGGGATTAATGACTCATTTCTCCTTCTCCACAACCCTAAGAGTTTTACCATTACCAGCCTCGTTTTACAGGTGGGGATTTAAGCTTGGAGAAGTCAAGTCATTGGTGTAGAGCCATCCAGCACATAAGTGATGAAGCTGGGATTCAGAGGCATTTGGGCTCCAGAGCCCTGCTCTTGATCCTTCCTTGTCTGTCAAGGGCCCTGGCCTCTGTGTGGCATGACTGATGCCTGCGAGATGTATTGAGGAGAGGAAAGGAAGGGGGAGGCTGGGGAAACCAAGGAAGACTGGCAGGTACTGAACCAGACACTCAGATACAGCCCCAGCCTTGCCCTCAAGGAGCACATAGTTCACTATCACTCTGGATCCCCGGCACCCATGCGCACAAGACCTGGCATATAGTAGGCTCTCAGGTCTGAATGCCAGCCAGACAACTCTGGGGATGAGAGTGAAGAGTGCCCAGGATCCTTCCCCTCACCCCAAGGGCCAGAGACTAACAATCTGCACACTCCCTGCCATACTCATCCCTGTTCAAGGGTCTCTCAGGAGGTGGACCCAGGCTACTTACCCACTGTGTGCTCACTCTCTATGAACTTATGCTGCTTGGGGGCTTTCCAAGGTGGAGTCTATGGGAGAGAGAAGAAAGCCGGGAATTTTCCCAGAAAGTCGTTGCCTGCCCCGATCCCATGCTAGTCCACAGCTTCCTTTCACAGTCCAGAAATGCAGAGATTTCCTCAGAAGGCCTGGACCCCCTCCTTCCTCCTCTCATTGTCTCCTCAAGGTCCCCCTCCCCCAGTAATGCAGGCCATGTCCTCATATCCACCAGCACTGTCTGTCTTTCTCTCCTCTACTTTGGCCTTATAGGCTTGCCTAGTCTTTCCAAACAGGCCTTCCAATCACCTAGACTAAAAGGTCATGGGCAGAGGCCAAGGTTGTGATAGGGACCCCCCAGGGCCATCCCAGTACAACCCTCCTGGTTCCCACAGCCTTCACCAAAACCGCTGACTCCAGGCTCACCAGCAGGACCCCCAGGAGCAGCAGAGCCCTCATGGGGTCTGTCTGTTGGTCCAACCACTTGTCCAGGAGTCCAGATCAATAGAACTGGTCGGGCTTCCCAGGTGGCGCAGTGGTTCAGAATCTGCCTGCCAATGCAGAGGACACGGGTTCGAGCCCTGATCCAGGAAGATCCCACATGCTGCGGAGCAACTAAGCCTGTGCGCCACAACTACTGAGCCTGTGCTCTAGAGCCTGCGAGCCACAACTACTGGAGCCCACATGCCACAACTACTGAAGTCTGCATGCCTAGAGCCCATGCTACACAACAAGAGAAGCCACCACAATGAGAAGCCCACGCACCACAACGAAGAGTAGCCCCCGCTCGCCACAACTAGAGAAAGCCTGTGCGCAGCAACGAAGACCCAACACAGCCAAAAATAAATAAATAAATAATAATTTTTTTAAAAAATAGAACTGGTCAAAGGTCCCTGAGGCCTGGGAAGCAGAGATTGGTCGAGCTGCCCTCCTGGGCTGTTTATGGAAAGCCAAGCAGAGAGTTTCCTTGGTGGGCCCCCAAGGATGGGAAAGTTGGGAGCTGGTGGGTGTGAGTAGCATAATAAGGAGTGGGGATCCTCCTCTCTTTCCCAGATACTGGAACTGGAAGCAGGAAGAGGGACCATCTTTGTTTTGGGTCCTATTGGGGATGAGGAGTTTAAGGAGATCCAAGAGAAGCTCCCTACTTTAGGAATCTTAGAGTCCATGGAGAAGTATATTCATTTTCTATTGCTGCCTAAAATTAACCACAAACTTTGCAGCTTAAAATAATACCCATTAATTACTTCATAAATCTGTGGGTCAGAAGTCCAGCACTGCGTGACTCAGTTTTCTGCTCAGGGTCTCACAAAACTGAGATCAAGGCTAAGTTTTCTGGAGGCTCTGGGGGAAATTCCCTTCCAAGGTCATTCAGATCATTGGCAGAATTCAGTTCCTTGTGTTTGTAGGACTGAGGTCCCTTTTGCTTTGCAAGCCAAGGGCTGCCCTCAGCTGCTAGAAGCTACCTGCATTTCTTGCCATAGAGACCCTTCGATCTTCCAAGCCAGCAACAGAGAATCTCCCCCACGTTGACTCTCTTACCCTTTGAATTTCTTTTGCCAGGAAGAACCCTGTCACTTTTAAGGGCGCATCTGATTAGGTCAGGCCCACTAAGGAGCATCTCCCTGTCTTAAGGTCAACTGATTTGGGACCTTACTTACATTTGCAGCATTCTTCTACAGAAGCATCTAGATTAGTGTTTGATTAAATGACTGGGAGAAGGTATGTTTACACCAGGGAACTTGGGGGCCATCTTAGCGTTCTACCTACAAAGAAAGTAAATTATCCCATGGAAAAAATACTAAAAATACTAAACCAAGGGGTGCTAAAATATGCAACTGGAGCACAAAGGAGGGAGATAGGTTGGGCATGTATTATTTTTCCTGCCCAACAACCATCCACCTTGGTTCAGTAAGGACACCCTGATTTTTCCTTTGGGAACCACTCCTCCTTCATCCACTCCATGAGTCTCTAGTGCTGCCCACTCTACCCTCAGTTCTAGTGCTGGGGGTGTGGCCTAGGTCTGGCCAATCAGAGCATGGTATCTCTAGACCACAGTGATTGGTTCAGGGATAAGCTATACGCAAGTTTGGCCAATCAGAGTCAGCCTTGGGACTTTCACCAGAACTTTTATGATAAAGGTACTTTCTTCCCACTGGGGTCCCTAAGAATGCAAGCCTGGAGATGTTGATGGCCATCTCTGTCACTGCCTGGGGAAGGCCTACCTGAGAATGAAGCACACATATAGGAATAGCAGAGCAAACAGGGAAGGAAGGATGGAGGAATGCTGTAGGAGGCAACCTCCTAGATGGTCCCCATTGATCCTCACCTCCTGGGATTCATGACCTTGAATAGTCTCTTCTAAAACTGATTCAGAGCTGTTCTGTGTGTCCAATAGAATACAGCAGAAATGATTGTGTTTGACTTCCAAGCCCAGATCATAAAAGGCCTTGCAATTTTTGCCTTGGTCTCATGGATCGCTCACTCCGGGGGAGGCCAGCTGCCATGCTGTGAGGACACTTAAGCAGCCCTGCAGAGAGGCCCATGAGGGAAGAAAGTAAAGCCTCCTGCCAACAGCCAGCACCAACTGGACAGCCATGTGAATGAACCACTTTTGATATGGATACTGCAGCCCCGACCATCTGGCCTGCAACCTCATTAGAGACCTCAAGCCAGACCATCCCGCTAAGCTGCTCCTGAATTCTTGAACCTCTGAATTTGAGAAAATCCTAATTGATTTTTGTTGTTTTAGGCCATAAATTTTAGGATGATTTGTTACCCAGCATTTGATAACTAATACAGATAAAATGATTACTGATTCTTTTATTTGCGAACCTGGATCCTAAAACTAGAGATACCCTCAAGAATTCTCAGTTACATTCACCAATTAAAACCAATTTGAATGGACTTCCATCGCTTTCAAAGAAGTCCTGACTGATACAAAGTAATTTGTGGGAAATGAAGTGAAGACAGAATGCAGCGATTCCTTAATTCTGCTGGAAGAGAGGTAGGCCATGGAAGACTTCCTGGAACAGAAACACAGCAACAGGTCGGCAGGAGTAGAGGCACCACTTCAACAATTGTTTTCAAAAGTTGATGTGACAGCTATTGGGACTTCCCTGGTGGTCCAGTGGTAAAGAATCCGCCTTGCAATGCAGGGGGCACTGGTTCGACCCCTGGTCGGGGAACTAAGATCCCACATGCCGTGGGGCAACTAAGCCCGTGCGCCACAACTACTGAAGCTCGCGCGCCTCAACTAGAGAGCCTGCGTGCTGCAAACTACAGAGCCCACACACCCTGGAGCCTGCATGCCACAACTAGAGAGTGAAAACCCACACGCCACCACTAGAGAGAAGCCTTCACACTGCAACGAATAGCCTGCTCGCTGCGAGGAAATATCCCGCATGCCGTCACTAAGACCTGACACAGCTAAAAAAGAAAATTTTTTTAATTTAAAAACTGATTTGGGCTTCCCTGGTGGCGCAGTGGTTGAGAGTCCGCCTGCCAATGCAGGGGACACGGGTTCGTGCCCCGGTCTGGGAAGATCCCACATGCCACGGAGCGGCTAGGCCCGTGAGCCATGGCCGCTGAGCCTGCACATCCAGAGCCTGTGCTCTGCAACGGGAGAGGCCACAACAGCGAGAGGCCCATGTACCAAAAAAAAAAAAAAAAAATTTAAAAACTGATTAAACAAAAAAAGTTGATGGGACAGCTATTAAGACTATGATGAGGGCCATGGTAAGGGACCTCCCTGGTGGTCCAGTGGTTAAGACTCCACACTCCCAGTGCAGGGGACCCAGGTTCGATCCCTGGTCAGGAAACTAGATCCCACATGCCACAACTAAAAGATCCTGCATGCTGCAACTTAAAAAAAAAAAAAAGATCCTACACGCCGCAGTGAAGATCCTGTGTGCCACAACTAAGACCCAGTGCAGCCAAATAAATAAATAAATATTTTAAAAAAGACTGTGATGAAAGTGAAACTGTGAGCTGTATAGATGAGATCATTAAAATGAAAGCATCTTCGTCAGTTCTTTTTTTTTATATAGTATTTTTAAATTTATTCATTTATCTTTGGCTGTGTTAGCTCTTTGTTGCTGCGCATGGGCTTTCTCTAGTTGCGGTGAGGGGGGGTTACTCTTCGTTATGGTGCATGGGCTTCTTGTTGTGGTGGCTTCTCTTGCTGCGGAGCAGGGGCTCTAGGTGCACGGGCTTCAGTAGTTGTGACTTGCGGGCTCAGTAGTTGTGGCTCGCGGGCTCCAGAGCACAGGCTCAGTAGCTGTGGTGCATGGGCCTAGTTGCTCCGCGGCATGTGGGATCTTCCCAGACCAGGGCTTGAACCTGCATCCCCTGCATTGGCAGGCGGATTCTCAACCACTGCTCCACCAGGGAAGCCCCCTTTGTCAGTTCTTGATTGCAGTTCTTGAATACAGTCCATGGCCCAGAGCTGGTCCCACGTTGGCTCCTTTCTCCTGATAAGAAGCCAGCTCTCCCTCCAAATGGAAGGGGCCTTTTAATTTATTTTATTTATATTTATTTTGGGCCGCATTGGGTCTTCGTTGCTGCGCGTGGGCTTTCTCTAGTTGTGGTTAGCGGGGCTACTCTTCATTGCGGTGTGCAGGCTTCTCATTGTGGTGGCTTCACTTGTTGTGGAGCACGGGCTCTAGGCGCATGGGCTTCAGTAGTTGTGGCTCGCGGGCTCTAGAGCACAGGCTCAGTAGTTGTGGCGCATGGGCTTATTTGCTCCACGGCATGTGGGATCTTCCCGGACCAGGGCTTGAACCCGTGTCCCCTGCACTGGCAGGCATATTCTTAAGCACTGCGCCACCAGGGAAGCCTGGAAGGGGCCTTTTAAACAGGTCTTCACAATGAATAGGGCTTTGTAGGTGGGAAAGGGAGAGAACAGCTTCCAGGCAGAGTGAGTACTACAACTTCACAGAAACCTGAATGTAGCATGTCAAATGAAGAATGTGATGAGCACAGGGTGCTCTGTAGGGAATGTGAGATGAGGCATCCAGTCTGTTGGGACTGGAGATGGACATTCATGGGTATTTGGATGTTCAACATCTATTCCCCCTTCCTCTTCCTCTAGTCTCCCAGTTTCTATTTGGGGTCGCCCCTCCCCCATTGTGTGGGGGAAGGGAAATTTCTAGTGATCACCTCCCACTCTGGAAGCCTAATGGACCAGATCACCCTCTCCCCCTGTATTAACATAGTCAGAGGGGCCTAAACGTGGTCAATGGGCACTCTCTCCCAGGACTCTGAATCCTGAACAGGCCACCCAAGGATGGTGAAAAGAGCTGGGGTTGGAAGTCTGCCATTGCACCAACTGTGCCCCGACCAGATTGTCCCTGCTACATGGCATAAGTCAGGATGCCTTCCAAAAGCCAAGCTTAAGTAGCAAGGAAATTCAAATGCATCATTTCGTATCATAAGAGATCTAGAGTGGAGGGGCTCCAGGAACAGTGCTTTCAGTGGTTTAACAATGTCATCAAGAAACCATGTTCCTTCTTCTTTTTGTTTACTATGGTCCTCGGTGTGTATACTTTCAGGCTGATTCCCTCATGGTCACAAGATGGCTGCCACAGCTCCAAGAATCACATCTAAACTCCAGTGAAGAGGAACCTTCCCTTCCAGTAGATCTTTCTTAGAAATGAGGAAACCTTCCTCCCCCGCAAATCCCAAGAAGACCTCCCCTCATGGCTCAATGGCCACAACTGGGTTACCAGACACTCCTAAACCAATCTCTGGCAAGGGTAAGGGGATCTCCTGTCTTAGTCCAATCAACCCTGGAGCCAAGTCAGGCTGTGAGGTAAAATAGCCACAGAAACAGAATTGGGACTCTGCAAAAGAGGAAGGGGAGTGGTATTGGATATTAGGTAAACAACCAAAGTGTCTGCTGTAATTCCTGCTTCCTTATCCTCTAGTGGCCCTTAATTCCTTCTTATTTCCAAGCCTGTTCCTTCTAGTTGATGCTATGAACCGCTGAGGGCATTCCCATAAAGTAAATTCCCTTTTGTTTAAGTAGCTAGAGCCATGTTCTGTTGCTTGCAGCCAAGGCCTTTCACTCTCCCTTATCCCTCAAGTCTAACCAGCCTCCAAGTTCTGTTCATTACACTGCCCACATATTTCTCAAGTCCCTCCACTTCTCTCCATTCCCACTGCCTCTTTCTTTGACTTCCGTAAAATTAAAGGTATATACAGTGGCGGAACATAATTTGAGAACCTCTGGTGGACATCTGTCATTTCCCTTCTTTGGCATTCATTCTCCCTTTATCTAGTAAGAGCTCTCAATGTTCCTTTGGGGAGGGGCCCATTCCCCCTTCCATCAAGTGGATATAAGAAAGATTACCCCATCCCTCAGCTGAGGGTGGAGTGGGCATGTGATCCAGACCTGGTCAATTAGAACACTGCCTCTTAAGGAAAACTCAGGGTGCTAGATCCCTTATTCAAAGAGGAACATTTCTCATATTTGTTATTCTAGTTTATTTTCATTTAAAATCTTTTAGGTTAAGTTTAAGCTTTTTAAGAGTTAGTTTTGGAAATTGAAACACATTGCTAATACTGTAGGAATTGGTGAGGACTTGACTTAAAACTTTCTTTGTATTGTGATTTCCTTTTGGGTGTATTTTGCTAAATGAAACTTGTTAAATTTTTTGTTAACTAAATTTTTTTCTTAAAATAAAGAGACTTTTTCACAATGAAAAAAAAAAAACCCTGCCTCTTTCTGTCCTCAGTGACTGGTTCAAAATGAACACCTGACCCAAATCAAACCAATGAGAGGCAACCCCGTGATTTTTGCTGGAATCAAGATAGAGGATTTCTCTTTCTAAAAAAGTTGCCATGTTGGTAGGAAGTGACCTTGAAGCTGCTGGCGGCCGTGTTTAGCATCTCAGAAACTGCCTGAGAATAAACACAACACTTTAAAAGCCAAGTCAGAATATGGGAAAGACAAATTTTGAGTGACACCATTTGAGACCTGGGATGCAATGACACTTGAAATCAGAACCACCACCTATACTTTTCAGTTACTTAAACCAATAAATTCCGTTTTTTTACTTAAGCCGGTTTTAGTTGCAACCAAAAGTCCTAACTGATGCAAGCAAGAATTCATGCATCGTTACCAGGAAGTTCCTAAAACAAAACAAAACCGCTAGTGATCAGCTCTGTAAGTCAGTAGCTTAAAGAATAGGAAAACAATGACCTTAGAAGCAGGGACTGGAGGGAAAAAAACAGCAACGAACTTCAATCAGGAAACCTTCAAATCCCGTCTTGAACCTCAAATCACTACCAAAACCTCAAATCACTACCAACCGCTGGTGTGACCATGGGTCAGGGGCTAAGTTTTTCTGAACCTAAAGAGGCCACGCCTCTTTAGGGAGGGGATGGCAGTCACACCATCTGGCAGGCTTGTAGAGATGCTTGAATGGGAATGCATGTGAAAGGGCAGAGCCTGGCATATGGTTGGGGCTCAGTCTATAGGAGTTTACAAAGAAACTTTCCCATGTGGACACCCCCCCGCCTCAGCAATTTCTACATGCGTGCCCAGTTCCCCCTGAACATCTGGGTCCCTTCCATCAACTGCTTTGGATCAGAGCAGAAAGGCACCATCTCCTCACCCTGGTTTCTGTCTTTCCATACCTGGGGTGTCAGTCTGTGGGATGAGAAGGGAGAAACCATCAAGTACCTGCTCACAGGTTCCTGGATCCACAGACACACACAGACTCCACTCCTCTGTAGCAGAGACTTGGGGGCGTACATTTCAAGAGGTGGCAGAACTGCCTATTCAAAGACAAGTTTAGGGGGTCAGAAGGTAACCAGCCCATCATCCTTCATTCCTCTCACTCGGTGGCACCATTTTTATCCCAGTCATTCAGGCCACCACCATGGAACATTTGTACAAATGGAAGCCACTCCTTCCTCCAGACCAGTGCTGCCTGTCAGAACTTCGGCGATGATGGAAATATTCTCTACCTGTGTTTTCCAATACAGTAGCCATTAGTCACATGTGGCTATTAAGCACTTGAAAAGTGGCTAGTATGACTGAGGAACTGAATTTTCATTTTATTTAATTTTAATTTTAATTTAAATAGCCACACGTGGCCAGTGGCTACTGTACTGGACAGTGCAGCTCCACAGTGTGACAAGAGGGAGAGGCGTATGAAATACTGTTGGAGAGCTACACAGGCCCAGATCGAGTTGGGCCCTGGTAGGCCAAGGGGAAGAGTTTGGGTTTTATTTTTAAGTGTAATGGGAAGTTAATTACCTACTACAGCTAATAAGAGATGACAAATTGCTCCCAAATTTAGCGGCTTAAACTACAAACATTTACAGGCATACCTCATTTTATTGCACTTCAAAGATAGTGCGACTGGGGTAAGGTCCACTTCCAAGTTCATTCACAAGGCTGTTGGCCTCAGGTCCTTCTTGACTGTTGGCCAGAGACCTCAGTTCTGGCCATGTAGACCTCTGCATAGAGCAACTTCCTTGAGGGTGAGCCAGCAAGGGGGTGAGAAAGCACCTAAAACAGAAACCACAGCCTTTTAGTAACCTGATCTATGAAGTGACATTTCAACACTTTGGCTGCATTCTTTTCACTAGAAGTAAGTCATTAGGTCCAATCCATGCTTGAGGAAAGGGGATCACATCAGGGGGTGAATATCAGGAGGGGGGATCATTGGGGTCATCTTAGAGGCTGCCCACCCCAGGAAGCCACCGGGGGGTTCTGAGCAGGAGAGTGACAGGACCCGGTTGATTGTTTCTAAAATAAGCAATAGAGTCACATGATACAAGATTAAAGTCCAAAAGCCTATAAGGGGACTTACCTGGTGGTCCAATGGTAAAGAATCTGCCTGCCAATGCAGGGGACGCGGGTTCGATCCCTGGTCAGGGAACTAAGATCCCACATGCTGCGGGGCTACTGAGCCCTTGCACCTCAACTAGAGAGCACGCGCGCCACAACTACAGAGCCCACCTGCCCTGGAGCCCGCACGCCACAACTAGAGAGAAGCCCACGCACCACAAAGAAAAAAGATCCCGCATGCGACAACAAAGACCTGACACAGCCAAAAATAAAAATAAATAAATAAATACAAATCATTTAAAAAACAAAACAAAACAAAAAACCGAAACAAAGGGTATAAGATGAAAAGCCCCCCTCCAGCCCTGTCCCCAGCCACTTAACTCCCCCTTCCTATAGGCAACCAATGTTCCCATACCTCATGTGGCCTTCCAGAGGGGGGTCCATGCGTACAGAAGCAGATTCATCTGTGGGAGTTAGTGTTGTTCACTAAATATTTCCAATTCTATTCTCCTTCCAGGCGGATAGTCGTTATTCCAGAATCTATTTCTCTGTAGCAAACCACTCACAACTTAGTGGCATAAAACACGAACTTATTAGGCTGATGGATTTTGCGGGTTGGGAATTCAGACAGGACACAGCAGGGATGGCTGTCTGCACCACAATGCCAGGGGCCTCAGCTGGGGCCGATGGGAATGCCCGGGAGCTGGAATCACCCAGGGGCTTCTTTGCTCAACTGTCTTGTGCTCTAGGTGGGACAACTGGAAGGCTGGGCTCAGCTGGAACTGTCAACCATAGCAGAGCAATGACCAATCTACACGTGAACAATCTATTCAGTGTGGGCTTATCACATCACAGCACAGCTGATGAGCCTGAAGGAACATCCTGAGAGAACAAGCATTGCAAGAAACCCAGGCTCCATGGCCTTTTGTGACCTGGCCTCAGATCTCATGTGTATCACTTCCACCATATTCTACTGATGACGAGAGTCACTAAAGCCAGGCCAGAAGTAAGGACAGGGAAATGAGAGCCCACCTCTTGCTGTGTGGGTGGCAAGGTCACACTGCAGAAATGCCTGTGGGATGGGAGTGTATTGCTACATTCATCTTTGGAAAATACAATCTCCCACAGTAGTGTCGGACCTCCACACCCTTCTCAACTTAGTTGTGGCCATGTGGTTGCCTTAACCAATGAAATGTGAGCAGAAGTGACTTGTGTCACTTTCAGATGCAAGCTTTAAGGGCCATCATATGATTCCCCACATTTCCTTTTACTGCCTGACATTGCAGAAGCGCAGATTGACAGGGAGTCTCTAGTGTCCTGGGTCTCTGAGTGACTACTCCTAGTGGAGCCTCCCAACTTCCCAACAACCTGCACTGGACACAAGGTGTACCTGAGAAGTTAACTCTTGTTGCTTTAAGTCACTGAAATTTGGGGATTGTTTGTTACTGCAGCATAACCTAGCCTATCCTGACCTTCTGTATACAACTACTAGCAAATCCTACCCACTGTTCTGTACTTTGCTTTTTTCAATTTTTTTAAGATTTTTAAAATATTTATTTAATTTATTTATTTGGCTGTGCCAGGTCTTAGTTGCGGCATGCAGGATCTTTTAGTTGAGGCATGCGGGATCTAGTTCCCTGACCAGGGATTGAACCCAGGCCCCCTGCATTGGGAGCATGGAGTCTTAGCCACTGGACCACCAGAGAAGTCCCACTTTTTTTATTTAACAATATATCTTGGAGATTGTTTATATCAGTACATGAAGAGCACCCCGACAGTTTTTTTTTTAAAGCTACATAGTATTCCTGTACAGGAAAGGACCAGATTTTACTTAACTAGTCCCTATTAAGGACAATTAGTACATTTGGTGTTTTTGGACAATGCTGCAGTGAACAACCTTGAACATTCATTTCTTATTTTGCTTGAGTGCAATTATATTTGTAGGATAAACCCTAGAAGTGCATATGTCAGACGACTGGTGGCAGACTTCCCTTTTAAAAAGGATCACTTTGGTCATAGCTAGAGAACGGGTTGAAGAGTCAGAATCCAAGAGTTGTGTGTGATACCATCCCCTCCTCACCCCATATCAATCACCAAGTCTTATTCATTCGAGCTCTGTGATAGCTCTCAACCTGGCCACTTGTCTGCACCCACTGGCCACTGCCCCAGCACAGTGCATCATTCCTCTCTCCAGTGATTCCTATTAAAAGGGCCTCCCACCTGTCTTACTCAGGATACTTGGCTCTAAACAATGAAGCTGATTCTGGGTAACTTAGGCAGACAAGGAACTGATTGGATGCTCTTGGGTGCTTGCTGAATTTCCCTACCCCAGGAAGGGCCTGGCTCGACCACCTCCCCCTCTTCTTCCACTGCCACCATAATGAACCCTAAATGGTCCTCTGATGTCTTATGTTAATCACTTGCTTTGGATTTCAAAGACCTGCTTGCAAACATTGGAAACGTTCCAGGTACCAGGGACCTTAGAGAGGAAATTCTGCCTCCTCTCTGATTTCCCTAGTGGAAAGCAGGGCCTGCCTCTGCATTTTATAGGTTTCCTCCCAAAGGGGAGGGGTGTTCAGATGCTGGGCGTCAAAACAATCAGTGTTTACAAGTCAGCCTAGGCCCCTCTCTCCCCACCCTTCACCTCACCCCTAGCACAGTGTGGCTGAGTCAGCAAATATGATCAAACTACTCCCTGGTTTATCACACCCTGGACAGCTCCCCACTACTCTCAAAATGAAGTCCAGACTCCTTACCTAGCTTCCAAGGACCTCCCTGATCCAGGCCTCTTCAAGGCCTCCCCATGCACACCCCAATGTGTACCTGAAAATCTAGTTCAATGCTCTGCCCTCAGGTGCCAAATGCATGAGCCCTTAACCACCTTCCTCTACAGAACTCTGAACATGTGCTAGCCCTCTAGCCAGAGGCTCTTTCCCTCCCACTCCAGTTACCTCTGAAACCTGCACATTCTCACTTAACTCTCAGGTCTCACTTAGACACAACACCCTTCACTGGGTGAGGTACCTGCCCTTTGTCCTACTGACCACTGGGTTTCCTTCCTTCAAAGTACTTTTCTTTATTCCCCAAAGTATCCTAGATCCATGCGCTTTTCTCCATGTCCACTGCCACCTTCTCAGTCCAAGCAACCATCCTCTCTCTCCTGGAATTCAGTAGGCTCCCAACTGCTCACTCTGCTTCCACTCTTGGCCCCCTGAAAGTCTACTAGCTAGAGTGATCTTTTAAAAGTATAAGTCAGGAACTTCCCTGGCGGTCCAGTGGTTAAGACTCCGTGCTCCCAATGCAGGGGGTGCGGGTTCAATCCCTGGACGGGAACTAAGATCCCACATGCCACATGGCCTAAAAATAAAATAAATAAAAGTATAAATCATCCTTTCAAAGGCTCCACATTTCATTTAAGAAAAACAAACAAACTCCTCTCCGTGGTTTACAAAGCCTTTCAGGATCTACCTAGAATCCCTGCTCCTTCAACTCATCTCAGACTTTGGGCCCTGAAGCTACACAGGCCTTCTTCCTGTTCCTTGAACATACCAAACTTACTCTAGGCTCAAAGCTTTGCACCTGCTGTTGCCTCTGCTTGACACTGTTCCCCTAGATCTTTGTGTGGTTGGATCTGCTCAAATGTCACACCCTGAGACCATTTCCCCTATCTTGTCTTAATGTCTTAATAGCACTTGTCACTCCCTCAGACCATACCATTTATTTGTTTACACATAGGATTACCATATTTATCCCCCTTCTAGCAGGTAGGCAGAGAGACTGACTATCTTGCTGGCACCACTGTATTCCCTAGCACCTGGCCCAGTGCCTGGCACAAAGTGCATGCTCTGTATTTTTGGATGAATGAATGGATAGGAATCAGAGAAGCCTAGTTGAATAGGACTCTGCCTTACCCGCAAGTTTGGGCAAGACTCCGTTTCCTGGTGTGTGAAGTGAGGTTGGAGGGAGTAGGATGTTTAGCTACAAGGTGTTGATTAGCTGTAAAATTTCGGCGTTGTTTTCTCCCTAGTCCTAGGCCCGCAGCCCTCCACTGGACCTCAGCTCCCCACCTATATAATGGGTGTGAGCTCATTCCCTACGTCTTGGGGTGGTAGCGCTGCCTTATAAGGCAGCAGAGGCCGAGGGCGGACAAGGCCGTGTGGGTGGAGAGAAATCACAACATCCGGCTGTGGGGGCGGGGTGGGGCGGGGCTGGGGCGCCCGCGGTGGCCGGCCTGGAGGCCTGGGAGCAGCTCGGGAAGCCAGCACCCTCCTGTGGGCCTCTCCCTGCTAACGATGTGCGCCCTCCAGAATGGGCCGGCCCAAAGGAATACGGCTGGATACACGGCCCGAACTTGCTTGAGCCTGGCCTGCAAGAGGCCCAAGATACCAAGCGCATCCCCTACAAACCCTGCACAAGCCAAGGCGAGCCAAAAGGACCTGGCCCACACCCACATCTAATGGCCCAATCAGGGTGCAAAGCTGAGAATGACTGACGCTTCCTTCATCCAATCAAATACCAGAGATCCGGGGCGTGACCCAGAGGACCCACCTCTTTTGTCCCAGCGGAGGGCTCGGCCCTAATTGGCAGTTTGGTATCCTACGAAGGCCCAGAAATTCGAACGTAGAGGCTGAACCCCACCGCAGACCAACCAGGAAGAGGTGACGTTTTAAGTCCCGCCCCCCTGTTCCTTTGAACGAATTCCCGGCTCTGGGGGCGGGGGATGATGAAGAGGCTGTCTAATGGGAAGACGGCGCGGCGAGCGCTCTCCCGGTTATTGGCTGAGTAAAGTAAACAGAGGGCGGGCCGGGGCGGGGCGTGCCGGCGCAGGGGTGGCCCCCGGGAGGGGGCGCAGAGTGCTCGGCGGGCGGCGGCGGCCGGGGAGGCCCGGGAGGCCGCGGCGCGGTCACTGCGAGCCGAGCCGAGCCGCGCCGAGCCGCGCCGATCGCCATCCGGCCCCGGCTCCCTCGCGCAATCCCGGCCGGTGGCGCGGCCCGGCGGGCCCGGGGGCGCCGCAGCCCATGGAGCTCGAGAACATCGTAGCGAACACGGTGCTACTCAAGGCCCGGGAAGGTGAGGCTGTTGGGTGAGGAGAACGCGGGCGCGCGGCCTCAGAGCTCGACCGGGTGCCTCAGTCGCCCGATCCCCTAGGGCAGCTCGCTCCGTGCCCCGCACCTCGCGCAGACACGAGCCCTTCCGGCCTGTGGTCCTCTTTCTCCGCACCTGCCCCCCGGGAGCTAGAGCCCAGCAAGGGGTGGGTCAGGCCGCCGCCCGCGCGGCGAGGAGGTGGGGTCGTGGTGAGGGAGTGAGAGGAGGAGAGAGGAAGGAAGAGGGAAGGGTGGGACCCCAGCCCCGGGAGAGCCTCTCTGAGCCCTCTCCCAGGTGAGAGGTAAGAAGATGCCGCAGGAAGGGAAAGGGGCAGCCCACACCCCACGTGCCCGGGCCCAGACTCCGGCGCCCAGCCTGGGCCGGCACAAAGTTGGTGCAGGGTAAAAGGTTTGGAAAATAAATTAACCGAGGCTCTGCCGTAGCACAGCCTTTGCGAGGTGGGGAAACTGCTGGTCATATATGCTACCAGCATGACTGCCACTTGCTCGGTGCCTCAGGACACTGGGGACAGAGGTGAATGGGTCACAGTTTTTGCCCTCGGGAGTAGTGGGGCAGATGGGCACAGAAAAAACTGGAAGCTGAGTTTTGAAGGAAGGGAGGCATGCCAGGCTGGTAGGACTGTTAAGTGCAAGGCCTGGCAGAGGGAGCCTGTCTTGTGAACCTAGTGTTGCTGAGCTCCTCGGGCATTACCAGGCACCTGCTCTATGAGGATCCTGGGGATGCATAGGGACCAGACTTGGTCCTCATTGCCTTGCGGTCAGTCTGCCCCTCACCTGCCACTGTTCACCTCAGTAACATAATCACCGAACACCTACTCTGTGCCCTGTCCTGTCCAGGGTGCCAGGGACCAGCAGAGAAGACACTTCGTTTTGGAACTCTAGGGCAGGGAGGTCAAGACTCTTTGCTGGGGTTTCAGGCTGAAAAAGACATCTGCTTCGCCTTTCTGACCTATTTTACAGGTGGGAAACTGAGGCTTAGATCAGTGACTAGCCCCAAGGACACACAGTGAGACTGGTTGACTCACGCCTAGGACACAGGATGTCCCCAATGCAGTCTGTAGGAAACCCAGAGGAACCCCCAGCTGGCACAGCATCTGGTGCCCCCTGCCTGTCCAGTGCATGTTGACCCTGGAGAAGTGCTGCCTGGAAATGGGCATGGCAGTCTGGGTCCTCAGTGCCCAGAGCCTTCCTTATCTCCTGTCCGTTATGGAGTCCTGGGGCTAGGCCTTCCTCCCAGCCTCTGGGGGCATCTGCCGATTCTGTTCTGCCTCGTCATCCAGCCATCCAGGGAGGAGGGGTGGGGAGAGCCTGGCCAGGCCTCCCTCCCTAGGGCTGTAGCCAGTTCAGGCCTCAGGCCTGCTGAGAACACTGCCTTGCCTGACCAGAGAGTGTGGGCACCTTCTGGTAGGATTCCTCAGGAGGCATAGGGGGCTATGGCCAGACTGAGACCAATGCCTTCACTGGAGAATCCTTACTCCAACCTGGCTCTGTCCCTCTCACCTGGGTGGCTCTAGACAAGTCTCTTCTCTCTGAACTTCAGTAACTCTTTTTGTGGGATGGTTGAGGGTGGGACCTGAAAACTAAAGGAAATCCCAGTTGTCACTGAGTTTTGAACCCCGGTCTGTAGATTGAGTGCATTGGAATCCCTTCATGAGCTGGCTGACGGCTTGGACCCCAGGCCTTTGCCAGCTTCCCAAGTGATCTGAGGCCCTGAGTGATTTGGGATTGCATGTATTCAGTTGACACCTGATGCCAGGCATGTTTGCGGTGGGAGAAGAGCTTGGGTTGTGGTCCTAGGGAGCTGGGTTCAAGTCCTGACTCTGGGACCTCCAGCCTTCGTAATCTTGGACCAATTGACTCCTCATTTCAGGGCCTCGGTTTTCTCATAAAATTGGGCCAGTTCTGGAAGAATTGCTATGAGGATGAAATGGGACAGCACTGGAGGTGTGAACCCTCACTTAGTCCTCCTTCCTTTCCCAGGCCCCCAGAGGCACGGGGAGGGGACCAGGCTGGGGTGGGGAGGAGCCCCACTGACTCTGGTGGCAGTTCCAGGACAGGATATTTGCATGTGACTCTGCTGCTGCCTTGATGTGGCTGGGAGGAGGGAGAGGAGGAAGTAAGTGATGGGGGTAGCAGGCGGATGGAGGGGTGGGGGAGGAGTTCCCCTTCTGGGGAGGCCTTGCCCTGGGTTGGGGGGTGGGGGTCCGTTGCTCACTCACAGTGGAGCAATGACTGTGGGGTATGCTGGGTGCGGGCTGCAGGAGGGCTGCTAGCAGGTTTCCCAATGGGTACCCTACAACACTTCCTCTTCCAGGCAGCTTAGGTCAGGGAGCCTACTGGAGGACCCAGCCTTGCCCTCTCCCTAGACGGTGGCTCCTCCTGCACCACCTGCCTTCAGCCAGGTCAGATGGAAACAAGGCTGGGTAAACCATAGGGGAAACTGAGGCCAGGCAAGGGATAGTGGTGGCCTGAGGTTGCCACTGAGTTGTTGGAGCTGGGACCCACCTCTTGCCACAGCCCTACTGGGTACTGGACACAGACTCTCCTGGTCACCATCACAATACCTCTGGAGATGGCTCTGGACCTGAAGTACACATGGAGAAATTGAGGTTCCTAGAGAGCAAGTGATGGGCCTGAAGTGTAAGGTGGAGATTCAAACCCAGGTCTGTAAGATTCCAAGACTCAGGCTCCTTCCACCATTTTCAACCTCATGGCCCACAGGCCACATCTAGCTAGATCTCTAACATATTTTATTTATTGGGCTGCAGTGGGTTTTTTAAAATATAGGAACTAATATTTCATGTAACAGTCCAGAGTCTCAGCTGATTTTGAAAAGTCAAAAGAGCTGGCCACACTGGGCCAGCATTCCTGCCTAGTAACAATCAAGCAGTCAGCCGTGGTTGTGCTGCAGCTGCCCCTGTTTGAAGCGGCATGCCGGGCCCAGTTCCCACACTCCTCACCACTCCCTGTTGTCTACCATCTGGCCCACAGTTACTGTACCTGTCTGGCTCTGTAGGCATTTGAGCTGCTACCCTGGTCTCAGCAGCTACAGATGAGGGGTCAGCTAGGTAAAATGAGGCAGGTAGCAGGACCAGGAAAGCAGGGGTAGGGATCCTGAGTGTCAACCCTCCTGCCACCACTTTGTTTGCGTCCCTGATAGCTCTGATGCAGGGCCTCGTAATAGGGGCCTGGAGCCTACCTGGTGACCCAGGCTGCCCTCTGCCTCTGGCATCTCTCAGGCATGTCCCACATGTCCTGGAACGTCTCCCTTCTGGGCCTTGACTTACACAGTTCCCACCACTATCGTGTCCTTCTCTTTCTTCACCTGGGAAACTCCTACCTGGCAGGAAGAAGCTGAGGCCTGCCAAAGCTACCTGGAAACCCCACTCTCCCCCAGTGGCTGGCCTCATGCCCCTCTTGGCTCTTCCAGCCCAGAAGCCCCTAGCAGGTGGGCCTAGGGGCCCATGTGTGTCCTGGAACCCAGCGAGGGCATGTTGCAGCATGCGGAAGGAAGGCCCGAGGTGCCTCCCAGAGTGGACTGGGCCTAGGCTGGGCCCTGAAGGCCTCTGGATTGCACTGAGGATGGAGGGGAGGCACGGCAGTGGCGGGACTCGAGACCCAGCACCTGTTTGCTTCCACAGGTGGTGGCGGGAATCGCAAAGGCAAAAGCAAGAAATGGCGTCAGATGCTGCAGTTCCCTCATATCAGCCAGTGCGAAGAGCTGCGGCTCAGCCTTGGTGAGACCTGGGTAGAGACGGGGGCTGGGGTGAAGAGGTGAGAGGGTCCTGCTGGTGCCAGGGGGCCTCCCCCAAGACCTTGCCTCAGGGTGGAGGGGCAGGGTTGGGGGTTTTGGGGACCAGAGAAATTGAGGCCGCACCACCAACCCAGTTTCAGTTCCTGGGCTTGGGCTGGGTGGAGGGCAGAGAGCACATAGGACAGCAGCGGGTGGTTGGGGTAGGCGTGGGGAGGAGGACGGGGTCAGATTGGGGGCGATCTGAGGGAAGCAGCGGAAGGGAGGGCCAGGCCTCGGGCGAGCAGGGCTCGCAGGATGGAGCGGAGGGTGCTTCAGGGGCTGGAGTCAGCCCTCACCGACTGCCCGGGGAGCCCCAGGCCTGTGCTCAGCCCCACCCAGCCTGGCCCTGCGGGTGCCCCGCAAAACCTTAACGAGAAGGGCCAGGCCCCCTCTGAAGGCCTGCACGTGGGCTAGGAGTACACCATGGCTGCTTCCACCGCCGGGAAGGAGGCCTAGCCTCGAGCTCGCCGGAAGCCACAGCTTCCTCCCACACTTTCGCCAGGCAGTCAGCAGGTGTGGGCCGGGCCCAAGCCGGGCCGGAACCTCACAGACCACACCCAACCCCAACTGTGTGAACCAGGAGACAGCGGCTGGAAGTGAGGACCCCGGCTCTGGAGCCACACTCCTGGCTGTGTGACCTTGGGCTAATTACTTATCCTCTCTGGGCCTCGGAGTCCCAAGCTATGATGGCAGTAACAGTAGTGCCACCTCAGTGCTGTGGTGAGGGTTCTAAAGGAGACAATGGCTGCCATACTGCAGGGCTGGAAGCTGTTGTTAGGGCCCCGGGCCTGGTGGTGTGGACAGGAGTGCCCTGCCGGTGGGCTCCAGGTCCAGAAATCCAACAGCTCCCACCCCTGCCTGCAGAGCGTGACTACCACAGCCTGTGTGAGCGGCAGCCCATCGGGCGCCTGCTGTTCCGAGAGTTCTGCGCCACGAGGCCCGAGCTGACCCGCTGCATTGCCTTCCTGGACGGGGTGGTGAGTGCAGCCCAGCTCAACACCAAGGGTGGGCAGAGGTCCCGGGCCACATGTGCCCCATCTCCCCACACCTGTTGCTGTACCCAAACCCCAAGCTTCTCTGCCTCCCACCCCGCAGGCTGACTATGAAGTGACCCCTGATGAGAAGCGGAAGGAGTGTGGGTGGCGGCTAATGCAGAATTTTCTGAGCCACACGGTGAGTGAGCACTGATGGAGGGATGATGGCAGTGGGTAGAGCTCAGTGATGGGGAGAGGATTGACCACAGCTCAGGCAGAGAGTGCCCTGGAGCTGCTCCAGGCTCACCAGGCAGCACTGCAGGCATGGAGCCCAGGAGGGTGGGCTGGGGCTCTGGACCCTGCAGCCTGCCAGCAGCTCTGCTTCACCCTGCCTCAAGGGGAACAGCAGAAACCAAGTTCAGCGACTGGGCAGGCTGGCGCACCTCCAGCCCATAGCCACCCCACCACAGGCCCAAGGTCTCTGCCATCTCTGCCCTGGGAGTGGGTGGCTGGCCAAGGGAGCCCCTGCACTGACCTGTCTGTGGCTTGTCCCTAGGGTCCCGACCTCATCCCTGAGGTCCCCCGGCAACTGGTGACTAACTGTGCCCAGCGGCTGGAGCAGGGGCCCTGCAAAGACCTCTTCCAGGAGCTCACCCGGTAAGCCTCTCCCTGCCCGTAGGCTGAGAATCGTGTCCTGACGGGTGGGCTTCTTTGGACCCAGAAGGCTGTGAACAGTTCAGCAGGTGGTGAGGGAGCTCAGCCCCTCACCCCAGCCTTGCGCCAGCTCTGTGACCTTGGGCAGGTTGCCTCCCCTCTCTGTAGCATCTTGGGCTTCAGCCAGGATGCATGTCTCCCACCTAGGTGGGTTAGCAAGAGGGTTGGCTGAGGACGCTGCGTTTCAGGCTGAGCATACACATAACAGGGGGCCTGGCACATCAAGCCAAGAACTTGGGGTGTCAGGGGCTGACCAGTGGTCTGGGTCTTCTCGATAGGCTGACCCACGAGTACCTGAGTGTGGCCCCTTTTGCCGACTACCTCGACAGCATCTACTTCAACCGTTTCCTGCAGTGGAAGTGGCTGGAAAGGTGAGCTCCTTGAAGGCTGGGCTGGGCTGGGCCAGGTTGTGGGGGCTCTCATGGGCGTCAGGCCCCTGATCAGCTAGTGTTTGATCCCCAACCCCTTGTCCACAGGCAGCCAGTGACCAAAAACACCTTCAGGCAGTACCGAGTCCTGGGCAAAGGTGGCTTTGGGGAGGTGAGTGGCCAGGCCAGAGCCCAGCAGAGTACAGAGGTGGGGTAGGGTGGACCCTGACAAGCCCCTTCCCCCTTTGAGCCCCTGTACCCCCAGGAAGGGCCCAGCTGGTCCCCATTTGCCCCATCTACCCTGGCTACAGGTATGTGCCTGCCAGGTGCGGGCAACAGGCAAGATGTACGCCTGCAAGAAGCTGGAGAAGAAGCGGATCAAGAAGCGGAAAGGGGAGGCCATGGCCCTCAATGAGAAGCAGATCCTGGAGAAAGTGAACAGTAGGTTTGTAGTAAGTACAGACAGGAGACCCTTCCCTTTCCCCTGGCCACGCCTGCTCTCCCCACTCGCTGGACTAAGATCTCTTCCCTGCCACAGGCCCCCTCTAGGCACGACTGCCTCCCTTGTCCTCAGAGATGCCTGGGAAGGGTGGGTTTGGGGAATTGACACCTGGCCTAGGGAGCAGGCTGGGCCCCAGGGAGTGGTACTAAGAAGGATTTTTCGGGCGGCTGGCACCAGCCCCCCCACCAGGTGGCCCACGGCCCCTGCTTCAGGGCTCGGACCCTCTTGGTCACAGGTGAGCTTGGCCTACGCCTATGAGACCAAGGACGCGCTGTGCCTGGTGCTGACGCTGATGAACGGAGGCGACCTCAAGTTCCACATCTACCACATGGGCCAGGCTGGCTTCCCCGAGTCTCGGGCCGTCTTCTACGCGGCAGAGATCTGCTGCGGCCTGGAGGACCTGCACCGGGAACGCATCGTGTACAGGTGCAGGGGTGTGGCCCTCCTGGCCAGGGGCCGCAACTGGGCTTGGGTGGAGGCTGCAGAGAGATGTTGGTGTGCTGGGGCTGTCACTGCAGGCACAAGTCTGTCTGGGCTCTGGCTGGGGGCTCCACACTCACCCACACTAGGCAGACTTGAGAGGCTCAGAACCCAGGCTCTGGGGTCTGGTTGACCATTTGTGAATCCCGGCATTGTCGCCCCTCTCTCACTCTGTGACCTTGGCCACTCAGCTCCCTGCTCACAACACCATTTTCTTTCCTGGGAAGCAGACTATATATAACTCCTGCCTCTCAGGTTGTTGTAGGGAATGAATGAGATAATGCTGTAAAGTACATAGAACTCGGTAGTGGAGAGCTCCTCTTATTACTATTACTGGTGATGATTTCATTTGAGCCTCACAACAGCTCCATGAGGAGATGGATGAGTAGCCTCATTTGACAGATGGAAAAGGTAGAGTTAGCCACCAGAGTGGAGGGAGAGCACTAGCGGTGAACAAAGCTGCTGGTGATGTCTGGGAAGCTTCCCTCTGAGTGGGAACTGCCTTCCACTTGCCTAGTGAGTTCCAGGAGTCCTGGCTGCATAGATCCTTCATCTGCTCCCTCAGGTTGGGGCTGCTGCCAGGGAAGGCAGGGCTGTCTGTCTTCTGGCAACAAAAGGCTCCCACACCTTGCTGCACATCCCATCCTAGGGGGTGAGCGAGCTAGGAGGGGGTGGCCCTGTCTGGCTGCTGGGCAAACTGAGCAGCATCTGATCCTGCCCTTCTCTCCCCACAGGGACCTAAAGCCAGAGAACATCCTACTAGATGACCACGGTGGGTGAGGGGCCACAAAGTGTGGGAGAGGCATGGGGGAGGTCTGGCCCACCTGCCTAACGGGCCTCCCTGCTTCTCCATCCACATTCAGGTCACATCCGCATCTCCGACCTGGGGCTGGCAGTGCACGTACCTGAGGGCCAGACGATCAAAGGCCGTGTGGGCACTGTGGGCTACATGGGTGAGTCTCCCTTCCCCCTGGCCCGCCAGCCTCCTGGGTCCTCTCTCTGTCTTGGGCCCAGTCCCACCACCCCTGTTGGGAAGTCTCCTGTACCTCAGGGAATAGAAAGAGCTGATGTTCTTCTTTTATAGATGAGGAGACCAAGACTCAGCCAGGGCCCCACACACTGTGAATCCACAGCATTCACTCACTACATATTCATTGAGCTACTCCTACCGGCCGGGCCTACAGGTGGCTACCAGTGAAAGACAAGGGCCTCATACCTGTTTCCATGGCCCCGACTCTCCACTCCCGAGACCTGCCCATGCTAGAAGTGGGAGTGCCCATCTGTGGTGGAGGCCAAGATGTGGCCCCAAATTCCCCTTGGGACCACGTGACACAGTAGACAGAGCTCCAGCTATGGGCTCCACCTCTTCCTTGTTATGTGTCCTCGGGCCGGACATTCTGCTTCTCCCAGCCTCACTTTCCCTGACTGTAAAGTGATCATCACCTACTCCCAGGGTTGCCTTGAAGATGAAAAGAGGTAGTAGAGGCAAAAATCCCTACCTGCCTGTCCTGGCAGGCAGTAGCTATCCAGCAAATCAGTTGCTGTCTTCTTTCCTCTCTTTGATATTAAATCTGGAGGTTGCAAACTGGCAGCCACACTAGGCCTAATTTGGCCTCCATCTGTGTTTAAATCAAATTGTTTTTCAAACAATTTGAATTGATCGCCAACATTTGATAACCCAGACAGCTTCATGTTAAAAATACGGATTTCTGACTTCTCTTGAAAAGTCAGAAGACGTGGCCCCCTGCAGGGCCATACCAGCGCACTTTGATGAGATGTGTGCTGTCCAACTCACCTCAGTCCCCACCGGGCTGCTGATGGTGCCTGCCTGGGTGGTGCCAGTGGGTGTCTGAGCTGGTTACCCCACCTTGACATGCATGCTGGGCATTCCTGGGGCCCCGGGGCTCAATTCCGCCTCCTGCCCCGTCTTAACTCCTGTGCTGTCCCTCCCAGCCCCAGAGGTGGTGAAGAACGAACGGTACACATTCAGCCCGGACTGGTGGGCGCTAGGCTGCCTCCTGTACGAGATGATCGCAGGCCAGTCACCCTTCCAGCAGAGAAAAAAGAAGATCAAGCGGGAGGAGGTGGAGCGGCTGGTAAAGGAGGTGCCCGAGGAGTACTCGGAGCACTTTTCCCCACAGGCCCGCTCGCTCTGTTCCCAGGTACAGCAGCCAGCAGGAGGCCCAACCGGCCAGGGCTGGGGCTGGGGGCACCTCTCCCGGGGCTACCCTGACTACCCTGCCTTGCTGTAGCTCCTCTGCAAGGACCCTGCTGAGCGCCTGGGGTGTGGGGGGGGCAGTGCCCGCGAGGTGAAGGAGCACCCCCTCTTCAAGAAGCTGAACTTCAAGCGGCTGGGAGCCGGCATGCTAGAACCACCCTTCAAGCCTGATGTGAGTGCTGCCCACTCCTGCCGAGGGCAGGGCCAAGCCCTGGCTGGGGGGCAGGGGTGGGTGGGAAGGGTTGGGGGCTCTTGGAGGATTGGTTGGGACACCCTCATTGCAAGTGTTAGAAAACTCAAGTGTGTTAACCAGTAAAACAGAATTCACCGGGCTCAGAAAAATGAAAAGCTGTGGGAGAGGCCTTGCTTTTGGCCCACCCGATCCAGGGCTCCAACAATGTTGCAGGAATTCCGTCTTCCTCTCTCTGACCACTACTGGTCAGTGTGCAGGCTTCTCTTTCAGGCAGCTGTCCCCAGGGTGTGGCAGGCCTACATCTTAACAGCTCAGCCACCCTAGAAGACAGAGAGTGCCTCTTGCCCAATAATTTCAAAAGAAGTCCGAAAAGGAAAAACAAGGCCTGAGGCTGATGCTCATTGCCTGATTGCCCAGAGGCCCCTCAGCAGCCACACCTGGATCCTATACCCACCTGAGCCACTGCCAGTGGTGGGAGATCGGTTTCCCAAAGGAAAACTAAGATGCCTTGCCAGCAGGGGAAAGGGCCATTGGGCTGGCAAAATATCTGCTGCCCACTACACCTGGGAACGCTGACCTCCTGTCTGGGAGTAGGACACTCCCCTCTGCAGAGTCTCACTCATTTACTGAGCATCTCAGTGGGTCAGGCATCCTCCTGGCAGAAACATCCTCGAGTCATCAAATTCTAAGTGGCAGAAGCCCAACTCAAACTTATGCCCAACATGGAGCTTATTGGTTCATTTGGCCAGAAAGTCCCAGAGTAGGGCCAATGTCAGGGTTTCATACCATGTTGTCAGGACTCCATCTCTTGGCTCTGCTGCAGCCTGTTGACTCTTCTCCCACTGAATTCAGGCTTCTCTGTATAAAGTCATAGGGAAGGTTCTGATTGGCCAAGATTAGATCACGCGCTTGCCCCCCTCTCATGTGTAAGAGGACTGGGACCTGTGATTGACAGTTCACCAGGAACACGGGGGAGGAAGGTAGGTGATGGGCAGGCCAGGTTGGTGGCTGTCAACCATGCACGTGATTGTTTACACATTCAACAAATATTCTGAGTGCCCATATGTACCAGACCTCAGAATTAATAGAGTCAACAGGACCCAGTCCTCCCTTCATGTTCTAGTGGGAAGACACAGCAAAATAAACCAGTAAGTGAAAAAAGAGTGGTGGGGGGGGTGGGAGTATTTCTAGACAGGATGGTCTCTGAGGAGCTGTTGGTTAAGTAGAAGCCTAAAATACGTGAAGGACAGAGCTGTACCAGGATTTGGGGCATGAGCATTCCAGGGAGAAGGAGCAGCCAGGCATTAAGATCCTAGTGCAGGGACCAGCCTTGAGAGGTGGAACAGCAGTGAAGGCCAGTGTAGCTGGCATGAGCATGTGCAGGGAACGTGGAGCAAGAATGTGAGGTGGGGGTGTGGGCCACAGAGCAGGGGAGCAGGAACGGGAGTGGGAGGCCACCTAGTGGGTGGCCTTGTAGGTGCGTCTCACCAGCAACCCACAGTTTTAGCCTTGGTGTGGGCAGTTGAACTGAGAGCCTGACTTCCGGCAGCCTGCCTCAGGGCTGGCCCTGCCACTCGAGTTTACTCCTCCTTCCCTGCATACCAACCTTGCAAATCAGTGCCCTGGAGTTTAACTTTTTTTAGAAGCAGCAGATGAAAAATGTGCTTGATGATGATATAGTTTTTAACAGCTTTATTGAGTTCATATACCATACTACTCACTCCTTGAAAGGATATAATTAAATGGCTTTTAGCATAGTCAGGTTGTGCAACCATCACCGCAATCAATTTTAGAACGTTTTCATCACCCCTCCCCCCAAAGTACCCCATACTCATTAGCAGTCATTCCCCATTCTCCCCTCCCCTGGCCCTTGGCATCCACTCATCGACCTTTTGTGTGTGTGTGTGTGTGTGTGTGTGTGTCTGCGTTGTGTCTTCGTTGCTGTGCGCGGGCTTTCTCTAGTTGTGACGAGCGGGGGCTACTCTTTGATGTGGTGCACGGGCTTCTCATTGCGGTGGCTTCTCTTGTTGCGGAGCACAGGCTCTAGGCATTCAGGCTTCAGTAGTTGTGGCTCACGGACTCTAGAGTGTAGTCTCAGTAGTTGTGGTGCACGGGCTTAGTTGTTTCATGGCGTGTGGGATCTTCCCGGAACAGGGCTCGAGCCTGTGTCCCCTGCATTGGCAGGCAGATTCTTAACTGCAGCGCCACCAGGGACATCCCTACTAATCTACTTTATGTCTCTCTATATTTGCCTATTCTGGACATTTCATATTAATGGGATTATATAATATGTGGCTTTTTGCACTTTGCATACTGTTTTCAGGGTTCACCAATGTTGTAGCATTTATTGGTACTGCTTTCCTTTTTTATGACTGAATAATATTCCATTGTATGAATATGACACATTTTGTTTGTTCATCAGTTGATTGACATTAGGGTTGTTTCCACTTTGGGGCTATGATGAATAATGCTGTTTTGAGCATTCACATACAAGTTTTTGTGGGGACATATGTTTTCATTTCTCTGGGACATACACCTAGAAGTTGAATGCTGGCTCATATGGTAACGCTATGTTTAACCTTTTGGGGAACTGCCAGACTTTTCCAAAAAGCGGCTGTATGATTTTACATGATAATATTTTGACATCCTTAACAGTAGGACTTAGAAAAAAATGTAACGATGAAAAAAGAAGTGGCCTTCTGGAGTGAGGTGGGCTCCTGGCAGAGGGCTGGGGGCGCAGAGAGGTGGGAGGAATGTTCTAATTCTTTGGTTGGCTGTGAAGCAGAAGGGGATGGAATATGCCATTGGACATCCCAGGACAGAGGACCTATCAGCTCCAGGCCCCGCATGGAGCACCCAGCTAAGATTCAGTCTGCGCTGCCCTCACCAGTTGCACCTAGACAGCTGTATACAGGTGGAGGGGGGTGCCTGTTACTGATTCCGTATGGCACTGTGGGGGCTGCTTGGCCACCGTGGGTCAGCTCTGCAGCCTTGTCAGGCAGTGAGCAGTGAGGGATAATGAGCCCCAGTTTAGAGGGGAACTTGGGCGTCAGAGAGAAGGGACTGCCATGCTCAGGAAGTGCATGGGGCACTTGTGTTTTGTTCTGTTTTGGAAGTGTAGTAGATTTACAATGTTGTGTATTAGTTTCTGGTGTACAGCAAAGTGATTCAGATATATATATGTACGGATGTATATATGTGTATATGTGTGTGTATACATATTCTTTTTCAGATTCTTTTCCATTGTAGTTTATTACAAGGGATTGAATATGGTTCCCCACACTATACAGTAAGACCGTGATGTTTATCTGTTTTATATATTGTAAAATATATCTGCTAATCCCAAACTCCTTATTTATCCTCCCCCCTTCCTCTTTGATAACCATGAGTTTGTTTTCTATGTCTGTGAGTCTGTTTCTGTTTTGTAAATAAGTTCATTTGTATCATTTTTTTAGATTCCACATATAAGTGATGTCATGTTAAATATATTTGTCTTTTTTTTTTTTTTTTTTTTTTTTTTTGGCGGTACGCGGGCCTCTCACTGCTGTGGCCTCTCCCGTTGCGGAGCACAGGCTCCGGACGCGCAGGCTCAGCGGCCATGGCCCACGGGCCCAGCCACTCCGCGGCACGTGGGATCCTCCCGGACCGGGGCACGAACCCGCGTCCCCTGCATCGGCAGGCAGACTGTCAACCACTGAGCCACCAGGGAAGCCCAATATATTTGTCTTTGTACGACTTACTTCACTTGGTATGATAATCTCTGGGTCCATCCATGTTGCTGCAAATGGCATTATTTCATTCTTTTTTATGTCTGAGTAATATTCCACTGTACATTATTTATATACATGTGCCACATCTTCTTTACCCACTCATCTGTGGATGGACACTTAGGTTGCTTCCATGTCATAATAGTGCTGCTGTAAACACTGGGGGCACCTGCAAACCAGGAAGCTGCAAGGGTCAGGGCAAACCCAGCCCCAGCTCAGGGTTGAGCTGCCCTCCTGTCGAGGAGGAGTGTGTGTGGTGTTCCTGTCTAACCACTGCCTCTGTCCCCCCAGCCCCAGGCCATTTACTGCAAGGATGTTCTGGATATTGAACAGTTCTCCACAGTTAAGGGTGTGGAGCTGGAAGCCACTGACCAGGACTTCTACCAGAAATTTGCCACGGGCAGTGTGTCCATCCCCTGGCAGAATGAGGTGGGGACCTGCCCAGCTGATGGGGTGGGCTCCAGAGGGGCACCCTTGGGGTCAGTACTCACAGCTACCTGTTCTGTGGCAGATGGTGGAGACCGAGTGCTTCCAGGAGCTGAATGTCTTCGGGCTGGATGGCTCGGTTCCCCCAGACCTGGACTGGAAGGGCCAGCCGCCTGCACCCCCAAAGAAGGGACTGCTGCAGAGGCTCTTCAGTCGCCAGGTAACCCCCAGCAGTGTCCTACCTGGGTCCCCCACCTGGCTCCAGGGGACGGTGGGTGGGAGGCAGAGCCGGTGCCTGCATGCGCGGGGAGTAGGCATCCTCCAGCCGTGTCAGCGGTGCCCAGGGTCTCTGGCCTCATTCCCGCCTGTCCCCCACCCCCGGCTGGGCTCACGGCCTCTTTTCTCTTTCCAGAGGTGAGCAGTGTGGGCTCCCCATGGGTTGGCCTTGCTGCCCGGCCTTGGGGAGCCACAGACAGCCCATCCATGGCAGAGGCGAGATGTGGGCGAAAGAAGTCTGGTGCCCGCTCCCTACCTCCCCCTCCCCACTGCTTCCGTGCCCAGCACCTGCAAGCTGCTAGCCTTGCTTAGCCATCTGTCTCCCCATGCCCTGCCTCCACCGGCCCCAGGGGAGAGGGCCCTGGCAGAGCCTGGGATCCACCTGGTCCTCCTCACTTCAGCCTGTTGCCAGCAGCCTCTGCACTGATGTCCACACATGTCTGGCCTGAGCTGCTGCTCTGGGCCCCTCGTGGGGAGCCCCCTCCTTGGAGCACGGAGCTCCTGGTCTGCCCTGGCAGGGCCGGCCCAGGTGACGGCCCTGGTAGCTAACTGCGCCTGCTCTGCCTCTCTCCCTCCGTGTCTTCCCCGCCCTCCAGGACTGCTGTGGGAACTGCAGCGACAGTGAGGAAGAACTTCCCGCCCGCCTCGAGCTCCCCACCCGCCTCTAGCCCCCAACCTGAGGCCCCGCCGGGCAGTTGGCGGTAGCAGCTACTCCAAGCGCTGTTTACAGTTTTGCACAGTGGTCTTCCCCATTGTCCACTCAAGTTGTGGCCTGGGGAACACAGCCGGAGCTGTCCCCAGTGCCCTCTGCCCCTCAGCCCCTGGTCTGGCTGAGTTTGGCAAGGCCTGGACTGTCCCTGGGACAAAGGTGCGTCCCTTCAGCTCTTGTCTGTGGAGCTCGGGGCTTTCTGTATTTATGTCTTTGTACGAATGTATATAGCAACCAGAGCGTTCTTAAGACCCACGCTGGAGCCGGCAGAGGGGCTGCTGCCACACTCCAGGCACCTCAGGCCCAGCTCAGACGGGCGAGGTTGGGCCAGGCCAGGCCCCTGGGCCCCCAGCACTGTGCTTGCCACCGCCGACCTCCGAGTGAGACTCGTGCCTGCCCCTGCCGCCCTGGGCTTAGGCCGCCACCTCTGGGGCCCAATACTGTCCCTTCTCAGCACCTGTCAGAGCTGGATCTGGGACCTCTCTGTCCCCTAGGCCTGTGCCAAAGTGTGACCAGAGATTGGGCTGACCCTGGGACCCCTCAGTCCACTGCCCAGGCTGTCCCAGATGGGTCTGCCTCTGCCTTCCAGCTCCCAGGTCACCTCGTCCCTTGTGCTGGGCCCTGTCCTGAAGACACCTCATGCAGAAACACCCCAGCCCAGGCCAGGGGAAGGGTAGGGGTGGGGGTGTCCCTGACCAACCCTCAAACATTCCAGACTCCCCTCATAACAGACACATGTGCCCAGCAATAATCCACCCCTCCCAGTGTGTGCCTGTGGGGTGTGTGTGTGTGTGTGTGTGTGTGTGTGTGTGTGTGTGTGTGTGAGAGAGAGAGAGAGAGAGAGAGAGAAGGGGGCAGGCGAGGCTGTGGGCCTGCCCTGGCCCAGGCCCCAGCCCTGGCCCCTCCCGGACTGTGATGGCCATCCTGGTCCCAGTGTTAGGGTAGCGTGGGATTACAGGGTCCCAGTTTTTCCATATTTAAAGCCAATTTTTATTACCCATTTTGTCCAATATAAGCTGCCACATGTCTCTGTGTGAATACAGTCCGAGCACAAACCTGGCCAGCTGCCCCTGCCTGCCTCTTTCTTGCCCCTGGTGGTCCAGGGGTCTTCCTGCCTCCCTGGCCCTGCTGGAAGTGGAAAGAGATTGGAAGTGGGGATAGTGGCGGCTGCCCTTCCAGCAAGGCCCAAGGGCCCCCAGGGCCGATCTTGGGGTAGCCTCTCCAGGCAGCCAGGCTTTGGTGGCCTCTGGGCCCAGCAGCTTCCTCAGCAGGTTGAGGCCTGAGAAAAGAAGCCTTGGGTCCCCGCTAGGTATGGGTCTGGCTCTGGAACCACTAGGGTGTGGGCCTGTGCTGGAGAGGTGGGCTCAGCTGGCAGTATCTCCTCCGAGGCCAAGGTGGCCTGGCTGCCGCTCGTGGGTTTGGAGCGGCCTGGGGAGTAAGGTGGGAGCTGCTGTTAGGAACACCTGCCCAGTCTGTCTTACCTGGACACCTGCCAGTTAGGAGCACCTGCCCAGTCTGTCTTACCTGGACACCTGCTGTGTGATTTGCCCAGGGCCAGTACACATGTGTTAGAGCCATTCCTCTGCTTTGCCTTTGAAGCAGGAAATGTGGCTGGGCAGAGACAGACACTGGTGATGCTGGAAGTTAGGCTGTGGCAGAGGTGGGTGGAGACCAGCCATGTGGCCATCAGGGAAGATTCTCTGAAGGTAGCAGTTGAGCCAGGTCTTGAAGGAGACATTCACCTGGGGGACAGAGGAAGTTGGGGAGCATTCCACCTGTGCAGAGACTTGGGAGTGGCAGCCTGTTGACCACAAGTCTGTCCCAGACTTCACAAGTCTTTTCCTGGTCTGTAGCATCCCAGTGGCCCCAGCCCCCCAGGGATGCTCTGTAACCACCATAAGTGTTTGTTCCTTGCCTCTGGGCTGGGTACCCAGTGCCACAGAGGCCACATGAGCTTTGCAGTTGGATAGCTCTGGGTTCAAGTACCAGCCTGGCCACTTGCCAAGCTGCCTTTGCATAGGCCCTTCCCTCGTCTGGAAAGCTGGGTGTGATACCCATCGCCTCACTGGGCATCTATGAGAATCCAACTAAGTAGCCAGTCACCCCCTTGAGCCCCTGGGTCACTGGCAGGACTCTTGCCTGTTGGGGGTATGTGGGTGCTGGGGGTCAGGCTGATGGCTATCTTAAGGACAAGTCAAGGTTCCAAGTACCAACTTTGAAGGGGCCTCTGGTGGCGGCCTAGCTCTTGGTATGTGGAGTGCGCACCGCTGCTTCTACTGACTTGAGGGAAATGGGGTAGGGAGAGGGCCTTACCTAGGTCTTCCAGCTGGTGAGCGGCCACTGCAGTTTGGAGAGGAAGCCAGCTGAAGATGAAGAAGCTGGAGGTGAGAGGTTGGGGCCTGAGGTGCTCCGGGCTTTCTTGTGGGTGGTGGGGGGAGATAGGTATTAGTGTGCAGAAGCCACAGCCCAGCTCTGGGCAGGTGTGCAAGGGTAAATGAGTGCCAGGTAGCCGGGTGGGTCCAGACCTCCCACCAGACTCCCCTTAGGCTAGGTAGGAACTTCTTGGCTAGGGTTCAACCCACCCTAAAGTTCTTACCACAGTGGATGCTTGGCAGAGAAAACTCCCAGAATTCACTTCTTAACAAGCCTTGCCCAAGTTCACCTCCTCCATCCAGCCCTATGGTAAGAGCTGGGGGACCCAGATGGAAATGAGGCCCCTGCCAGCTTCGAGCTCTGTCTGGTAGGCAAGCAGACGTGGGGACAGTGGGACCCAGTGTGATCAGCACTGTAGCAGAGATGATGCTGGGACTGGGGGCCAACACCAAACAGGGGAGGCCCCTTGCCACAAAGGTGTCAAGTGGTTACCCTCCAGGATACAGAATCAGATGTTCCCAGGGGAGGAGACGGATGGTCTAGAGCCTCTAGTGGTTTAGGATGGCTGAACGTGGGGTAGTGGCTGGAGCGGAGGTCAGTGAGACTCTGCCATCCTGGGCTTTGAAAGCTGTGTTAAGATGCGGCGTCTCATCTGGAGGGTGGGGCAGTCCTGAAGGGTTGTAGGTGGTTGTGTCAGGGTGTCTCCCTAGCATGTACAAAAGCACCCCATGTTTCCTTTGGGTAGGCTCCCCTCAGTCCTTTTGGTTTATATGAGACTGGGCTTGCACCCCCTGCATACACATACACCCAGAGCATGTGACCCAGGTTGGGCTGTTAGGAATCTTTGGTTGCAAGTGACAGAGCTGTCCTATAGCTAACTTAGAAAGTGTTAAAGGGATATGGAGGGGCTTCCCTGGTGGTGCAGTAGTTAAGAATCCGCCTACCAATGCAGGAAACACGGATTCGAGCCCTGGTCTGGGAAGACCCCACATGCCGCAGAGCAACTGAGCCTGTGCTCTAGAGCCCGCAAGCTACAACTACTGAGCCCGCGTGCCACAATTACTGAAGCCCGTGAGCCTAGAGCTCATGCTCCGCAGCAAGAGAAGCCACCACAATGAGAAGTTCATGCACCACAATGAAGAGTAGCCCACGCTCGCCTCAACTAGAGAAAAGCCCGCGCGCAGCAACGATGACCCAATGCAGCCAAAAGTTAATTAATTAAAAAAAAAAGATATGGAGGAGCTGAGTGGGGAAGAATGAGAACTGAGGCAGCTCATCAAGGCACAACCTCCAGAAGCAATATGCTACAGCCATGTTTATGTCTCTGCACCACTGAGCTCCAGATCCAAGGAATCCAAATGACCAGGCTGGGAACCTGCCCCCTGTACATCAGGGGCAACTAATGGGGTGAAATGAGTCCCCCAATGAAATCAGGGTGCTCAAAGAAAAGGTAACATACTGGGTGGCTGAACACATATCCCTTCCCCCATACCTCGATTGGATCACCTATGGGCACTTGGCCAAAATGAATCCAAAAAGAACCTAGGGGGTTGCTAGAACTGTTGGGGAAGAATTGGGGTTCTCAGTTCCTCCGGGGATGGGTGGCTTGTGCCTAGAGCTGTGGGGTCATCCTCGCCACCATTTGGCGGCAAATTTGCCTGAAAATAATGCAAACAGAAGAGAACTGAGTGGAGAGAACAGATAAATGCCTCATTCCATTGCTGGAACACAATTGTGATCACAGCTAAAATCTACCCCTGGACTTCGCAGTTACATGTGCCAAATGCCTTTGAGCTCAAGCCTATTTGTTCTGAGGTTCTGTCACTTGGAACTCAAAATGCCCCAGCCAACATGATGGTGGAGGATGTTTTTGGAAGACCACCCTAAGCATGGTGGAGAATTTGGACTGGAAACAAAGAACCCAATTAAGAGGCTGATGGACAGTCAGGTTCAGACTCAGCCTAGGTAGCGGGGCCCTCACTAGAGCTCACCTCTGTTCCCTGGGCATGAGCAGGGTCCATGAAAGCCAGGGTTATGGATCCAGCACTAGGTTTTCCCTGTGCTACTTCTTACTAGACATGTGATAGTGTGTGCTGGGAACACAGTGGGAAGGGCCGTGATGTGGGAGTGGGCTATGTATTTGTGAGTTGGAGCCACATTGGGGTGCCTGCCTGCTCCAGCCCCTGCCCACTGCGTGTGTGCGGTGCCTGTCAGGATGTGGCCAGGGCCTGGACATGTGTGCGTTCTCCGGGTTGAGGTAGGTAGGTTCGTTCTCCATCTCAGCTCCTTGGCTGAGCATCCTGTGTGCTCAGCCGACGACGGTGTGCACCAGGTCTGTTAGCGTCTGCCGGGTCCGGACAACCTGTTGCCAGGAGCTGTGCGGCGTGGCGTGGGCATTCCCTGTGCAGGGTGAACCCGGCGCCCTGCCTGCCGAGTCTCGGTGCGGCAGGTGGGTGCCGGGTCCTCAGCCTTTCGCTCCCGGGACAGCATCCTCGGCGGCGACTGACTGGGGGTGGGGGCCCTCTGCCGGCGGCCGCGCGCGCGCACGCCGGTCTCGGTACGCGCCGTGTACGCGCCCGTGCGCGCGCCCCGCGGCTCCAGCCCAGCTCTCGGAGCCGCCTTCGCTGCCACAGTCCGTTCCCTGGGGCCGCCGCCGCCTCCCCCGGGTCGCGGGCTCTGTCCGCGGGGCCCGTGCCGCTCGCCCCGAGCCAGGAGGACGAGCTCGAGGAGGATGCCTGGGCCCGTGAGTACCGCGGTGGCGGGCCGGTCGGGTCCGGAGCGCGGGCGGAAGATGGTCCCGGGGCTAAGCCCCTCCCCGCGGGCGGCTCCGCGCCCTGGCCCCGGATCGCCGCCCCGGACCCCCGCCCCGGCCAGCCCCTCCCCCAGCCCACACCGGAGGAAGGGAGGGAGGCAGGGAGAGAGAGGGAAGGCGCCAGTGAGCCAAGAAGCGGGAGCAGGGCGCAAGCCGCCGCCGGTTCGCTTGGAAACGGTTGCCACAGCAACCGGGTTGCGCTCCCCGGCAACGCGGCTGCAGGGCGGCGACCCCCTATCCCCGCCCCCACGAGGGGCCGAAGCCCCGGGGGACTCTCCCTCTCGCGGTGGGGGGAACTTCGACCCTCTGGCCCGTCTGGGTGTTCCTGCCTCCACAGCCGTCGAGGGTGGGGGTGGGGGGCGAGCGGCCCCGTGGGCAGGAGCTGGCTCCCACGTGGCTGCAGTCGTCGCAGCAGGGCTCCTGGGGTGGCAGCAAACGTGGGGGCGGGCCAGCCCCTGGGCCAGCCACGGGAGGAGGAGGCATGGGTCTGGGGTCTGTGCCCGTCACCCCAAACCCAAACCCCACCACCGCCACCCCCGCCAGCGAAATGGCCTGACCCGAGTTGGGTGCCCCAAAGGTGATGGTCCCTACCAGGGGAGATGAAAGACGCTCGCATCCCTCCTCCTCACGGCCAGAGCATGTGCCAAACCGTGGCTTGGGCCCGCGGTGGGTCTCTGCTCCTCTTCTCAAGCCACCATTCTCCGGGAAGGGGTGGAAGGAGCGTGGGCAGTAGCAGAGGAAAGGACACTGCTGACCCAGGGAAGCTGAATCCCAGACCAAATAGAAGCACCCGACCCCCTGTCTGGATCACAAGTGTCCCTTTCTTGTCTGAGCACAAAGCCCAGACTGTGCTGGGTGGCATGCAGGTTGGCCGGCAGGCAGGCCAGCGCCACATGGAGATGTCCTACCTTCCAGGGGAGCTCCTCTGAGAGGAGAATGGCCGCTGAGCCAGAGGAAATGACCTCTGGCTCCCCTCCCAACCTCCCCTCAGTGGATAGCGTGCTGAGGGAGAGAAATGGCCCTCCTGCCATCTCTCCCGGGCCTGACTCAGCAGATGCCAGCCCCAACCGCAGGCCTTGGACCCAACATCCCAGTGACCACAACCACCCTTGGGTTTCCTTTCCCATCCAGGGAGGTCTCCTGGGTACCAGAGGTGACCATTACCTGGGCATGTGAGGCCTTGACATAGATGCCCTTAGATGGGTGGTATCCTAAGTCAGGCCTGAGTCTCCCACAGGCAGGAGTGCCTTTGGAATTACTCACAGGCTCCTTTCATTCTGTTCCTGCTGTGTGAGACCTGTGCTGAGCATTCTGCATCCATGATCTCCTAGTCCTTACAACATTGTGCAAGGTAAGTTTATTATCCCCATTTTAGAGGTGATGACTCCAAGGCTCAGGGAGGTAAAATGACTTGCTCAAGGTTGTACAACTAATAAGTGGTGGAGCTAGGTTTCCAGTGCAGGTTTCTCTGCTGGCATGGCCCCTCTTTGCTATGGTATTGCTACATGCTATCTTTTGTGAGCCAGGCGGAAAAGAACTGTAGAGCCTTCTAGAGGAGCATTCTTAACCTTCTTCTGCATTCCTCCAGTGAGGAAATTCCCTATGTCTTTTAGGCCTTGGCACACCTTTCCTTCTTCCAGCAAAATCAGCCAGATTCTTGCCCCCAGATGCTCTGTAGGACCGTGCTATGGCTGGGTTGCCTCCTTTCCTCCCTCCTTCCATTTTCTCTCTCTGAGGGAAGCTGAGCAGTGAGGGCTACCTCAGTCCCCTGGGAAACCCCCAAGGCCCTATTCCTTGGTTTGTGGGCTCTGTGGCCTGGTCAGCTTGCAGCCCTGGCTGTAGCAGAAGGAATTTAGCAATGATGGGCCCGTGCACTGCTGGCCCCTATGGGTGCTCAGTCTAGCTCAGGGGTTAGAAGCCCAAATGCCTCCAAGGCCCAGGTGGACTAGGGCACTGATCAGCTGCAGTCTGTGTCACCATCTGAGAAGGTGGACTTGGTGTGACGAGGTTGTCCGGTTTTCAAGTTGACCCAGAAATTTACGTAAAATCTCCTGGTTTTTAAATCTTGGCAACTAATCATATCTTTAAAAAATGATTATGGGCCAACAAAACACGTCCATGAACTGTGTCCAGCCTGAGAGTCACAAGGCTGAGATCTCTAGTCCAAGGGAAAGTGATGGCAGTTTTTGCTAGACCACCTCCAGGCTTGTGTAGATGTAGTTCCATGGGCCAGTTTCCACATTTGAGCCTCTTGAGGCTGCAAGGTGCTGGCATTTGGTTTGTCAAGTGCAGCTGTATATGCTGGTGTATTTTCACATCCCCCATCAGTTCTGCTCCTACCTTGGCACTGCCAGGCAGGTCTCATTGTCTCTGTCATACAGGTGAAGAAACTTCAGCTCAGGCATGGGAATAGCTGGGATGGGATTACACAGCCTGGGCAGGGTATAAGTAGGATTTGAACCCAGGGCTCCCTGCTCAGTGCTCTGCGTGTTCACCAGGCTGCCCCTCAAAAGAGGGTACAATCACCTCCGCTTCCCCCCCCACAACCCCCGAGGTGTGGGCAACTCCCTTGGAGGGGCAGATCTGAGTACAGTAGACACCAACCCACTAGGGCCCCAATCTCTGTTGTCCTGTTTGCAGTTTCGCAAGCCCTGGGTTCCTGGCATTGTGCTGAGGTTGGATCACAGAGATGCTGCCTGCAGGTGAGGGTGTCAAGCCAGTACCTTGGCCTCGCTGGAAATGAGGTTCTGGCCAGCTCCGCGCCTGGCCGACTATGGCAGCTGGGACAGTTGCCATCATCTCTCTCTGGTTTCAGTTCATTTGTCTTGGTGTGGGAGGAGTGTAAAAATGTCACCAGTGCCTCCCTAAAATGGCCTTCCTGCCAGGACAGTGGGCTTTACAGTCCCCTGGATTTCATAAGCCCACAGGCTATGTGGGCCTGTACAGGCCCCAGCTCTCTGCCTGTAGAGTGGGGATGGCAGCAGCTCCCTCCTCGCTGAGGTAATGAATCTAGAGAGGTTAGCAGGGGGCTTGGCACGTGCAGGGCACGCAGGACAGGTGAGCGGTCACCTTTCCTACCCCACCCTCATTCCACACACCATACTCTCCTCCTCTCCTCTGTCCCCCAGCCTGAATGCCTATTCCTTCACTTGACCAGCAACTCTGGTGTCACATCCACGGCTCCCCCTTGTGACCCAGAGCCCCTGCTGCCTGGGATTCCTTCTTTCCACTCCAGAGCCCCTGGTACACATCTCCACATAGACTTTTCCTTTTATTCACATAGACGTATGCATCCTCAGCTTGCTTACAAACCTCCCTGTGAGGGCTGAGAGCTGCTTTCTCAGTGACATTTTGGTGAATGGCCAACATTTCCCAGGAATGAACTAGATGCACACCTAGCTCTTGAGGTATTCCTTGTCAGACAGCTAAAAGACCAAACAGGTAACTGGACACCTCCAGTTACTCCTTCAACAAGTGGTTTTTGAGCTACCGTATGCCAGATGATCAAGGCAGATGCAGCCCTCGTGTTGGACACAGGCCACTACAGAACACTGTGATTGATATCGTTGGACTTCTCATCCAGCCCTGCAGGGTGAGGTAGCTGGAGGCTGACACATCCAGGGAGGTAACAGGTGAGGCTGAGGAGCACGCGCTGGGGCGAGAGCAGCGAGGCTGTGTAGCAGCTGGGTTCAGGAGCAGGCCAGGGGGAAATGGACAGTGTGGAGAGTGGCAGGCCAGGCAGAAGCACAGCGTGGAAGTAGAGAGAGTGGTGGCAAGCACGGTAATGGGGGCCCAGGTGAGAGATGACAGTGACCTGACCCAGCCAGCTGCGGTGGGGGGACAAAAGGAAGTGGACAGATGAAGACACACTATACTGAGGGTTAAAAACAACAGGATTTGGCAGATGGTGTAAACGGTGGGCCCTTTGCTGAGATAAAAGAGCCAGCAGCAGATCTTTGGGGTCTAAGGTTAGGGGGCCGGGGTTCTCCATACAGAGGAGTAATGTGGGAGGTGCCCACAGCAGTGCACCAGGCCCTAGAGTAAGAGATCTGTGTGACCTTGGGGGTCATTTAATCTCTCTGAGCCGAGTGTTCTCATCTGTCAAATGGGCAGAATGCTCACGTAGTTTATAGGGTGACTGAGAACTCTCTGTGGCATCCAGCCCGGGGGCACACACCTCTGCACCCCCAGCTCTGAAACTGTGGACAGCAGTGCTCATGTTTGTTGGGCATCTCCAAGCCCTTTGTATGGATTAGCGGCCACTGACGAGGAAACTGAGACAACATGTCACCCTCCAGCTCTCGCTCCCATCCCCTGCTGTGCTCCCAGTGAGTGTGTGGCCTAAGAAAACCCTACAAAGTGATATACTCACAAACTCCACAAATAAACCAAGATGGAATCCTGAAAAACGTCCAAATAACCCGCAAAAAGGTAAGAAAAGAGAATAAGGAAACAAACAGAAAACAAATCATAAAACGGCAGACTTAAGGATGAGTCTGGCCAAAGGCTCCGCTCCCAGCACACAGTTGGAGTTGGTATTTACTAGGGACCAGGCATGCGTCTGAAGGGGATGGGGAAGGTGAGTGGCTGTGAGCAAGAGGCAGGGTCTGAGTTTGAAGGGCGCCCCAGACCCGGACAGGAGCATGCACAGGCATGAAGGGATAAAGGAACAGCCCTTTGGAAAGGCTTTGAGAAGCTTGGCTTGGTCAGGAAGAGCACTTGGAGAAGCCTGAATTAATTCCTTGACATTTATATATTGGGCAACTACTGTGGATTAGATGAGATATTACTGAGCAACTCCTATGGACCAGCCCCGTGTGGGGGGGGGGGGGTCAGAGGGCCAGCTCAGCTGTGAGACCTTAAGCAGACTTCCTCTCTCAGACCCACAGAGGCCAAGTCTGTAAAATTCAGCAATAGTTCCTGCCTCTCAGCTGGAGTTTAGCTAAATTAGAAATAAAAATACCCACCAAGGCTTGTCTACTGTGTGTCAGGCCTTGTTCTGGGCCCCTTCCACACAGAATCTTATGTGATCTTCAACACTGCCTTCTCACTGGGGGTCATGCCCATTTGATAGATGAGACAGGCTGAGAGGCGACAGTGGCACCCAGTGGGTCTTGGGTGTGGCCTGTCCCAGTCCTCCTAATGCCCAGCGAGCTGAGCTGGACCCCTCAGGGCACAGTCCCTGTCCTTTGTTCCTTGTTAACCCTAGAGCTGCCATTCCATCTCTCCTTCACCCTGTAGCCTTTCCCACTGTTGAGCTGAGGACTGGTTGCCAGAAGCACCAAGTTTTGGTAGGAAGGAGTAGGAAGGCGCGTTTTGGCTACAGGCTGGCCAGCCTGGCCAGTGTCCCCACGACTGCCAAATCTCCTGTACTGAGTGCTCACGTGCATTTATTTACATCTCACTCATCACTTAGGGGAAAGTGTTTCAACACAGACTTTGGATTCACACTCAGGCTAAATCCTAGCTCTTCCCCTTATTAGCTGTGTGACCCAGGGCAAGTCACTTCCTTCTCTAAGACTGTCTCATCCATCAAATGGGCATGACCCCCAGTGAGAAGGTGGTGTTGAAGATTGCATTAGATTACTCTGCACGGAAGGGGCCTAGAATGAGGCTTCACACAGTAGACAATCCTTGGCAGGTATTTTTATTTCTAATTCAGCTAAACTCCATCACCTCCAGCCCCAGAAGTGCTTTCCTGACCCGGAGCTGTTCCTACTTTGCAGGCCAAGGAGCCCCCTAGTTAGGGCCAGCTTCCTCAGAGCACTCCTGAAAATTCCTGTGGGCTCAGGAAAAGGAGAATAACAGATTTAATTAACTCCCAGTGACTGGCAGCATCGTGTTTTTATCTGGGCTGCGTCACCATGGCAGCCTCATGGTGGGGTTGTCGAGGGGGCGGGTGGAGCTATTGTTCCTGCCATTGTGTGTTCTGGAACACAGGCCCAGGAGAAAGGGACTGGCACGGGCACCAATGGCACATGGCACAAAGCAGTCACGGAGTCAGAAAGGAGCCATCTGGGGGAGAAGTGTGGGGTGGCCTGTGTGGCCTGGCTTCCCCCCAGCTTGCTCTCAGACCAGTCTAAGTCAACTTAATGTGGGGTCCCCAGCTTGGGGCTCAGGCTCACTGTGGCCCCCAGAGCTGAATGCATGTGTGCCTTGGTTGGGCATGCTGAGGATGGGGGGTCCATGGGGCTCCTGGAAGAGACCCACAAAGTAGCTCAAGCAGCAGCACTCTCCCACCCCAGGTTAGGGTTTTGTGGCCAGGCTTGGGTTCAAATTATGGAACCGTCAACTGCCATCCACACAGCTAATTGTGTAAAATCTGTAAAACAGGAATAATTTGTTACCCCAAAGGGTTGTATGTGAAAGCCCCTGGGTATAAGGCAGTCAGGAAGGGGTCATTCCTGTTCTGAGGGGGTGGTGAACAGTCGCCTGTCCCTCCTCAGTTAGGGCTCCCTCCTACATACCTCTTAGGATGCAAGGTTCCCCTCTCAACCCTGGCTGTGGAGAGGAAATGGAACTAGAGGTGCCCATCTGGAGTGATGTGGAACCAGGTGGTACCGATTACTTGAGCTAATTTTCCTACCCTCTGCAGAGAGGGAAAGGAATTGGGGGAAGAGACATGGCGGCCTGGAGCTAGAAGGGCAGGGCCAAGTGGGGCTGCGCATGGGTAGGAGGCTGAGGAAGCGGAGACGGAGCTGGGATTCAGCGAGCGGAGGCGCCTAGAGTAAAGGAAAAGAGGGAACGGCCCACGCTCGGCGGCGCGTTGGGCTCAGACAAAGGCTGGTAGCACGCAGTAGCCGCGGGAACCACCCGCCCGATCCCCCCCTACAAGAGCTGAGACAAGCAGGAAGCCGCGGTGCGGTCCGGAATGTTACACGCTTTGGACATCCAGGGTTGGGAGCGGATACAAGGCCTAGGGCGCCAGGGGCTGCCAGGTGTGTATGCATAGGGCTGAAGCTGGGCACCGGCGGGCTGCTTTTGGGGCCTAGGAGGTGGACCACCTTTTCTCCGCCGCAATACAACTGCGCCATGGCTCCCCTTCGGCGCCCTGGGAGTCTGCCTATGGGCCTCTCAAGCCCTTTCGGAGCTGGGGTACCCTGCACCCCGGGGATGCGGATGGCGAATCTCCGTTCGCACGGAGGTCGAACCTGGCATTCGCGCGCCCCCTGCTGGCCTGCCTGGAGTCACCTCGGCTGGGAGGCGGCGGCGGCCGGGTCTCAGATACGGGAAAGCCCTACGGGGGAAACCTCTGAGCGTGACGTCATCCAGGTGACGTCACCGGGCCCCCGCGGAGTGCGGAGGTTCCGTAGAGGAGGCTTCCCCGGGATTGCGCAGGGCACCGGCGCGGGCAGGGAAGTCGTCCGGGGCTACAGCACGCCTTCACCGCGCCCTGTGTCTGTCCCACAGGTCCCGCGCGGCCCCGGGTGAGGCCCGCCAGCGTGCCTGTCGGCGCCATGGGAAGGAGCGGGCGCCGCTGCTGCTGCCCCCTGCCTGCGCGCGCACGACTTGAACCCAGCTGCGGGCAGCCCCCGGCCGCGGGTCCCCGAGTGACGCTGGAGGCATCTGGGAGCTTGGCGCGGGCCCGGGGCCACGTCGAGGAGCCCATTGTCCAGTGAAACAGCCGAGGACCCGCCGCCCGCGCCGCCGCCATGGTTATGTCCCAGGGCACCTACACGTTCCTCACGTGCTTTGCCGGTTTCTGGCTCATCTGGGGTCTCATCGTCCTACTCTGCTGCTTCTGCAGCTTCCTGCGCCGCCGCCTCAAACGGCGCCAGGAGGAGCGGCTGCGTGAGCAGAATCTGCGCGCGCTTGAGCTGGAGCCCCTTGAGCTCGAGGGCAGCCAGGCCGGGAGCCCCCCCGGCCTGGCGCCCCCGCCACCACCTCACCGCGGCCGTCTCGAGGCGCCGGCGCACGCCCACCAGCACGTGCACGTGCACCCGATGCTGCACCACGGGCCCGCGCAGCCGCACGCGCACCCGCACGCACACCACCACGCGCTTCCGCACCCACCGCCGCAGCACCTATCAGTACCGCCGCGGCCGTGGAGCTACCCGCGCCAAGGTAAGTACCGACCTCCGCCAGAGGGCAGCCTGGGTTACTAGGGTGGGCGAGGCCTCGTCAGGGGGCGGGCTCGCTGCTTACCCGCGGGGCTTCCATAGGACAGCCTCCTTGAGAAGCTAGGAGGAGGGAGCGGGCTGGGTCTGGGGTTGGCGGCTGGCCAAGGCCTCTGCGGGAGGCTGAGGACGGAGAGCCTCACGTCCTCGGACCGCTTCCCACTTCGCAGCGGAATCGGACACGTCCAAGCCACCATGCTACGAAGAGGCGGTGCTGATGGCCGAGCCGCCGCCGCCCTACAGCGAGGTGCTCACGGACACGCGCGGCCTCTATCGCAAGATTGTCACGCCCTTTCTGAGCCGCCGCGACAGCGCGGAGAAACAGGAGCAGCCGCCGCCCAGCTACAAGCCGCTCTTCCTGGACCGGGGCTACACGTCGGCGCTGCACCTGCCCAGTGCCCCGCGGCCCGCGCCGCCCTGCCCTGCGCTCTGCCTGCAGGCGGACCGCAGCCGTCGGGTCTTCCCCAGCTGGACCGACTCAGAGCTCAGCAGCCGAGAGCCACTGGAGCACGGAGCTTGGCGCCTGCCGGTCTCCATCCCCTTGTTCGGGAGGACTACAGCCGTATAGAGGGCGCCCGGCGTCCCGGGCCCCACCCGCGGACTCCTGGCCTGATTGCGGGGCTTTTTAAACGCTTCCCTTGGACTGCGGAGGTGGGGGGTGGGGTGGGGTGGGGCGGGAGGGAGGGATTTCTTACCCCGTTTGTTACATTTTGAGGATAATAAAAGGTGTGTGATCTGGTTTGGTACAAGCGGAGGGGGCACCCACTGCTTGCACCCAAGGTTCTGGCGGCCAGGTGTGCCCGGCCTTATCGGGACCGAACCTTGTTGCGCCTTTCAGCTACAAACCGGCCTGAGGGTGTAGAACTAAACCTGAGGTCCGCCTGCTTCAAACCACTGGCCGGTTCCCCAGGGAGCCTCATACCCCACCTTCCTTGCCCTTGAGGTCTTGGCGAGGGCGCCCCCTGCAGCCTTGGAAGTGGGAAGAGTTGGGAATGGGGTCGTGGCAGGCGGTCCACCCCAGATCAGCCCCTGGAGGCCCGGAGCAGCAGGCCCGAAGGGATCTGGATTTCTTTATTAACAGACATGAGCACGACCTGTTACAGAAGTTTGTGCTTTCCAAAAAACAGTTACTGAACGTGAAAAAGGAACCCAAGCAAAGAGGGAGGAGGTGGAAAGGGGCCACCCATAGCCCTGACCTGAATCACGCCTAGGGCCTCCAGCCTGGGACCTGCCCAGCAGGAGGGGGCAGGAAAGGGCCAGGAAGCTGAGAGGCCCCAGCTGGGCCTGCTACTTCCTTCGGACCAGGTTGGGAGGGGTCAAGAGAAGGGGGGAGGGGGCGGGTCCCAGGGAACCAGAGCCCACGAGCCATTTATTGCCATGTTTTAAAATTCGTGCAAAATATCTGAAGCCCTGGACAGAGAATACAAAGTGATATTTTTCCAAGAAACAGAAAACTAGGAAAAGAGGTGGGGGAACATTTTCCCACCAGAACTTCCCCCCACGCCAGGCCCCAAGCAGGGTGAGGCCTCCACCCCGGCCAGCTGAGTGAGCAGGGAGGACTAAGAGCTACAATCTGGACCGGGTGGGAAGGGGATGGAATTTGCAACAGCATCTCAACTACCAACGGGAGGAAAACCAGTCAACTGTACAAGTCTCCTATCAACTTTAAAAAAGAGAGAAAAGCTGTAAAAGTAGGGCCCTGTGGGTAGGGAAGCGGCCAAGTCCCCGGCCAGGGCCGGAATCCAGAGTGGGTGCCAGGCGGAGCTGCTGCAAGTGCAGGCACTGCGGGCCGTCTGGCCAGAGGCCAGCGCAGGTGGGCGGCCTTGGCGAGGGCAGCCTGAGGGCAAGCATCACCGCTAGTCGCCACCCTCGAAGCCCTCCTCCTCTTCTGGTACCGGGTCTGCATCCCAGCAGGTGATGTCGATTTCTATGGTGTAGGGAAGGGAGGGGAGTTAAGGAGATGGCCCAGCAGATCCATGCCTGTGTCCCTCCCAACCCTGGGGAGCTGTGCCAGCTGTGTGGGGGGGGGGAGGGGGGCGCTGCCTGTCCACACTTGAACACAGCACCGCCACCCAAATTCTTCTCCATCACCCATCCCAGTACTACCTGGAGGCTTGTTGTAGAACATCGAAGGTGGAGGCTTTGCACACAGCTCTTCCGATTGGGCAAACTCCTCCTCCTGTGATTGGCTGAAATACCCCTCACTGGCCTGTAGGAGAAAAGCTCCATGTCACTGGGTCCCACCCAGCAGGACTAGGGCTGACCTACCAGGCCTGAGCACGTTTCCCCTGCAACCAGCGATTCTATCGGCGGTTGCCAGGCAAACACAGATGCCTGCCTTGGGAATAAAAGCAGAGCTGGCCCAGGGAGGGGGAATGAAATACAGCTTACCCCCCACCCCCGAACAATGTGGGTCACAGAGAAAGGGGGCAAGGTACTGCTGCAAGCCTAAGGAAGGCAGGGTCAGCCCCCTGCTCCAGCCCTGACCACTTCCCCTCCCATTAGGCAGCCCCAGCCCCACCTGGGTCCCCTCCTTCTGGGTGGTCTCGCCATTGGTCAGCAGCTGGGGCTCTGGCTCCAGCTCCGGCTCCAGCTCCTGATCCAGCTCCTCTAGAGCTGAGGGCAGAGTTGGAGCCTGGGGGGCAGCCAGGGGCTCCCCTTCTACTTCCTCCCCTGGGTCACAGAAGGTGGCTGGCGGCTCAGGCAGCTCATCAAAATTGAGAAGGTTGGCACTGCCTTCACCAGCCGGCGGCAGTGGCTCCTGAGCCACCTCGTCCAGCAGGGGCACTTCTGCCAGAGTGACTTCGGCACCTGAGGGTGGTGTGGGGGCCCTAGGCTCAGCCTGGGGTACGGAGGCCCCTTCCCCATCGCCAGGCCATAGGTCAATGAGGCTGGCAGCGGCAGGGGTGACGGTGTTGGCAGCACTGGTGTCAGCAACGGCATCAGCTGCTGGGGCGTCAGCTGCAGAGGCTCCAGCCATGGCAGGCTCTAGAGGGGCAGCCAGGACTGCCTGCTCTGTAGACGCCATGAACATCAAGTCCTCTGTGGGGCTGCCTTGGCCCTGGGGAGGCTCTGGTGCCCGAGGGGACTCCTCCAGCGGACTGGCCCAGGCCTGAGGGTCTGCTGCTCTGGCTTCCTTGCTGGTTTCTTCACTATCCAGGCCGGGGCTGGGTTCCTGGGTCTCTGTCAAAGCACAGATGGAGGAGACATGTGATCAGCTCCCAGGAAAGGATGCAGGCCCTGGGCAGGCACCCTACAGTACCCTGCCCACCCACTGAGGAGTCCGGGAAAGAAGGCCTCCACTAAGACTTCCATGCAGAGTGCCTTCTAGCACCCACTGGGCCCCACTGCCCCTTTACCTAGTGTCTTTCAGCCTCTCAGCAGCCCTGGGAGGAAGGTGCAATCCCCACTCCAGGGAGACACTGAGGTTCAAAGAGGGCAGGTCTGACCAGGGCTCCTCGCTGCCCCAGCCACTTCCAGGGCAGTACAGGCTGGCCCAGATCCCTGGGGGGTTGTTACCATGGCCATTTGGCGTTCCCAGCCCAGGGGCTAGGGCCGTTCACACACCTTGGGCTGCTGGGGGTGGTGGTGGCAGTGGTGGAGGCTGCGAGGACGTGACCTCATCCAGGGCCCGCTCGATCTGCTCAGTGACAGGGGTAGAGGCCATGCTGGAGTCAGATGGGCTCCGGGCAGGGATGGGGGTAGGCACCATCCTCCGGTGGCTGTCCAGGTGGCTGCCTGTGGAACAAAAACCCCTAGGCTGGTCAGTAAGGGCCAGGGAGCCAGGTGGAACCAGGATTGTCCACCTTGGGGCCTGACCAGCCCCTCCTCTCTAGAGTCTGGGTCGGGGCTGGGAGCTCCCCAGGCCCCCCAGGGGCCAGACCACAGCTCCAGACCCTATAAGCCAGGCCCCTAAGGGCCAGTGTCCCTTCAGGGCCAGGGGAAAGAGGCAGGCGGTACCTGCTCTGGGGACAAACACCAGAGGTCAGCAGTCAGGCTGGGGGAGTGAGGGCAGGGGGGCTGCTGGGAAGCGGGGGGCCCTCCTTACCCCCCCCACGGAGGCCTGGGGTCTGCTACCTACATGGGAGGGAGGAAGAGAGGTTTGGGGTGCGGTGACAGGTGATATAGGGAAAGGGAGTCCGTGGAGGGGAGGAGGAGGAAGAGGAGGAGGAGGAAGGCCCACTGTCCGATGCCTTTATGAAAGGGCAGTACGGACGACCTGCCAAGAGAGACAGACAGAGAGAGAGACAGAGGACAAGAGAGGGTCAGTCTCCCCCACCCCCACCCCAAGGCCTCATCCACCCCCAAGCTGGCCCTGGATGTCCAAGCTGCCTTCAGCCAGGGCGCACATTCAGCCAAGCTGGGCCAGAGCCTCAAGCCAACAGATGACTCCACCACACCAGCCACACACAGCAAAGAGCCTGTTACGCCACAATGCAACCAGCCTCAGGGCAGCCCACGCCTCGGAACAGCCTGCCCCACCCCTGGAACCCTAGCCCAGAGCCAAGCACACAGAAGGGGCAAACAGACCAGCAGACAGGGAGCTGAAGGGGGCTTCAAGGAGAGGTGGAAGCTGCACAGGGAGAATCCAAACAGGGAACCCTGGGTACAGGCTCCAGGCTGCTCAAACTCAGGACCAGGGAAAGAGCCCACTCCCCATGCACCCACAGCCCTTCAGATAAGACCTAGTTCAACCCCAGCAGGGCTACTCCTTGCAGCCAGGGGGATGCCTTAGCCCTTGTGTGAAATGCCCAGATGGCTCGAACACAGCCCATTGCTCAGCCCAGGCCCAACACTGACCCTGCCCGAGCCCTTCTCAGCCCTGCCACCTGGAGGTGGCGGGTGGAAGCACACTCGATGACTGGCCTTGCCTTCTCCAAGGGGTCCTTGGGCAAGGTTTCCCTTCCAAGAAAGGTCCCAAAGAGGCTCAAGGCCAAAACCTGAGGAGTGGGGACTGGGTGGGGGTGGGAGCTGGGACTACCTGGTCGGTGGTTGAAGGGTGAGGACACATCACAGCTGCCTGCGGAGGCCGATGCAACTCTTTCCTGCTGCTTAAAGAACTCCCGTGGGTTATCAGGTCGCTGGGCAATAATGGCTGCTGCCTCCTGGGGGCACATGGAAAGGGTCAGGCCAGGTGGGGCCCGACTGAGGCAGCCCTACCAAGCTCAGATGTCTGGTCCCCCTGGCTCTCACCTCTACCTCCGATTCTGACTTCTTCATCTGGGTCTCTTCCTCCTCATCCCGCTGGTCACCCTGGAAACCAAAAGGGAAGGTGTTCTGAGCACCCCACTCCCACGGGAGCTCTTGGCTTTCTTACAGCCCCCATGTTTCCTCCACTATCTGGGACCACTTTCACGACCCAGTCACACAGCACCTTCTATCTGCAAGGTCCTCAGCCACCTCATCTCCAGTCCAGATAGGCCCCTGGGCACCCAGGGCCACCCAGGAGCACTCCCTGATTTGCAGCTAACTTTTCTCGAACCTCCTACCCCAGCACCTAGCCAACCACACCTCCATCACTGCTGCGTGGATCTTGGTATCACGACTGAGGTTTCTTCATTAGTCCCCTGCCTCCTTGTTCTCTTTCCCCCCATTTCTTCTCTACAGACCTGAAAGGATCTTTTCAAAATGTTAATTAGTCGCCATCACTTAAAAATCAGGTTTTCTTACTGAGACCAGGGTCTCCAGTTTCTCTTGAAATGCCAGAAGCCCTGGCAACACAGGCCAGCGTGTCCCAAAGCAGCCATCGACTAGAGCTGCACTGTAGCAGCCCACAGGGCGTGTGTTGTCCAGTTCACCACAGTCCCCACCACTCCCTACTGCCCTTCACATGTCCACTTCACTCGCTGTTTTGAGATTGCAACCACAGGAGTAAAGGTAGGTGGGGCCCCTTTGCTTGGCCCATGTTCCCTTCTCCCTGCCTGATCTAGTCCATCACCTCTCACAACGCTCCCCTCCCACCCTGACTCGCCCACACCCTGTGAGATGTAGGCATAAAGTCCTCAGCATGAGGTAGTTGCAGTTCCTGGAACATGCATACAACTTCCCACCTCCGTGCCTTGGCATGGGAGACGAATCTCTCTCCCCAAGTACCCGACCCCCACCCCAGGTCCAGCTCTTCCTGCTTCCGGCCTCAGCTTGGGCACTGCCTCCTTGGGAAGGGGTCCCTGGCCCATTCAGGTCATTTCCTTCCCTGGGTCCCCATGAGGTGTTCCAGGCATACACCACAGATTACACTGCGTCATAATTTCCTGTTTCTGGATCATCTCCCCACCCTCTGTGGGTAATACAGGATAAGAACTCACTTATGTGTGTGAGTGGCCAGCCCAAGGTTCAGTTCATACCTGTTTCCTCAGTTGAACTCATCACACCAAAAGCCTCAAGAGGGTTGTCACCCCAACTGCCACTTTGTGTCTTCCAGAATGAAGTCTAAACCCCTCCTCTGACCTTGCTCTCTCCTCCCAAATTTCCCAGCGGGCTCCAGTCATTGGGGAAGGCTCCTTGCCTTCCCCCCAAAATGTACATCCCACCAGCCTTTGCTGTTATGCTGCCCCTGCCTAGTATAACCTTGCTAAGTTCCTCTGCCTTGTTCAAAAAAAGGACCAGAGGCAGCTTACCACAAAAACCTTAACTACATAACACTGTGAACAAAACACTGAAACAAATTAGAGCTTGGGGTTGGAGAGAGACATCAATGCACTAACCATAAAGGTCAATAGCATTGCTATGCCTGAGCATCTTCAGACAAATGGAAGCTCCCCGGCATCCCAGGCAAAAAGGGAACTCACATAAGGCATGCAATTCTTATCAGAAGAGAGAAAGCAGAATAGCTCCTTAAGCCAATGTAAAGCACTTCTAAATTCCAAAGTTTCTCATGTGGGAATTCCCTCAGAGGACCTGAAGTTGCAGGGTAACCACAGTGACCTGCTAAAACACCTACTGTCACTGTCACATGAGCCACACTTGAAGGGCCAGATGAGACTATAAAATAATGATGTGACACTGTAAGCCTTTGCCTGAAACACTGGTAATTGGTGAAGATGAGCAATCAGTTCAGTGGGTTCACTATACTATTCTTTCTACTTTTGTGTACATATGTGAAATTTTCCATAAAAACAAGCTTTTTCGAAAAGAAATTGCTCTGAATGGATGAACAAAATCTGGTATACACATACAATGGAATATTAACAGCTTTCAAAAGAAAAGACATTCTGACACATGGATAAACCTTGAAGATGTTATGCTAAATGAAATAAGCCAGTCACAAAAGGTAAAATAACGGCATGATTCCATTCATACAAGGTACTTTGAGTAGTCACATTCTTAAACACAGAAAGCAGAAAGCAGTTGCCAGGGGCTGGGGGAGGGGGCCGTGGGGAGTTAGTGTTTAATGGGTACAGAGATTCAGTATGGGAAGATGAAGAAAATTCCGGAGATAAACAGTGGTGACGGCTGTACAATATAAATACACTTAACACCACGGAACTGTACACTGAAAAATGGTAAAGATGGTACGTTTTATGTTATGTACACTTTGCCACAATTAAAAATAAACTAATTAATCAATTAATTGTAAAAGAGCCTTGTTCATCTTGTTCTCCACCATGTTTCTCACACCGGCACATGGCAGGTGGCAAGGGTTTGCTGAATGAATGAGGCTGCAGCTTACTAACCACACGTCCTCTCCACCCCCAGGGGCTAACGTGAGTGGAATGACCTATGACAGCCATTCATGCCAGTGCCGGCAGGGCTGTCCTGCCAGCTCCCTCCCAGCCTCCTGTGGGTGTGACCTTGGAGTCTGTCTGAGTCCCCATGGCCCAACGGCTACCCAACACAGTCCCAGTCCAGACGACTATTGCCCACCTCCTGTCCTAAACTCTACCATGCTCAGCTTTGAACGATCTTAACTATTTCTCAAGTATAAAATTCAATTCAAAGCATGAAGATTTGACTCCACTGTGATTTTGAAGGGGTCAATCATGATGACCCTACGGGCCATCCCAGTGTTTGGAGGTTCAGCCAGCACCCCTGGAACAAGTACCTGTTCTCAAAGAGACACTACACACACTTGTATGTAGATGCTCAGAACTCCAGCCCAGATCCATTCAATGGCTCTGCAGTATTCTTGCCGTGGGGACCAGGCCTCGAGCCCCATATAAGTGCAGGAAGCATGTCTAATCCACCTCGAGCCCCTCAGGCCCTGCTGGGCGGGGGCAGGAGGAGCCTGGTCAGTGAGGGTCTGGGTCAAGGTAGATTTTCTCTTTCGGTCTAGAGTATTAGCTTCTCCAAGGAGGTCTCTTTCCACAGCCAGGGAACAGAGCCTCACATGATCGGGTACCAGGCCTGACACTGCATGCTACCCCATGCCCATGCAGCGGTACCCAGAATGCCCAGCACTGTCCCCAAGACACTTACTCCCCCCGCAAGAGGCCCAGGAACACGAGGACCATCCTCGCTTCCCTGGGCAGGAGACAGGAACCCCGACTAAGAACTTACAAAGATAGACTGCTCCTTCAACCGCCTCTTGGCCTCCTCTGCTTCTAAAGTCTGTTGTTTCCTCCTGGAATGAGAGGTGCAGGCAAGCCTTCAGGATGGGCCCACGTGGGGCCCACGGCCCAGCACCCCGGGGGTGGGGCGGGGCGCACCTGTGCTCCTCGATCTGCTGCTCCCGCTCCCGGTAGCGCCGCTCCCGCTCCTCCTGCTCCTGCCGCTCCTGCTCCATCCGCTCTTGCTCAAACCGGAGTCTCTCATCCAGAGCCTTCTTCCGCTCCTCCTCCTTCCTCAGCTCTTCCTCCTTCTGCAGCACCCCGTGCCAAGGCAGTGCAGGCCCTGAGCCTGGGGCCCGCCCCAGCCCTCCAGCCCATCCCCAACCCAGGGTTCTGAGAACTCAGGGGCTCGCTCTTTCAGTAGGGGAAGCACGTAAGATGGGCCATGCTGTGCAAGCGAGGCCCTTAGGGAGAGAAGGCAGAGCTACCCCATGGGGTCAGGACAGGGAGCGGCAGCTCAGCCTGCAGGCCGGGGTCAGGGTCCACACCTTGGCCTGCTCCCAGAACTGCTCGCGGTTAATCCGCTTCATCTCCACAGCTGCGTCGGTCTTCTGATAGGTGGTGCCCTGCAGAGTCAAGCGGCCTGGCGTGAGCGCAGCCCACAGGCAGAGTGCTCAGGAGCCCCCACACGCAAAGGGTGAGGACTGAGAGGAACCGGACGGCGGAGCCCTGGGCAGGGCCAGCCTGCCCGGGGCACACACTGACCACCGGCTCGGCGTTCTCATCCTCACGCAGCCGCAGTCGGTGCAGCACGGGGCTGGAAAGCCGTGCCAGCCCGTTGGAGAGCCGCTGCCCGATGGCGCCCGCATCTATGTCTTCCACACTGCTGGCGTTCACGATCACATCGACGCCCTGCAGCAGGAAGAAGGCGTGTTCAGGCGGCAGGGCTCCCTCCCACCACCGCCCCCATAAGCCCTGACCCTGCTCGCACCTGGAAGAACTCGGCCACCTTAGCCACGTGGCTGGCACAAGCACATTTGCGGGCATCAGGCACATCTTCGCCAACCTGCAAAGTACCCAGCGAAAGGGGGTGTCGGGAAAGGACAAGAGTTGGCGGCAGGCTGAGGCCCAGGGCTCTCTTCCCGGGACTAGTGGGGTTCTCTCCAGCAGTGTCAGTGAGTGGAGTGGGATGGAGGATAACCGTTCTTGGGCCTTCGGCTCCCTTCCCCAGCCCATAGCTGCATACCCAGTTGATGAGCACGTATTTCGGCAGAGCAGCCTGGGAGTCCTTGACGCTGCAGAAGCCATACATCACCTTCTGGTTCTCAAAGTGGCCAGAGAGCTCCTGCAAGCCCCCATCTGGGGGAATCAGGAGGGTGTCAGGCGCCATCTCCTGAATCCCTCCCCCACAAAGGGCCTGGAACCCAAAGCAAAGACTCTTCTTGTGGGCTCTGCAGGCACCGCCAGAGATCTGGAAGTCCCAGAGTTCTGTGTTGGTGTGAAAGAGGCAGCAGGCAGGTGTGAGCTTTGCCTCTGAATCCCCCAGGACCTTGGGGAAGAACTGAGGAAGTGTTCTTCACACATCAAGTCTCACGTGGGGCTGGCACCCACTGAGGTAAAATAAAACCTTTTAGGGCTCTCAAGAAAGTGGGGTGATCTGGGCCATCCCTGCCAGGCCCGTTCCCGCCTAGCTGTGTGACTTCGGGCAAGTCACTCTCCCTCTCTGAGGCTCAGTCTTCTCATAATCAAACAGGAAACAAGTCTCCCTCCCTCCCCACCCTGGGGATCTTAGGGATAACCACAGGAAGGACACTTGGCCAGACAAGTGTGGGTCTGCTGGATGAAGGCAGCGAGGTGGCCTGGAGCCAGGCGGGTGGGGAAGAAAACAACCGGAGGAGCGAGCGGAGAGGAAAGCAAAGGAATGGCTGGAATTCTTACCTCCTGACGCTGCAAGCTTGAGGTCATCTGAGCCATCCTCATATGTGTACAGAGCCCTGGGGAGAGGGAGGGGTGGCTGGGAGAACTGGCAGGGCCCAGGCAGCCAATTTTGGGTGGAGACGGCTCTCGGGGGTAGGAGGGATACAGAGGGGGCAGGACAGGAGGGGGGTTCCAGCCCAGCACTTAAGCCTTGTCACCATGACAACAATGGCTAAGCACCATTTCAGGCTGGAACCCAGTGAGGGACAGTCTGGGATCTGATGGAGGGAGGCCTGGGTCAGGTGGGGAGCAAGCAGTGGGGAAGAAATCGCTGCCCAGTCGCTTGCTTCCAGTGAGCCAGTGTGTTGCGTCCTCAGAGCCCTGGCCCTAGCAGCCTGCAACCCAGCCAGCGGTGTGAGATGGAGATTCCAAGGCGACGGTTCCTTGGTTACCGTTCCCTGGCTACCGCTCCTCATCCCCATTGGCCGTTGCCAGGAACCTACCTGGCGCGTGCCTCGGTACCCACTGCCCCTCCCCCCACACCGAGGGGGATGGGGAGAGAGAACCTGGTGCTGTTCAGCTCTGGGCATCCCCTGGTAACTATGGCAACCCAGCAATTGGCACGCGACCGGCCCACCCCAGCTGCATTCTCCTGAACACAAAGGACCCCAAGGGGACACGCCCTCAGTCTCAATCTCAGTCTCTCTGAAATGGGGATGAGGTCATCATGGTCACTCCTGCCTGGACTCTGGCCCCTGGGTGAATGTGCTCTCCTAGCCTTCCAGCCCTAGGCCTCCTCCGCCCTAGCTGAGGCTCTGGCCTCTTGGGACTGCTGGCCTTGCCTTCCCTCTCAGCTTTGGCAGAAAGCTGACCTAGCAGCCTTCCTCCTTCCTCCTCCTCCCTAGCTTTTTCTACACAGGTAGCAGTGGCACAGCATCCATTTCACAGAAGGGAAGACAGAGATAGCTCCTCCCCAGGACCCACTTGGAGGACAGGCTTGGGGCCAGGAATAAAGGTCATGTACCAGAGGTGCAGGAGGCTCAGCCCCTCCCCCGAGCTCCCCTTTCCTTACTGCCAAGGTAGGGGGCTAGGAGGAAAGGAAGCAGGAGCACCAGGGAGATGCAGAAGAGAAAGCGAGCAGGGAGAGGAGGCAGACAGAGAAGACAAGAGAAGGGAGGGAAGTGAAGGGATGAAGAGAAAATGAAGGAGCAAGGGAAATGGGAGGGAAGGAAAGAGGGAGGAGAGAAGAGGGAGGAAGGGAGAGAGGGAGGAGGGTGGAGGGCGGAGCAAGGAGGGAGCAGGGAGGGCCTGGTCCAGGCCCAGCCCCATGAGGTCAGCACAAGTCACTGCCAGAGCCAAATGGGCCCCCAGCCCCCTGCTTCTCGGGATCCCTCCCTCCTGAAAGGGACACAGGTGGGCTGTGGGGCCGGGAGCTCCTGGTCCAACTGTTGCCCAGGCTACAGTCCTGGCAGCTGCTTCTCAACACAGCTGTCCCACCACCTGTCTGGCTGCCCTAACCCACCACTGGGAACAAAAGGCCCTTAGAGAAGCAGGGTCTTCCCTTCTCCATTCCACAGATGAGAAACTGAGGTAGAACTCCAAGACCCTGGTTCCCAGACACTGCTCTGGCCATCACACCTCCCTGGGGTGACTTGTCAGCCTCTCCCAGGCTCTCTGAGGGACCCTGGCTCCTCCCAGGAACCTGCCCCTTCCATTCTTTACTCCTTGCCTACCCACCTGCAGCCACCTTTCCTGCTGCAGCCCTGGCCCTTACCTGGTGGAAACCATAGTTAAGTTCAAAGGTTTCAGCAGGCCTTCAACCCTGAGCTCCGCCCACCTGCCTTTCCAGCCAGACCTCCGTATCCATACCATACACTCGGGTCACATTGGATGGCTCCCTGATTCCCAGCACAGTTCTGGATATTTCCCAACCTGGAGCCTCTGCATATGTGGTTCCCTTCACAGGGAGGCCAGACCTGTTCCTCCACCCCATGCCCATCCCTGACTGAAATCTCTCAGGGACCCAATGCCAGCTCCCATGAAGCCCTGCCCTGCGCTGCACCTCCCCAAAGCGCTTACCACACTCCAGCAGGGACAGGAAGAGGCACCTGAGCCTGCCCCAGATCTCACTAGACCACCAGTGCTTCTCAAACACATTCGAGGTGGCCTGAGCCTTGGGTGGGTGGGAGCTGGTGAAACTGCAAGGAATCAGGATGGAGGGGGGCAGGAATCTACACCACCTCCAACCCCTGGAGACAGACACTGTCCTGAACTATAAGCTTCGTGAAGGTGGGACCATCTTGGCCAGAGAAAGTGGACTGGGGTGAGGTGGGAGCTGGAATGTAGCAGCTCCAGGGAGATCCTGGGGTCAGCTGAGGATGGGGGGCTCAGGGCAGGTGGATTCTTCAGGACAATCACACTCTCAGGATATCAGAACTGGAAGGGCCTTGGGTATCCCAGGTATGGTTGAGCCCAATCCCCTTTTCCTCTTTTCAAGAGGACCAGAGAGGAGCAGAGACTTGGTGTGGCTATGTATAGCGAGTCGGATCACATCCAGGACAACACGAGTTCTTTTCACTACACAGTCTGACTTCCTGGGTCCCCTGCTGCCAGCATCAGGGCAGCGGTCCATTTCAGAGCGAGCCACCTAGGAGTGAACTCCCCCACCCCTACTCCCCACTCAGAGGCAAGGTAAGGGAGGGAAGTGCCAAGCCCCGTTTGCCCAGACAGCAATTTTACCCAAGACGCCCTCCTCCAGCCTCTGAGTACAGGGTCTGCCCCTGAGTCTTGAGACTCCACTGTACCCCTGTGGAGCTCTGTGCTAGGTGCTGGGGGCCCTCATGTCCCCTTCTGCAGGGTGATCCTCACATCCTTTCTACCAAATGTTTATCTCGGCCCTTGGGAGTGAGCAAATGTATGTATGTATGACGGTGCATGTGTACATCTGTGTGTGTCCCACACACAACGCAGATTGGGGTGGGGGAGGGGTGAGGCACGCCAGTGATGAATAACTCACTTTGGCCACATGGATGCTGCTGGGTGGTGGGAGCCCAGGCCTCTGCTGAGCAGGATGTGGGCCAGCAGTGGCTGTGGGAGCTCTGCCTTTGGGAAGGTAGGGGTAAATGGGGTGGTGGCAGGCAGCACCCCCAGACTGGACGGCAAGGGTTCTGAGGTGGGCTGTGCCTCTCTCCAGGCATGGCCCATATCCCAAGGCCAGCTCCTCCACCAGGCCAAGCCGGCCACTTGCCCTGAACTCCTCCCATGATCTCAGTCCCCATGGGGCAGGGCTGGGACAACGGATGGGCCGCTTGCCCGCTTAGCCTGTGCTGGCCTCTCCTGCGACTGACCCGCAGGACACGAGAGCTTGCTTGTCTCCCGCGTCCATCCCTCCAGGCCTGGCCGCCCGCCAGTGCTGCAGTACTGTGGCATGGATGCCTGGCCATCTTGTCCCCTCCTCCAGCCCCCAGGTCAGTGTCCTCCCAGCATGAGGGTGAGGCCAGCCCAAGTGAGGTCCCTCAGACCTGCCTTCACTTTGTGTTTCCTGCCTGCCAAGGGGAGAAGAGCCCTAGGGAACAGAATGGGCATCTGCCCCAGGAGAAGAGTATCTTGGGAGGATGATGATTCCTGAATGGGGCAGTGTGAAACCCCCTGGCTTTCCTGCCACCCTGGGGACTCCAGTCCCAGAGCAGGTGGTCCAACCCCTCCCACAGCCTAGGGGGAGACAACAGCTGGGGAGGGAGGAGAGGGCAGCCCAGCTCCTCCCCCACAGAGGAGCTGAGAGCCCCTTGCCCCTGGGCCACCGGGCTAGGGGCTCAGTGGATCCACTCACCCCCTCATCCTTCTCTGGGAACTCCCTGCAGAGTGGTGCGCCTGGGGGCTTCCTCCCAGGGACCCCACCTGGCTCCCTAGGCAGGCAGTTCAGTTCCTTTGGCATGTCCCAGCCCAGCTGCCTACTCCCTGCAATCCCCTTGGCATCGAGGAGAGCACTTATCCTTGCCTCCTCCTCGACCCCTCAGGGGAACAGGAGTCACTTGGCGGTGGCCCTGTGGCAATGAACGTCTTTCCATCACACCCCAACTCCGAGAGGCCCCCCGGTGGGCGGGGCGCCCCGGCCCCCAGCCCGCTCTGCTCCTCCCCCGCCCTAGCTTTCCTTTGTGCTGTGGCCGGGGCCGGGTTGGGCCGGGTAGGCTGCGCTGGCTCTGCTAGCTCGGTCCCTGCCCCGTCCTCGCCCGCTCAAAGGTGGCAAAGGTGCCCTTGGCCGCCCATGCACACCTGTCCGCCCGGCCCGAGGCAAAGGGGAGGGGGCGGGCGATGGGCTTCCACAAGGCCGGGAGGCCCCGGGCCACACATCTGGACCCTGCGTCTCTCCAGCCCGCGTCCGGCCACCGTTCCCACCGCGCGGCTGGGGCCGCCTCCGGGCGCTTGGGGCCCGCCGGTGCCCCGCCTGGCCCGGCCCGGCCCCTCCCCCGGCGCGCACAAAAGCAGCCCCTCCCTGGCCCTCCCGGGCCGCTGCACCATTTCGGGGTCTCCCCCTCCCTCCCGGCTGCGGGGCGACTGGGCCGGGTGGAAACAAAGGCGCGGCGGCGCGGGGACAAAGGGGCTGGGGGGCGGGGGCGGGGGCTCACCAGTCGGCCGCGCTCTCCTCCCGAATCACCTCCTCGTACGCCGCCAGCAGCTCCAGGCGGTGGCCGCTGAAGCTGACGCCGGCCATGCTGCGGGCCGGACCGAGGCCGAACGGACAGACGCACGGACGGACGGAGAAGGAGGGAGGGAAAGAGGGAGTCGCCGCGCCGCCGCCGCCTCGGAGCCTCTGCAGCGTTGCGAGCCGAGCGAGCCAGCGGCCGGGGGAGGGGAGCCGGCCGGCGGGGGGCGGGGGGCGCTGGCTCCGCCCGGCTCGCTCACTCCGCGCGCTCGGTCCTAGCGCCGCCCCGACCCGGCAGAGGGGAGGCCCGCCCCCCCTTCCCGGCCTGCCCCGGGGCGCCCCCACGCCCCTCGCCGTCAGTCCCTGCACCCCGCGCCCGGGCGGGCATACCCATCTGCACGGGGCCATTCTTCCCGTGTCCCAAATTCTCACCTGTGGTGCCCCCAGCCACAAACCTAGCCCCGTCCCCACCTCTCCAATCCCTATCCAGGCCCAGCTTCATCCCTCTCCTTCCCAGCTCCCGGTCCCAATCCCAAATCCACTCCATTCCAATCCGGCCCAGCCCCACTCCGTCCTTAATTTATCTCCACCCAGCCTCACCCCTATCCCTGGTCCATCCCAACCTCCAGTCCCAACCCAGTTCCCGTGCCAGCCACCCCTGGCCCATCTGCAGCCCATCCCCACCTCTGAAAGGCCCATTCCTAGTCCATCCCCATCACTGTCCACTGCTGTCTTCATCCCCAAATCCAGCCCATTTCTTTCCCCTCCCAGCTCCAGCCCCACTCCCAACCCCATGCTTAGCACACACCCACTACCCATTCATCAGACCCCATCCCTAGCTGCACCCTCCTCTTTCCAACCTACCCTATTCCCATTCTGATCCCTGTTCCCAACCACACCCCTCCATCCCTACCTCCTAGACCATTCTCAGCTCCTTACCCCAACATTGCCAACCTCTACCCCATCCCTGCCCTACCCTATGCTGAGCACCCCTCCCTTACCAGCTGCCCCCTGAGTCCTCTCAGGTGGGGCCAGACTAGGAGATCCTTTGCCTTCTCTCCCAAGCCTCAGGCCTCCCAGAGGAATCTAACCCCAGACTCTCAGGGCAGGGCTCCTCCAAGGACACTCCAGGGCCAGCTTCCTGGCACCTTAATTTCCCAAAGCTCTGAACACAGAAAACACTGGGGCCTAAGAGGAGTCCCTCGAGGGGAAGTGGACACCACTGCCAGGGCCTCCTGGAGCATCTCTGCTCCTGTCTGAGCTGGAATCCTGAAACCCTCTGCAGCTCTCAGAAGCCTTTACCACCACCTACAAAGCCTCCCACCCCTGTCCTCCCAGAGGAGGTGACAGAACCTGAGCAAACTTTACCTGGTCCAATCTGGGAGGTGGTGGGGCTGGGCCTCTGAGTTCTGAGTTGGGTAACCAGCTGGGCCAAGAGGAGGAGAGCAGTGTGTGCACTGATCTCCAGCAGTGGGTCCCAGCACTTTGGGGTGGGAAGAACCTCTTAAAACTCAATACATTTCATGGGAACTCTCTGCGTCCACTATGCCCATGGACCCCTGGCCCTGGCAGTTTCTCCACGGCCCCCACTTGGAGCAAGTCCCAGGCAGAGTCAGTAGGATTTCCGGGGAGGGAGGAAGACCCCACAGCAGGGCTGAGGGGTGCCTGGGAGCGGTAGGTAGAGGGATCTCCAGCCTCAGTCCCTTCCTGCTTCCTTTGACTTTTCCCAGCCCAGAATGCCTTTCATCTCCCCATCCCAAAGCCCCCTCCCCAGCCTCCTGCTCACTCAATTTCACATCCAAAAAACAGAAGCCCTACCTGCATGCTCTCCCTTCCTCAAATTCCTGCTTCCCCCCAGCCACCTACAAACTCCAGCCACACCCACTCTTACCTCTTTGCCATCTATATTTTTAAACAAACTTAATTTTAGAACAGTTTGAAATTCACAGAAAAATTACAAAGATAGTACAGAGTCCCCATATGCCCCATGCCCAGTTTTCTCTATTTTCAGGGGAGCAAGAAGTTTCCCTGCTCACCCTCCCTGGAGCCTACCCTTCACCCCTCCACATCATTATCATCCTATAATTTGTACATCTGTAGTCTGTCTCCTTCCCGCATTTCCCTGGCACTGCTCTGGCCAAGGTCGCCAGAGACCACTAAATTGCCAAGTTCAGTGGCCCTGTTGTAGTCCTCAGTTTCCTCAACCGGTGGGAGCAGGGTGACCAATGATCACTACCTCTTCTGCAAATCTGCCTCCCATCAGCTACCTGCTGCCCCTGAAACCCACACACTCAGCTTTGGTGGGTGGGTGCTGGGTGCCTCCTTGGAGGCCCTCCCACCAGGCTTTCATGTCTACCACTCCCAGCACTGATCACCCTTCAAGTCTCTCCCACTCCTAGATCTCCAGCTCCTCCCTGCCCCTCCCCCCCTCAGCACTGGGAGCCTAGTCCAATGGCTTCTGGGTCCCCAGAGTGGAAAAGCCAAGAAAGAGGGAGGATTCAGATCCAGAAGCTGGTCACTTGCTGTGTGACCTTGAGGAAAATGCTTTCCCTCTCTGAGTTTCCTCTTTGACAACATGTTGTGAGGATAAGATATGACTGGATGAAGGCTTAGGAAGCAAGAACCCCTTCCCCTTCCTCCTTGCAGCCCCGCCCTCCCACGCCCACCTTCCTGCTCTGCACTCCCCCACACCTCTCAGAGAAGGCTTCAAGGCTGACATGTAGGTTTCAGGACTTTTTCAGCACCAGCTGGTGGAGCCTTCTCTGCCCTCACCCTCCCTCTGCAAGTTCCTACCAAGCACACCTTCAGAATTTGCCCCCTCATCATTACAATGCTCCCAGCACTTTCCAGGTCTTGCCCCTGGCATGGGGCCAGCCACTTTCACCACTTAGCTCTGCTCCTGAGCCGCACAGACTACCGTGTGACTTTAGACTCTGCTTGGCCTTTCTTGTCTCACTATAAAATGGGGATGATAATGATGGTACCCACCTCATAGGGTCTGTTTGAGGAGTTTTCTTTTTTAATTTGTTTATTTTATTTATTTATTTTTGGATGTGCTGGGTCTTTGTTGCTGCGCATGGGCTTTCTCTAGTTGCGGTGGGGGGGGGCTACTCTTTGTTGCAGTGCGCGGGCTTCTCATTGCGGTGGCTTCTCTCATTGTGGAGCACGGGCTCTAGGCGTGCGAGCTTCAGTAGTTGTGGCACACAGGCTCAGTAGTTGTGGCTCACGGGCTCTAGAGCACAGATTCAGTAGTTGTGGAGCATGGGCTTAGTTGCTCCGTGGCATGTGGGATTGTCCCAGACCGGGGCTCGAACCCATGTCCCCTGCATTGGCAGGTGGATTCTCAACCACTGCGCCACCAGGGAAGACCCTGTTTGAGGATTTTTTTAAAGTATCTAGAAAATGCTTAAAATGGCAACTGCACATAGTAGGTGCTATTGACACGTTGGCCATTATTACTATTTCACAGCTGGGAAAACCAAGGTTCAGAAAGGGGCAGTTACTTGCCCTGTAATACACAGCTGGTGAGTGGCAAAATCTGTATGGGAACCCCAGTCTGTCCTGCATCATTTCAGCATAGCACACACCCTCCCTGCTTCCCCTTCTAGCACCCCCATTTTTGCATCCAGGGGCTGGCCTGGAATTTGGTAGTAGCTCCTGAGGCTACAGCTGTGGGGTCTAGGGAAGGAGTCAGGGGGCAGGGATCCTAGGCGTGGAGAGCAGGATGTCTGCCCAGTGCAGTGGATGTCCATGGTCAGGCATCCCTGCCCATCTTCCAGTTGATTTTC